CTGGCCCCCAACCCCGCCGCTACGTCGATTCGTGCTTTGCTTGGGCTCTGCTTCTTCGACCATCCCGTGTCCGCCGCACGGCCACCCTTGTTGCTATGCCCGACGAAGCGCCGCAGGCGGTTCGCCTCCGGCTGCCTCGCCCTGCCTTGCTTCCCCTCTGCTTGTCTTCACAGGTCCAAGGAGCAGACCACGGAGCGGACACTTCCGATGAGGGCCGACTCTTGGGACGGCGCCGGCCGCCGCGACGAGCCCGACGTGTCCCCACGCCGAGCCCTTGCACCACCCGAGCTGGCCGCCCCTCGCTGCGGAGCCCAGTGATGCGACACGCCCGCCCACCCCTCCTGCTGCGCACGCAGTCCTAGCGCCCTGCCGTTCCGTCGTTCAAGCGTTTCGCGGAAGCCCTCCTCGCTGGCCGCATCACCATCTTGCCGCCTCGCCTCACCGCCGCTGTCCCTGACAGCCTCTTCCACCCCTCCGACCAACCTGCCAGAGTCAGGTTCATGCAGCGCGCTTTGGATTCGCTGGTGCTACCTCGTCGCCGACTACTCCAACCGCTACGCCGCTCACGTCAAGCTCGGCGCCGTCCGGCTCGGCGTCCGCCGGGGCTCTGCCGGGCCGCTCGACCCCGAGACCGAGGCACAGTACCCCCGCTTCGCCAAGTTGCCCATGGACAAGCAGCGCCTCGGACATATCCGATCAGAGGCTGAGCAGCGTCTGGTCGCAGGACGCATCGACAAAGTCGACCCGGCTTCCCGGGGTTCATCATCCCGAAGCCGGTCGAACTCTGCCTCAACTGCTTGTTCGGCTCGGCCCCTGAGGGCAGTGATGCCGCTGCGCCTGTCCGCGTCATGGCGGTGAGCTGCCGGGCGATCGGCCTCGCCGTTTCTCATGCCAAGGCCTTCTGGGTTACGACTCTCGTCGATGCTCTCGGCATCCAGGTCGACACGGAGCGCCAGACCATCGGCATCACGGACACCGCCTGCCTCCTAGAGCGCAGGCTGGCCTTGTGCTGGACTCGCAGCGTTTCACTGGCTTCCTCCCTTGCGTCGCGTCACGCAGGTCATCTCGTACGCGCGCGCCTTCCCGCAGCGGATCTACACCGCCACACAGTGCTGCACCATCTACATGACGCCGTGCCGGCGCATCTGGGCCCAGGCGGCTGCCGAGTTCGGCTGATGGAGTGCCCCGCTGGCTACCTGGCCAGGCCATAGCCTTCTGACGCACCGAAGAGGACTGCAGCCGCTGGGTCCCACAGCACCGAGTCAGTACCGAGAGCGTATCGTTGCAATAGACATCGCTACGAGTGAGCTGCGCAGAGTCGCATTGCTCATGTCAGCCCATCCAGTGTCGCAAACTCGATCGTTCGGGCGCGGCCGTCCTTAGGCTACCGTCACAGCGTCTCATCTGCCCGGCCAGCGCCACTCATAGCGCTGGACTCGTGACGACGGGCTGTGTGATCCGGCCGCGGCTCTACCGGCCCCGGAGCCCTGTATCAGCACCCGACCCATCCCGCCTTTACACGGCCATTCCCTTGTTCTCGCCGCGATGTCTGGCCATGTAGGATCTGCTCGAATCGTACCAAGCAGCGTCGTCACCGACCGTCGGACCTCGATGCATTTCAGGCCGACCGCTTCGTCCTGGCTCTTGGCCGCTAGCACAGGTCGCGCCGCTCGCGGTCCTACGCTATCATCGCTCCGCAGATGCCGGCAGGCTCGGCCTGGCCTCTGTCTGTGATGCCATTGAGGTCGATCCGACATTGCTGGGGTGCCTGTGATTGTGGAAGTCTTCTTAGGTCGACTCGACGTCGGAGCGACAAGCTTGCAGAGCTGTCGAGGCCCGATCGGCACTCGAGGCGAGAATGTGCGCGGTGACACGTGTCGGTCTCTTGACGAACGAACCGATGACGCCTGGGACAAGGCGGGCATGACGCAATGTTGCGAGAACGGCAGCGCGAGAGACGGCCAAACGAGATGCGTCCCTGCAGCCTTACGAGACAATGCGCAGCCTCGAGAAAGGAGAGACGCGCGCGGTGAGTCGACGATTGCCCCAGCGCTGACTCGCTGTGTAGGAGCGAGGATGGAGAGGCACGGTACTTGCCGACGCTAAGACGAGGAGCGGAAATCAACGAGGAGAGAGGGTTGTGAGACTGCGCATCGGCACGACAGAAAGGAAAGCGGAAGGGAGAGAGGAGGTTCGTGTCAATACTGTGTCTCGCCGGACGCGAAGCTCAAAGCGCGCAAAGGGCCAAACAAAGGACCGGGAGCCAGACGCATGGCTTCGCTTCTACGATGCCGTCGCGATCGACTGGCAAGGATCCCTCGGTGCTCATGAACGGCGGTGGAAAGATGCGGGTTCGTCGAGCAAGCTGGCCTGTGGTCGTTTCAACCGTCCGAGGGCGCATCCCGAGGTTTCGCCGACCAAGGGGGTCCCGCTGCTGCTTCATCGGCTTGATCGCAAGGGAAGAGGGGCTCGGGGTGCAGAATATAGGCACGCCTCTCTGGCAGACCGGGTAAGCAATACGAGCGGTGCAAAGAGGAGTTGGTGGCAGTCGAGGTGGTGGTGGCGGCGTGACAGTGTGTCGAGGCGAGGGTGGGGTGATGCTGGGCCAAACCTCTTATCCCTCTTCGACCAGCCTCGGACCCTCCGAATGCTGCTGCCTCCTTGGTCCGACTCGAGGTGGTAGGCTCGAGTGTGCCGTGCACGGCTTCTCGCGACGGCATTACTGCCCAGCCCCGAAGCGACGGCGGGCCCGTCCCGAAGATGACGACGGCTTTGGGCGGAAAAGGCGCAAGCAAGCTACGGGAGTGCCGAGCTGGTCGGGTCCACCCCGCGCCCGCCGCACTACGCCCGATGGCTGGCCTCGCCTGCTGCTCTTTGACACGAGGACCGGTCTCGCCTCGCGTCCAGCGAAGGCACGCTGTTGACCTCGTGCACAGCCTCGGCGACACGATCGAGTACGGATGAGACAGAGAGGAGGAGGAGGAGGAGGAGGAGGAGGAGGAGGAGGAGGAGGAGGAGGAGGAGGAGGAGGAGGAGGAGGAGGGAGGGGAGGAGGAACCGTAACCGTAACCAGGCCGCTTTGCCCCCTGACTGCCTGACGGCGCAGCCGCTGCGTCTAACTACTGTAATTGAACGCGGCTCTGCCCGTCGGGATCCGGTATGGTTCCGAAGGCGCAACAGTCGGCTCCGACCCGCTTCTCCCGGCCGAAGCAGCAGCGGAGGGTGCAACGCAGCCACAGCGCTCGAGTGAGCGAAGGACAGGGGCCGAGGTCGAGGTCGAGGACGAGGACGAGGTCGAGGACGAGGTCGAGGTCGTTCCGGCTGACGGCTGGCAGGTCGAGCGCCACTCGTGCTTGAGATTGCCGCTACCTAGAGGCTTGGAGGGCGGCCAGGTCGAGGACCGGCGGTCCGTCGTCCGCCTCGACGCCAAAGACGGGCGGGCCGGTGGGCATGCATGCAGCAAGGGTCCACCTTGGCTTCGGAGCTGGCGTCCCGGAAAATTAAATTTCGGCAGGCCGGCAGTCAGGCGGGCATGCATCAACCGGCCGGACGGCACCAGCGAGCAGCTGCAGGCTAGGCTGCATAGGCTAGGAGCCTGTCCGACGCCGTCCGGGTAGTTGGGCGCAGGTAGGTGGATGTTGCCTCGACGCTCACCCTACCTACTGCCAGCGCGCCGGGGGTTCTGAAGCCAAGGCGGAGAGACCCTGCCTCTATCCTTGCGAAGCCTCGGCCTTCTTCGGATCCGCATCCGTAGCAAGAAATGCCCTTGCCAGCCTGCCTAGTCGCCGGCATGAGGGCTGCCCGGCCGCGAGGGGGTCCGAGCTGCATGGGGCGAAAAAACCGGAACGGACGAAGCGCGTTGTTAAGCTTGCTTTAGCGTGGGGCGCGCGGCTTCCTTCTGACCGCCCATGCACCGGCTGGCCAATCGAAAGTCGGGTCGGGTCCGCTCCTCACGAGCCTGGCCGCCTACATACAACACTAGTGTCTCCTCCTCTCCTCTTGCCCACCACCATTGTCGCTTTCGACCCTCGTACTGCTGCCTGCCAAGACCACCGTACCCTATGCATCCTCTCGCCACCTGTCGGCCTCAGGTTCGTGTGTACCCGAGGGCGCCGCTAGCGTTGCAGCGGCACTACTCATGCATCCGTGCCGCTCGCTGACCTCGGATCGCCCCCCTTCCCTCTTTCTTGGCCGCACAGATCCCTCATCGTGTGCCACGCTGACATCCGCGCGGTCTTCTTTTGGCTCGATCTTTGCCCCGGCTGGCGTCCTTCTTCGGCCCCGATGTTCCGCTGCAGGGGTCACAGGTGTGCGACTTGATCCCCCGCCAAGATTTGGTCCGATGGCTCCGAGCGCTGCCATGAGCAACCGAGACCAACACCACACCCTGGCCTCGGCCGCTCGACGCCGCCACCGGAGCTCAGAAGGATGCTTGCCGCTCTCGCTCAAGCCTGCTTTACATGCCACATGCACGCCACTTTCTGCTCGCCCATACAGCCGAGCTCGCCGCTTGGTTGCCCTTCATACGAGCAGCACCGCTCCCACCGGACCGCACCGCCTCGACGCTTCTTTCATCCAGCAGGGGGGTCCGTAAGGTTTCTTCGCCATCTATCGCGCACCCAACCTGCCAGTACCACGCCCTTTTCATCTTCGCTCCGCCCTGCCCATGGCCGCTGCCAGCAAGCCTGCATTAGCTCCGGATCAGCAGAGCCGGTGGCTCCTTGCCACAAACTAAGCTCGACGCGTTGAGTTTATGGCCGAAGCAGCGACCATCGGACACGGTCCTTGCGCCCGGACGCTCACCTCGCGCCCAGGTACTCTGCCCCATCGGTCCGTGTTCTCATCCTGGCAAAGCGCTGCGACCGGGCGCAACCTGCCCTTATATAGACCGACATCCTGACCGTCCACCCTCTCCATCCCCTCCAACCGGCCCATCTTCCCGCTTCTTCCGTTTGCTCCAGCCAGATCAACGAGTTCCACCTATCGTCTCGTCTCCCGCCATGCCGCTCCCAAACAAGGTCGACATCCTCATCGTCGGCGCTGGACCGTAGGTGCTCCGACGTCGTCTCCCTGCCGCCGCTACGTCGGATGCTCTGCTGAGCTGATCCGTCGCGCCCTCTGTCCTTGACCACGCAGCGTCGGAACGGCCGCGGCCTGCGCCATCCTCAACAACATCGACGCCGAGGCGCGCTCCGACTTCAAACTGCTCATTGTCGATAGCAACGAGTCGATCAACAGCTTCTCGCCTACGCACTCCCGGGCCATCGGGGTTCACGCTCGCACCTTTGAACTTCTCGCCGAGACGGTCGACGATCCCCAAGCTCGCGAGCAACAGGTCGGCGTGCGCGGAAGGCAGCAGATCCCTCTGGTCAGCGACCCAAGTAGCCCCCCGGAGCGGACCGACAGTGTCACCCGCAGTGTGAGTGCGAGCCGTTGTGGCCATGCCTGCTTCTGCACCGCTCGGACTCAGTTCTGATCCTCGGTCCATACCTGGCCCCTCTCGCTGCCTTTGTAGCTTCTCGAGCGTGGCAACCTGTTGACCAAGATCACCTTCAGGTCGGCGGGCAAGACCAAGCCGCTAATGACGATGGACTTTCCGGGCGCGCTGCGCGACAGCCAGTACCAGCAGTTCTGCATCATCTCGCAGCGCCTCACGGACGCCACGCTGCGAGCCCGACTTGCCACCCTCGGAGGCTGTATCGAAGGCGGCTGGAGTATCGCCCATCTCGAGCGACGAGGCAAAGCGGCGCCAGTGGCCGTCACGCTCGAGCACGACAAGCTCGGCAGCCACGAGGTCGAGGCCGACTTTGTCATCGGTGCCGACGGTGGCCACAGCCTCGTACGCCAGCTCGTCGGGCTCGGATTCCCCCGTTCCTCCATGGTGCGTAGCTTGCTCGCGCCAAGATGGGGCCCGCAGCTGATGGTGGAACCGCTCACGCTCCCCACCCGCTTCCTGTTCCCTCGCCCTTATCCGCGCCGCAGAAACAGCCCCTACTGCTGGCCGAGATCCGTACGGCCGATCCGCAGTGGCCTTACAGCTATCCGGAGCTCGGCTACGACGGCCTCGAGGGCTGCCAAGCGTACTGCAAGCAGGGCCTCGGCATCTCGATCCCCATGACTGGCAACTGGATGCGGATCGCTGCCAGTTTCCTGCCCCCGGGCTTCCAGGAGGTCTATCGCCGCACCACGGGCAAGGGCATCGGCGGGCACGAGGAGGGTAACCGACCAAGCATCGAGCAGCTGCAATGGACGATGGACCAGTATCTGCCCACGGGCGCCGAGTGGCGAGAGGGCGCCGAGAAGAAGGAGGGTCTCCGCCCGGGAGACATGTGAGTCCCCGTCGCCGGCCGCCAGCGAGGCTGGTCGAGCACTGGCGCAATCGACCGTACCCGAGGCTAACCTTTGTGTCATCTTTCCTTGTTGCCCAAACCGCCGCGCGCAGCGTCGAAGTCAGGTTCGCGACGACGTTCAAGGTGCACCACGGCCTCGTGAAATCCTATGTCGACCACGAGACCGACAGGGTGGTTCTGATCGGCGATGCGGCCCACGTGCACAGCCCAATGGGCGGGCGCGGACTCAACACGGGCATCCAGTGAGTGCTTCGACCTCTTTGCCCCGTCTCGACCCTGCCTCGCTGGCCTTTGGGGGGGAGGTCATCGTGCTGATATTTCTACCCCCGTTCCTCGGCATCTGGTGTCGAACGACCGCCTCCAGGGATGCCGCTACGCTCTCCATGGCGCTTCGCCCCTTTTTCCGCACCTCGGCACTTGCAGCCGCGTCGGAAGAGCGCTCGGCCGCGCTGCACGCCTGGGCGCAGGAACGACGCCGGATCGGCCAGATCTGTATCCGCGAGTCGAGGAGGCAGATGTCCTTCGCCCTCGTCACCAACCGCCTCCTCCAGCGTCTGCGCAACCTCGCTGTCAGCCTGCTAGCCTACTTCCCCTCCATCACGCGTGGCATCATCCGAAGCGCCGCAGGTGTCGAGTTCAGGCCCCCGGCCTGGAAATCGCCGCTCCTTGCTGCATGAAGGGGTGCCGATCGATGCCCTCACTTGCCACTCCTCCCGCGTATCATTGCGAGAAAGGAATAGTCGCCTTGCCACGGTTCAGTCTGAATGACGCGGATTTGGCACGAGAAGCGTAGAGCGCAAGGAGGGATGCGTGGCTGCAAGCGCCAGCCGCTGACGACATCACATCGGCCACTGTGGTCCTGGAATGGCGTGGCAAGCTGCAGAGGTGCTTCGGTCGGGGCGTCGGCCATCGCAGCAGGGCTGCAGTCGGCCATCTTGCGGAATCGCTGCGCGGTGCTCCATCGCGGTGGTGCCGAGGTCGGCCATCGAGCCTGTCGCACCACCGCTCCGTGCCAGCGGCAGTAGCTTGACCATGCCTTTGTGTCGCAAGCATTTCATCTAGGCGACCTGCGGACAAGGAAGCAGCGGCGCAATTGCTGGCGGGGTGAGAAGGTCGTGGCAGGCAAGCATCGACGCAGCACGAGGGCACGGGCATGGGCGGGCGTGCGAGTTGCTCGGGCGTTGGTCGGGGTTGGGCAGCAGTCGGGGTTGGGCGGCAGTCGAGGTCGGGAGAGAGCGAGTCGCAGAGGCAGCTGCTGCGGATCCGTTAGCATGACGGCGGCGCAAGAGGGTCGAACTGGTGCTTGATAGCTCAGGCACAAAAGCGTCAATGGCGGTAGGTCGATGCTGTCGGGCAGGTCGACGTTGGCGATGGTGGTGCTGCGAGGTCGGATGGATAGATCGGCAGCGGCGGCTGCAGCAAAGGCCGCGGTTCGCCGCGGTGTAGATGCGCCGCAGGAAGGCGAGGCCGTGTGGGATGACCTGCGTGACGAGCTGCAGGAGGGCAGCAACCCGCTGTCCGTCCAGCGGCGAGGCGTATCTGCGGTCCAGAAGGAAGGCGACGGAGGCGAGGATGCTATCGCGGCGATCGTCCGTGATGGCAACGGTCTGGCGCACTGTGTCGACCCCGATACCGAAGATCCCTAGGCGCGTCGAGCCCCAGAACGTCTTGGCTAGGGGAAGGGCAAGATCCAGAGCGTGGCAAGCCATCGCCAGCGCGCGGACGGGCGCGGCTGCGTTCCAGCCAGGCGATACCGCGCCGAAGAGGTCGTCGAGATCGTGCTCGACCGGGTGCGGTGTAAACGACGCCATGATCCAGTGCGGCATCTCGGCGAACAGGTCGAAGAGAAGAGGCGAGCTCTTGCCTCCAAAGGTGAGGACCGTCTCGGCGAAGAAGTGGACGTCGAGCATCCGGCCGAGGAGGCGGGCCTGGAAGAGCGCGGCCACGATGTGCGCAGGAAGGCATCGACCGCATCGCCTTCCCACAGGCGGCAGCCGAGGTTGGCGGCCACGTAGTCCAGCACCGCGGCCAGCGTGACATCTTGGATCGCCGTTGACGAGCGGGCGACGCCGGGGTTGACCGAGGGTAGGCCAGAGCCTGGAGCGCGCAGGTGGGAGAGGTGGTGGATGATGCGCAGCTTCGTTGACCTGGGCTTGGGGACGGTACCGATGGGGGGGCAGACTAGCCGCCAAGACTCCGGGTGGAACTCGACGAGGCAGATCTCGGCGAGGCGCTGCGCGACCTCTGCGCGGACTTTCGCCAGGCCCTGCTCGTCCATGTGCAGGTCGGCGGCGCGCTCCTACCACGCCTCGCCTTCGGGTAGGCCGGCGTAGCCGAGGCGGATACTGTGTTGGATGGCGCCGAGGACTGCGTCCGCGGTGCGGCGGTCGGGGTAGTCGGCGAGGAGGGAGCTTCTGCGTTCCACGGCAAGCTGCGTGAAGCCGACGCCAGTCGTCCGGTCGGCGGGGTGGAAGAGGCTGTCGGGGACGGTGGTATTGGGGCGAGGCCAGGGGATAGAGATGCGGCCAGCGAGCAGCGCTGGCACGCCTCGCTCGACTGGGGGCAGGTCGAGAGGGGACAGATGCGAGCGCCTCGAGGGTGTCGGGCGGTTGCCCTGCGAGCCTGAGGGCGCGGCAGACGGGGTAGGCGAGCTCGTTGCGCCACCACGCTTGGCAGTACCGGGCGGCCAGCTGTGGTGGTGCGAGGGCACCGCGGGAGGCACCTCCGAGCTCGTCGTGGCCCCCGGCGTGGTCAGAAGGGGACGGGCCGGCGAGTGGAAGGGTGCTGGAAGTGCTGCTGAGGCCGCGCTGCCGAGTCCGGTAGAATCCAAGGGCGCGCTCCGCGGCGGCGGGCGGCTAGTTGGTGAGGGTGCCACGCTTCGAGGGGGCGTCGCAGCGCCTCCAGGAATGGTCGGACTGGCCGCACTGGTGGCAGACGTGCTTGCGCTCGCACGGGTCGGCCTGGCAGCGACCAGAGTGCCAGTTCCAGCAGACGTTGTCCTTCGGCGAGCTGGAGGCCGGCGCCGGGTGCTGCTTCCTCTTGCTGAGGCTGAAGCTGGGGTCCGGGGGCGGCGCCGTGGGCTGGGCCTTGCCGAGAACGCCGGAGAGCCTGGGGACGTAGAGCTCGTGGTCCAGATGGGCCCACACCGCTGCTGGGGCAACGGTGTAGCGGGCGCAGCAGACGCGGAGAGTGTTGTCGGAGACGCTGTCCCACGAGAACGTGGCGTCGAGGTCGGCCAGGTGGTCCCGAAACTTGAGGAGCGCAGCGCTGAGGGAGCGGCCCTGCGAGGCGGCCGTGCGGACGGCGGCGTCGACGTGCCACACCCTCGTCCCTCCTTGCGACTTAAGGCGCGGATGGCGTTGGACTGCGTCTGCGTGGTGATAGCCAAGCCGTTGAACCGGACAGTCGTGGCTTCCGGGGCGGCGTCGACGGTCCAGGCAGCGTCGGCGAGGTGCAGCAGGTCGTGGGCAGGGTGCGTGTCTGCGTACAGATCCGCAGAGATCCAGGGGAACAAGGGCTTGTGGAACGTGCCTGACTCACCAGCCGTGGGAGCCAGGGCAGGCGGGCTGGGTGGCGCGGTGAGTGGGGTTGGTGGCGAAGCGGCAACGACGCCTGGCAACGAGACGGCCAGACGGACGAAGTCGCCGCGCAGCTGGGCGTGGAGGTCTTGACGCAGCTGGGCGAAGGCGACCGGTAGCTCCGAGGGGGCAGTGGGCGGCGTCTGAGCCTGGCGTAGCTGCTCGACCTCGGCCTGTAGGGCGAGGATACGTGCGCAGTCCGCTTCGGCGCGCTGGCTGGCGGAGAACGGGCTCCTGTTGCTGGCAGGTGCGTTCGGCAGCGGCCTCGTCGGTGGTGCGCTGGACGGCTACTTTCGCGACTCGGCGAGCTGCGTCTCTTGCAGCAGAGGAGCGATGAGGAGATGACTGTGGTAGGTGCGGCAGGTGCGGACTTGGCGCCGGGGCTGGGTGGCGTGGAAGAAGTTGGCGATGGCGCGGTGCTGCTTGCAGCCAGCACTCAGAAGGTTGGCGTCCATGCAGCGGAGCCGGCCATCGGCCAGCTGAAGCAAAGAGCCGCGGCTCGAAGGCAGCCGGGCAGAGGGGGAGGGAGCGGAGTGATGGAGGAGAGAAGAAATGAAGTGGGAGAAGGGGGCGGCGTTGGCCAAGGGCCCACGCCGCGTGGCGAGTGATCGACGACTCCAGACGCCCACACCGACTACGTCCCGTGCGGCAGAATCGATTCGGGCGTCCTCTCCGCCGTCATTGCGGGCCGCAAGTCGGGCAACGACAACGCCACCGATGCGGGCGTCGACGGCGGCGCCAAGTCGGGTATCCACGAGGCCTCCGAGAGGGGTGTCGACGGCAGCACCAAATGGGCGTCGACAACGGCGCAGATGCGGGTGTTGACAAGGCCGAAGAGACGAGCGTCAGCAAGGCCGGTGAGACGAGCGTCAACAAGGCCGGCGAGACGGGCGTCAACAAGGGTATCAAGACAAGCGTCGAGTGCCCGGCTGTGCTTCCCAGGGTAGCGAGCGGCCTCTGCGGCGAGCTGCGGTTGGATGAACTCGAGGACGTCGTCGGCGGTGAGCTGGATGTGCTGCGGGCGGTGGGCGATCGGCTCGGCCTGGTCGCCTGCGAGCTGTCCTGGCGCTTGAATGTCGACGGCGTCCTGGGCGCCGAGCGTGGTTCGACCGGTCGAGGTCAGCAGAGCCTCGTCTGCCGTTCGAGCATGGCGCGGCCTGGAATGGGCGCGGCTGGAATTACTGCTGCATCTGGGCGGCGTCATCGTTGGGCCAGCGAGTGCCTTTTCGGGCGCTTTTGTCTTTCCGCTCTCCTTCCCGAGCGCGCCAGGCATGGCCGCCGGATCCTGCAGTGCGGGCTTGTCGGTCATCTCTACGTCGTCGTCTTCTCTGCAAGGAGGGTGGCCGGGCCCCTCGCAAGAGGCTGACAAAAAAGCGAGCGAGCCATTTACCACTGCCGCCATGGGTGGGAAGTCAAAGCGACCGGATGGCACCGTGGCGGCCGTGCGCGAGCTGGCTTGGGAAGTCGGCGCGCCGGCGGGACGTTTGTCGGCTGTCACGCCTGGGCCAATCGATGTTCCGGCCTGCTCCCTGCTCTATCCGTCTGCAAGGAAGGCGCGGTCTGTTGTGCGTGCGCTGATAGTGGCCCGATCATCGCCATGCGCCAACTGAGATGCGGGCTCGCCCGTGCTAAGCCTCGCGGTGGTGGCGGAAGCGGCGGCGGCGGGCAACGTCAGGGTAGCAGCGAAGGCCTGCGTCCGTTGAGCCGCCTCGGTCCGCACTAGGTCCTCCGCCTTCTGTCCGAGTGCATCCAAGACGAGCTGGTCACGGAGGCAAGCCTCGACCCAGGCCGCCGCCGTCACCGACAGACGACGCTGTCTCCTGCCATGGTCGGCTGCCGCCTCGATCAGCATGCGAAGGTGCTTGCGCAGGTAGCGGTCCGCCTTGCACTCAACAGAAAGCTGCTCGCCGAGGAAGCACGTCCTTCGATCTCCTGCTTCCGCAGCTGGCGGTGCACTCTTGCAGCCGGTGCCCTCGTGTCAAATGGTCGCGCGCATGTGGCAGGTGACGATGGGGCTGAGGAGGCGCGTCTTGACCAGCGCATCTGTGCGGGGGGCAAAAGGGTGGTCGATACGGACTGCGGCGCTAAGCAGCACTGGGAGACGAGGGGGCTGAGCGGCACTGGGAGGCGTGGGTGTGGAGCACTGGCCTCTCGTAGTCCGCCGAGTGCGCCAGCTCTTTCGGGATCATCGGATCGCTGATAGCGCCGACATCGCGTGCAGGCGTGCGCATCGCTAGCAGCTCAGAGCGAGTATACCTGCGAGGGAGAGGTTCTGATGAGCAGAGAGGTTCGGGGAGCGGTGTCAGCCCATCCGTTGAAGAAGTCGACGAGAGGGTCAGGTAACGATGCCGAGGTCGAGGAGCGAAGCCCACGGATGGTAGAAAGGGAACAGGCGGACGGGCGACGAACGGGCGACGAACGGGCGGCGGACGCGGACAGACCATCGACTCGGCCGTACCGGTGGCCGAGCCACAGCCGAGTTCGGAGCCGGCTGGGCGTGGCGACAGAGCCTTGGCGACGACACCTCCTGCCTGGCTGACCTGGCTAGGAGGCGGGCCCCAGAGGCGGATCCGACGAGTGACGAGGCTTGGCAGCGAGGCCCATGCGCTGGCTTCGGCTCCGTCGAGCCGCCAGTCGGGCGAGTGTCGAGGGACTCTCCACCGAGGGAGCGTCCGGTGGGGGACGGGGGATGGGCGCCGTCAGGCAGGCTGGGGCTCGTATGCGCCCCACCTGCACGGCGTCGGACGGGCGCGTCATTATTATTTTTTTGCCCGCCGGGGCCCTACTGGCCGGCACCAGGCGAAAGACCGCGTTGCTTTCCCCGGGAAGCCAGCTGTGGGGCTGGACCCTTTGTGCATGCCCGTGCATGCCGGCTGGCCTAGCGTAGCCTGCCCTAGCCTGCCCTAGCCTGCCTAGCCTAGCCTGCTGGTTCGGCGTAGGTTGTGCAGGCGCTCCACCAGACACAGGCAGCGGGTCGTCCGCGGGCACTTGGGAGGGACGGACGGTTGAGCGGCGCGGGCGAAAGGGCGGCTGGCGAGCCGCTAGCTAGTACGACTGGCGAGCGGGGTGCACTCAAACCAATCGGGTGCACCGACGCGCGAGCAGTAGTGGGGGCAGATCACGAGCTCGGGCGCGGCATCGGCCAGGCTGCGGTCGGCGGGTCTCAGGCACCAGGAACCAGCTGGGCGCGGACGCGTCCTCTGGACCGGCTGCCGCGGGCCTGGCCCGAAGCGGAAGCAGCAGGTCAGCGAGGCTGCGAGGCAGCCGGGACGGGGCCACGCCGTCCGCCTGCCCGAGACGTTGGCTGGGCGCAGCGCCAGATGGGCTGAGACACCCTGTCTGGGATGTCCCTGCGCCCGCGCTGTCACGATGGGTCAGGAACGCTCCATGTCAGCCTTTGCTGTGGCGAGCGCTTCTTCGGTTCGATGAGGTCGGGCTGTGGCGTTGGATACGGGCAGGGGAACTCAAAGCGGGATCGATCGAACAACGGACCCTGCTTGTACGTGTGTGAGGCCGGTGCTCGTCGATGGGTGAGGCCGGTGCTCGTCGATGTGTGAGGCTGGTGCTCGTCGGTGTGCGAGGTACCCGGTACAGCGAGTGAGGCAAGGTGCAACGGGCATGACCGGCGCGGTGCGAGTGTGATCACCATGGCAAGAAGGCAGACAATCGACATTCGCGGATGGATGACAGAAGTGGCTGGACAGATGCGGGAGGGCCAGAGGCCGGTGCGGTCGGGAGGGTGCGGGCAATCTGCCATGCTGTTTGGGGTGGGAGCGCGTTGCGCTTCTCGAGGGACACACGCGCGCCAATTTGCCACCCGACCGCTGCATCCCGAGGATGCCATCCCGGCCTGGTGGATGTTCATATCGGCGCGTGTCGGGTAAGGGTCCAGCTTTTTTCCCGGCTCAGGTCCATCCGGCATCCGAGCAGCGCGACCGTGGCTGCGGCGTCGTATTTCCTCGGCGGGGCAGGTGGAGGCCTGCAGTGGCGGCGCGGCGGCTGGTGGGTGGAGCAGCGACTTTCCACTCGCTCGTCCGAGGCCGAGGATGGTGCCGGATACCGCGGAGGCAGGCAAGGCTGGGCGATGGGGGGGATGGCCAGTGGCGGGCCAATAGTGTGGTATTCTTCGTGGTTCGAGATATACATTTTCGTGGTTGGGGATAGACAGGAGATGAGGGCCTACATACGAGAGGACGGGTCAGGTTCTTAGAAGACGGGACGATATCCGAGGCGTCGAGGCCTACTAACTACGCTACACTAGAGGACGGGTCAAGTTTTGAGAAGACGGGACGAGAACTACTGAGACGTCGAGCCAGATCATCTTCAGCGCGACGCGCCGGGCTGCTCGCACTTGGTCTCGGGGTGCCGACCACGGCAGATGTTGCAGATGTGGAGGCGCTTGCAAGTGCGGGGGCAAGTGTTGCGTTCCCTGTTGAAAGCGTAGCAGACCTCGTGAGTGGCGACGAGCGCGTCGAGGGTGCCCTGCAGCGTGTCGACCGTGCTGTGAAGCGTGTCGACCGTGCCGTGGAGCGTGGTGACCGTGCTGTGGAGTGCGTTGACGCTGCCGGCGAGTGTGGTGACCGTGCCGACGAGGGTGTTGACGGTGCTCTGCAGGTTGTTGCGGTGGCCCGAGTTGATGTCGCGCTCGGCCTCGAACTGCTCCTGCAGCGTTCCAATGTCCGAGAGGAGGCGCATCGTGTCCGGGACGGCCTGTTGGCGGTCTCTGTCCGCCTGCACCGGCTTGCGCACTAGGGGTCCTCGCGGAGGAGGACGGCGGCGTCGGTTCCTGATTGGAGCGCCGGCGTCGCTCCACTCAGAAACCCAAGTCATCCGCTCGCTCACCGTGGGGGCGCGGCCGTCGTCGCTGGAAGCCGGACTTGTCGAATCGGTCTCGCCGCTGGAGCTGGGAGTCTCTCCGCCCGTGACTGCCGGAGGCCTCGAGAGAGTGATGGTGAATCCCGGGCAAGGCTTGCGCTCTTTGGGCATCGGGATGTTGTGCATCTTCGCGTACATAGCGATATAAGCCTCGACGGACGTGCTGTCCTCCGAAGCCCTGGAGGCCACGTCGGTGAAGTCGCTCGACGCGAGAGACGCGCCCGAGAACGGCGAGCCAGGAGTGGGCGTCGGGTTGGCAGGGTGGACCGTCGTGTTGTTCTCCGAAGCCTTGGGGACCACGTCGGTGAAGTCGCTCGACGCGAAAGACGCGCCCGAGGCCGGCGAGCCAGGAGTGGGCGTCGCGCTGGCAGGGTGAACCGTCGTGTTGTTCTCCGAAGCCTTGGGGACCCAGTTGGTGAAGTCGCTCCACGCGAAAGACACGACCGAGACCGGCGAGCCAGGAGTCTGCATCGCGTTGGCCTGCTGGAGGAAAGGGTGAAGTGAAAACTGGTCAACTCATACTGAACGACGAAGCCAAGAGGACGGACCAAGAACTCACGCTCATGGTGTGCTTGTCTGGAAGCGTGTCTGTCCTCGTGATGGGAAAGACTGTATAGAACTGTGAACACACAAAGAAGAGGAGCGAGGCTTATTTTGTCAGCTTACCCCTTCTCAAATGGAGACAGAGGGACTCTTTGCCTTGACACTGAGGCGCGTTTGTTCGAGTCGCGACTCGCCAACACAAGCCCAGGCAGGTCAAGGGCCAGGACAAGCCTGGGCAAGGCAAGTCGAGGCAAATCGCGACTCAAACCACCGCGACTCAGTGCCTGCACCAGGCATCGACGTGTTATATGGCGCAGTAGGTGTCCGGACGCCGCCGATGCCGAGCCACTAATAAGCTGGTGAGGAAACTCACCTATGGACCTTCGAGTCGACTGTAAACCTGGCTACAGCCCTGACGGACGGATTGAAGTCTGCAAACAGACAAAGAAGAGGAGCGGGGGCTTATTTTGTGTCAGCGCATCCCCTTCGAAAGAAGGAGGACCCTTCGCCTTGACACCGAGACGCGGTTGGACGAGTCGCGGTTTGCCAAAACACGCCAAGGCAAGTCAAGGGCCAGGACGAGCCAAGGCAAGTCAAGGCAAACCGCGACGCGCCCAACCGTGCCCCCGTGCCTGCACCAGACATGACGGGGCCACCGCCATGCCGAGCCACAAGATAACGCTGACTGAGGGTAACTCACCTTTGACCGGACTGTAAACCTGGCTGTAGCCCTGGACTGCGTCTGCAAAAAGATGCGAGAAGAGGAGCGGGGGTTTATTTTGTCAGCTCATTCCCTTCTTCGAGAAGGAGTACTCTTCGCCTTGACACCGAACGAGGCGCGGTTGTACGAGTCGCGTTCTGCCAAGACACGCCTAGGCAAGTCAAGGGCCAGGACGAGCCAAGGCAAGGCAGGTCAAGGCAAACCACAACGCGCCCAACCGCGCCCCCGTGCCTGCACCAGACATGGCGGGGCCGCCGCCATGCCGAGCCACTAAACTCGCTGACTGAGCATCACTCACCTACAGGGACCTTGGAGTCGACTGTAGAACTTGCTCTAGCCCTGGATTGAGTCTGCAAAAAGATGCGAGAAGAGGAATGGGTACTATTTCGTCAGCCTACCTCTCCCCGAATCGAGCCGAAAAAGAGGGATCCTTGCCTTGACGCCGCGGTACCTCCCGACAAGCCGTACCCGTCAACTCCAGGCACGACGAGGCAAAGAGACCCGCGGCGCCTGCTCCAGGCACCGAACAAAGGCTGTACAGGACGTGGCTGAGACAATGCCCGGTGCCGGACCGCTAATAGAACTGGTGAGCAGAACTCACCGATAAAAAGCTGTGCCAGGTGTCGTCGAGGTGTCCTGAGAGCGCCGGGCGAGATCGAGGAGGAGGCGGGGGGGTCCGAGGGTGGCCGGAGGCGCCGAAGGAGTAGTCGAGGGGGAAGAGGGGGCCTGAGGCAAGCTGAGAGCGCCGGAGGAGTCGTCGAGAGGGAAGAGGTGGTCTGAGAAGGTTGGGAGGATAGGAAGGCGGTGGTCGATTGTTGTGGTTTGAGGGGGAGGAAGTTGCCTCTCTTCTGAGCTCCTTTTAAGCATTTCTTGGGCCTGCAAACGGCCGCCCAAGCTCACTCAGTAGGAGGGACGGGGCAAGCCAGGCAGCCTCTCTGCAACGGCCGGCCGTCGAGGGCAGGGCAGGCTGCTTCGCTGCGACGGCCGGCCGTCGAGGGCAGGCCAGGCTGCTTCGCTGCGACGCTGAGAGGGCCAGGGCAGGGCAGGCTGTCCCTCGAAGCACACGACTGCTTTCACACTCGACGTGATCCCTCGAAAAATTACGGGAGACCAGAGGATCAGTGGATCAATCGAGCATCCCGTAGTTTTTCTTTTTCCTCGGCGCGATCAAGGGCAAAGTGCCTGGGGCGAAAAACTACGTTCACCTCTCGCTGATCCGAGAGCTCTGCGCGCACACCGACCAGCTCGAGCTGGTCTCCCGTAAATTCTCGCTGCATGGAATAGGGGCAGCGTTGCCTCGCTCGAGTCGGAGTCGACGCCGGCGGCCTCCTTGCACCCTCAAGCCACCCGAAATGGCATGCAAGACGCTGGCGCCCTCGCCCGCGTAACCCGGACGGTTCGGCCTCGCGGCAAGTTTGGATTTCCTGGTCGACGGTCCTCCATTCGGGTCGACGCTCGACAAGTCTGGTCGACGCTCACAATTCGGGTCGACGGTCGACAATTCGGGTCGACGCTCTCGAGACCGTCGACCCGAATGGCAAAAAGCAGCCACGGGGCCTAGCCACCCGGCCTAGCCACGCGAGGCGGGTACAGAGACAGGCAGACAGGGCGCAGACCCCTCTCCCCTTCCCCTTCCCCGTCCCCCGTAGTGTCTCTGCTGCCGGCCGCGAATCAGGGTCGACGCTCTGGACCGTCGACCCGAATTAGAAAAATTAGACTGCAGCCACGCGCTTGCTGGCCACGCGAGGCGGGCCCAGAGACGGGCAGAGTGCAGGCCCCTCCTCCCCTCCTGCGTGGGTCTGATCTGCTGCTGGCCGGGAATTCGGGTCGACGCTCCAGCAGACCGTCGACGCGAATCGAAAAAAATGGCGGCCACACGCCCAAGCCACGCAAGGCGGGTGCAGAGACTGGCCACGTACGCGCTCGAGGTGAGCCCCCGGTGGGTCGCCCGACCTCTCACGCGCGACCCTGCCTGGCTGCTGGTGGGACCGCATGAACGGCTGGATGTGAGCTCCCCCTAGGGCGTGTTTCATTCCCTCTGCCCGTCCCGCCGCAGCAGGACTACTGAGGCAGGCCTGCCACGTCACCTCTCCTGCTCGCCCGTGGGTCTCGACGGCAGCAGGCCTGCCACGTCGCCTCTCCTGCTCGCCCGTGGTTTTCGACGGCGGCAGGACGGCGGCAGGCCTGCCACGTCGGCCTGCCTGCTCGCCCGTGGTTCGAGGATGGGGACGGGGCTCGGAGAGGGCCACCGAGCAAGCAGACGGGGGTCTGGGGGTCTGGAGCAGCTGCAGAGGCGCCTGGCCCCCCCGAAAGCACCTCTGAGGGGAGGTCCGCCGTCCCCTCATCCCGACGCGGCGCTACTGACACCATCCTCACCGTGCACACGCTCGACGCCGAAGGCATATCGGGCGGGCGAGGCCAGTCTCAATGCGCATTCGTCGCCTTGGCTGGCCGAGGCTGGCCTCGTGGAGTTCTCGGTCTCGGTCTCGGTCCCGGATCCGTGAGTGAGGCCCAAGCCGCGAGGCCGCTGGCTGCTGCTGGCCTGCTGCCCCGCTGGTCCGTTGCCCCGCTGCCTGCAGCTGGCCCGCTAGCAGCGAGTCGGGGAGGCCGGGGGCTCGCCCCGCCTGTTTGAATTTTAATTTTAATTTTGCGGGGCTTTTTTGGCTGGCAAGCGCGGCGGGGCGCAAGCCCGGGAAGAGCGCGCCAGCGCGCGTGGCAAAGAGGCCCACAGACCGCACCTTCGCTGGATTCGTCGAGCCGCCCACCAACTTCTACGCCCAGGCGGAGCGCCGCAACAAGCACAAGGCCATATCCAAGGCCGAGAGCGATGTCGGCAACTTCCGCGCTGAGGACGGCAGCAAGAAGGAGAAGATCATTGTCAAGAACAGGTGCGTGCCCGACCCTCGAGCGCCACCGCGTTGTCCTCTGCCCCTACCCTCCATCCCTCCCTGCGCACACTGACCCTTACCCTTCCCCCCCATCCCCTTGATTCATCCGGCCCCGCCGTCGCGCTCATCCCCGATCGGTACGACTGCACTTGCCCGCTCTGCAGGATGGCGGAGGCCAAGTTCCGGAAGCAGCGGAGCTGCGACTTGGCAGAGGGGACCACACGGGCGCGCGTCAACAAGACCCTCGACCTGCACAACAGCCAGTCCAAGACCATCACCCACACCGCCCCTGGCGAGATCGTCGCCGGCCTGTGTAACTCAGCAAAGCTGTCCAAGCTCGCCGACCCCGCCTCCCGACCGCGCCTCCCGACCGCGCCTCCCGCCTTGTAGGCAAGCAAGTGGCCCTCCGCCGCGAACCCCGTCCTCGACTCTGGCCGCCTGCTCGAGCACTCAGTTGCGCACCGCGGCGACCCTTTCTCCCTGATGGTGTGGCCCGCGCAGGCGAGGCCTACTCTCAACACTCTCCCTCGCGTCCGCCTGGTGAGCACCGTGGCGCAGCTGGCGTCGGCCGGTCCCCTCTATCCCGCCTGCCGTTGTGGCGACAAATGCTGAGCTGGTAGGCCCTCGAGCCAGGGAGGCCTCCTCGCTCTCATCCGGCTGAGGCCGGGCTGCTTTCTCTGGAATACCGACCTTGCCGACGCCTTTTGCCACCTCTGGGCGGTGCGACACCCAGATGGTGCATGGCTTCTCGGCTTCCACCTCGACAGCCTGTACTACCGCGACAGTTCTGTCCCGTTCGGTCCCCGCTCCGCCCCGTGGGTCTTCAACATCCTGGCCGAGGCGTTCAATCAGATGGCGGACATGTGCGGCGTTTCGTGCCAGCACTTCCTCGACCACATCTTCGGGCGGTGGCGACCTCGACGACGCCGTCGCCGCGCTGCGTATCCTGCAAGATCTCTGCCGCTCCTCGGCGTCACCAGCGCGCCGCCAAAGACCTCTCCCGGCCGGCCCTGGCCGAGGTGCACTGCTGGCAGGCCGGCCTGCGAACCTGGTCCGGAACGTCGCTCCTGGCCTCCCCCTCGCCACACCGGACCTCCGACTCTTCCACCGATACGGCCGGCACGCGTGGCTACGGTGGTTGCGTGGTGTCTAACGGACCGGGCGGCCTACCCGGCCCTATCGCGGCAGCCCTCGACGCTTTCGCACAGCGCATCAGGGCCCGTCACTGGCACAGGCCCATGGGCTTCAAGGAGGCCATGGCCGTTTTGACCGTCGTGGAACACATCATCGCGGTCAATCTGGTCCTGCGGGCGGGGGCGCACCTTGCCCTCCATTGCGACAACGAGGGCGTCCGGCACGGCCTCCTCGCGGGCTCAGTCCGCGGCGACGCCGCTCCTGTCATCCTCCGCCTCTTCGACTTGGCCCTCCACCGGTCCTCCTCCTTCTCCTGCGTCCAAGTCTCCTCTGCTGTCAATGCTGCTGACCCGCTCTCCCGCTTCCGTCTGGACCTGGCGTACCCTAGACTTGCACAGCTCTGCCGCTCAGCTCCCTCGGACGCGTCGTCGACCTCGTCTCCACCCGGTCGGCTGGCGGCTGGACGCCCCGGTCCGGGTGTTGACCGAAGCGGCGAGATACCCAACTGCGGCGACGGCGCTGCTCGGATGGATTGGCCTTGCCCGCGACATACACACCGGAACGCACACACGGGCACGCCGCGGCCCTTCGACGCTATGGCGACTTTGCCGCCCGTCGCGGCAACCCCGTCACGTTCGTCTCCACCGAGGGCCTCCTCGCCTTCCTCGCCGCGGAGTTCCTCCGGACGGGGGCAGGCGTCAAGTCCCTCCGGGCCCTCTCCTCCAATCTGCGCTCGTGGCACGTCGACGCAAGCCTCCCTCTGTTCCCATTCGCCGATCACCGGGTCCAGCGGGTCCTCCGGGGCGATGCCTGAGCCGGCGTTGCCCGTCCACCACGACAGGCCACACCATTTCCCGTGGCGCACCTCGAGCTGGCGATTGCCGGCTCCTACCGCCTCGCGCTCCCGACAGACGAGGCCCTGGCCCTGCGCGCAGCCTTTGCGGCCCTCTGAACGGCTCCCTTCGGTCTGGCAAAGTCTGTTGGTCCGGGGCCTTCTTGGCCCGCATGCACCCCTCCGTCGCTGACGTTTGCCTGGCCGCATCTGGCTGCTCGCTGCGCATCCCTGCTTCCAAGACCGACATCGGCGGCCGTGGTTTCTGGCTCATTCTATTCGCAACTGACGGCTGCACCTGTCCCACCGCCGTCCTACACGCCTCCTCGCCTGGCACGCCCAGCGTGCGGCCCAAGCCGGCGATGTGCTCTTCCGCTTCGTCGGCGGTGGCTTTGTCCGTTCCAGCTTCCTGCGCCTCTTTCGCAACTGCCTGCAGGCGGATGTCATCAGCTTCGCCACCTCGTGAGTCGTAAGACCAATCTTGGCCCTAAATTTGGAGAAAGATGAAGGGGGAAGAAGCTCGGTGAAAGAGTCTGCGGGGGGTTTCGGGGCCAGGGACACGGGCAACGAAGGTGAGGCGGGCGCGCTCGGCGTCGCGAACGGAGTGATGGCGGACGTCGATGTGCTTGGACCGACCATGGGCGCCTCCGCGTTGAGGGACTGCCTGAGCTCCACTTCCTTCAGTGTGGATGACGATGGGAATGGGATTGGAGGGGATGGTCGGGAGAGGATTCATGAACTACAAGAGGTTGCGGAACCACGCGGCCTTGCGCACGCCGAGGGAGAGGGCCATATACGGCCGTAGAGAGGTCGAAACAGTTCCCAGAGCTCGCGTGGACCACTGTAGCCCGGGGCGGGACGGGTGTAGACGATTGTGCGGAGCTGAGCGTGAAGGAAAGCCGTTGTCACATCCCATCGTCGGACAAGCCAACCGAAGTGAGCGGCGATCGCGAGTACGAGGCGGAGGTTCAGTTACTGTAGTAGGCCGTGAGGTCGTTGAGGCGATCAAAAGGGCTCGACTCGGTGCAAAGGACAGAGTTCTTGATACCGCACTCGCAGCCGGCCTCGTTGACATCGAGCTCGCCGTCGTACTTGCACAACCTGCTCGAACGTGGTTGCCGCCGTATCGTGTGCAAGATGGAGTGGTCTGTGAGTCTGTGCGCCATCAAAAAGTAACAGAGGCGAGGCCGCCACCACGGGGAACCTACCCCTGGAAGTCTCCCTTTCGCTTGCATTCCTTGCCCTGTGCATCGAGCGGGATGGCGCAGGTGACCTTGTGTCCGTAGCCTTCGGGCCCGCCTCCTTCAGCCAACATGTAGCAATCGTGCTTGTAGGCTGGTCCGATTCGTGCAAGAGGCAACGCACAATGGCAGGAGGTCAGACGGGGCCGATCGGGGAGGGAGACGACGCGAGTCGACGGCAAGGTCCACCACTCACTGCAGGGCTCCTGGATTCGTCGTCCGTGGCCTGCCTCGACGCCAGAGAGGCTGCAGAGGAGTGCGGCCATTGCGACACAGACGATCAGGTGCAAGGACGGGCGTGCCATGTTTCGTATTGCAGGGGTGGTGGGTTTCGGTGGTACAGGTGAGAAAGCGAAGCGTAGCGATGGGACGAGAGGGGTGGCGAGCAAGACGATATCGAGTGAGAGAGAGGACGAGGGAGAAGAGGACAAGGACGGTGGAAGAGGGAAGCTGACTCGGTCAGCAGCCTCCGAGGGAGTCCTTCACTGGACTACTGCACCCCGGCGGCCCGACTCGACGTCGAGGGAAATGAGATGCACCAAAAAGTCACCTCGACGCCCCGACCGAGGGCGTATTCGGTCAGCGGGCGTTGGTGCTGCAGTATCGTGTGGCGTTGAAGTGGGGTGCGTCCGAGTCTAGGGCTCGAAGGCGATATGAAGCGTGCCTTACCCCGCCGAGGTCACTCCGAGCGGGGCGTCGAGGGCGTTGTAGGAAAAAATGAAGGCCGGCGACCCAGGGCCCGTGCTACCAAGGATCTGCCGCCGTATGGACGGATACATTGCAAGGCTGGAAAGCAGAGCAGCTAGGCGGGCGTGCTTGCTCGAGACGGGCATGGCGGTGACGGCCGTCATGGTGATCAGGTAGGAGACGGACGGATGACGACGAGTGGACGCGCCTAGCCCCTCTCCCGCCCTGGCCGGCGCCAGCGGGCGACGGGCGAGGTCGAGTGGAACGGGTCCGAGCCTCGGTGCCTCCGCGCCTACGAGTCAAACTTGGCCGGCCGAGAGATAGGGTGCAGCGCCACCCACAACCCTCGCTCCCAGCTTCGCCGGCCGAGAGGCAGGCTCGAGCGCCAGCCAGCTCCCCTGCTCCCAGCTTCGCCCAGCCTCTCTCGCTACCCTGCCGACAGGCATCCTGTGGGTCGCAGAGGAAGGGCACAGCGACCCGTTGGGCTGGCCTCGTAAGGGCCGAGCCGATCCGCTCTTGGCCGCACCGTCTCGCTCCGCTCTTTGGCCCTCGCGCGCTCGCAGTCTACTCGGCCGGAGCGGCTGGACGTTTTGCGAGACCGTCGTCCGTCTTGGAGCTGCTGCGGCGCCTCGTTGGCCCCGATGGCATGGCGCAGCGCTCTGTCTCTCGGATCCCTTTTGCGGCTGTGCAAAGGCCGGGGCGAGCTCCGCTCTCTCACCACGTCGAGGTGCCGCTTTCTGATTGGTGCGGTGCGCCATATCATCGACCGCGCATGTCGCCCCGTAGCTGTGTCTAGGCCGACGATGCCAGCTGCCATCGCCATGATGCCGACGTAGGGGGACAGGGTGGCTTGCTGCCTGCACGGCATCGAGCACGATGTCACCATTTGGGTCCGAGCGATGTCCAGCTACGATGCGGGTCCCCTCGAACAGAGATGGTGAATTGGCTGGGTGGTCCCTCGTTGGAAAAAACGGGCGAGGAGGGCACGGGGCTACCGGCCATGGCGGCCTGTCTGCACGCCTGGCTGGGTGCCGATTCTCTGCGAGGGAGGGACGCTGCCCAGGTCCTGCTTGAACTCGGAATGCAGCCGGGCCCGGCTAGAGGCTGGGCTAGGTTTGGGCCCAGCCCCAGCCCCGCCCAGCCTAGCTACCTGCAGCGCCCGTTGGGCGTGCGAGTGTGTGGCCACGCCGACCGTTCACCCATGTGGCAGGCGGCTAAGCTGGTTGCATCGTCCGGGATGCGCGCATGCATGCATGCATTTCCCGCGCCCTCTACCAACCGCCCGTCTCTGGTTGGTCTGCCGCCAAGGTCTTTCACGCTACCTAGCCTACAGCTTTGCAGCGATGCTACCTACCGCTCGCCTCTGCCAGCCTACAACCGATGGCACAGGACCGCCGAGGGGCGAGCACACGCTCTGGCCGCTGCCCAGCATCTGCTGCCCCAGCCTCGAGCACCGGCCCTCGGCCATACGCTTTCTGGCTCCGTCGTGCTCGCACACGAGTCCCGAGAGCTGTCCGTGGCTTGTCGTTCCGCCTCGCACTGCCAAAGAGATGCTGCCTGCTCCAAGGCCAAATTGTGGCGTGGGAAAGCAACGCACCGCACCGCCTCACATCGCAACGCCTGTGCAGCACCACGGCGGCCAGCGAGCCTCGTCCGCCTTCGTGATTGGACGTTTGGCGTATGCTGATAGGGCTCGCCGCCGTCCCTGCTCGTCGCAGCGGCTACTTTTCGAGTCAGAGCGCTGACGTGGAAGCCAGCAGAAGAGCGGCCACGGCGCCGCGGTCTCGGTCCTTGAGCCCACAAGCGCCCGCACAAGGCTCAGTCTTGTCCTTCGGCCTGTAGCGCCGCTGCTGCTCCAGGAAGCTGGCACCGCCGCCAACGGCAGGGCAGCCCTGTCGCTGTGGTCCAAGGGAACAGACGCTGATCCAACAGAGAGGAAAAAGGGCTCGTCGAAAGGCTTAAAAGGGGGCCAGTCGTCGTCCCATCTTCTTCCCTCCTTTCCATCACTCCCCATCCAACCACCTCCGAGCCTCCCTTCGGTAAGCTTGCCCTCCGCCTCATCGGATCACACTCACGCCTGCTGCTAGGATCGCTGACTGCCCTTCCTCCACCCTCCTACTGGTCTGCTCACAGACGCTCGGCTTCGACATGATCGGCAACATCTTCTCCTGGGGCGCTGCCCCGAACAAGCGCGCGGCCGACCCTACCTCGTCTTCGGCATCGTCTCGCGCCTCAGCCAACATCCGACATCGCTACGAGATGCCTACCCCGGCCCAGCACCGTCACTCGCACCGCATCGACACGCTCGGCCCGCACCGCAAGTACGAGATCTCTACCAGCACCGGTCTACAGTTCGACACCCTGCTTCGCCCCACCACGGCCTCGGTCAACGGCGGGCATGTCCATGTCCTGCTCGACGAGATGTGCAAGCAACTCCGATCCCAGCCGACGTGCTTGAACGCCATGGCCGCCCAGCAGGAGTCACTCAACAAGACGGTCAAGAGGCTCAACGCCAAGGTCGCCGCCTACAGCTCCACCAAACCGAAGGACATCGGCTTTCACGAACCGCGCGACACTCCGTGCGTCAACTTCAACATCAAGCGTTGCAAAGGATGCAGCAACCCGCACGAATGTCTTCTTTGCCGCGCGAACCACCCGGTCCACCGTTGCAAGATCGCCGCGATGCAGGAGGAAGAGCTGTCGCGCTGAACCAACCATCGTGTAAGTTCTCCCCGGGCTTACCAGAGTGCGGCACCCGGAGACGACGGCGGGCCTCTCCAGTCCGGGATTCTGGACACGCACGCCGCCCTCGCCGATTCTGGGAACTGGACACGGTGGCGGGCCTCGCCGGGACCTTGGGCCTGGACACGCGCACCGCTGGCTGCCTCTTCGGAGGTGGTCATGCCGGCGCGCCTCGCCAGCGCTCAAGCCTGGACACGCCCGTCGCCCTCGCCAGCCTCTTGGGGTCGGACACGGCGACGAGCCTCGCCAGTTTTCCGGGGCTGGACACGCACGCTGCCCTCGCCGACTCGAGGACTGGACACGGTGGCGGGACTCGCCAGGAGACCTTGGGGCCCGGACACGTGCGCCGCCCTGGCTGCCCCTTTCGCGGTGGTCACGCCGGCGTGCCTCGCCGGACCTCAAGCCTGGCCACGCCCGTCGCACTCTTCAGATCCCTCGAGTCGGACACGGCAGCGTGCCTCGCCAGTCCTCCTGGGCTGGACACGCCCGTCGTTTTCGCCGGCTCCCGTGCGACCTATACTGACAATATCAAGGGGGCCCCTTTTTTTATCCTGGATGGCGGATTTCTGTCATCCAGCACGACAGGACACCTACCGATTGGCAGCAAGTCCGAGTCCACATTTGTAAGTTCTCCCCGGGCTTGCCAGAGTGCGGCACACGACTCGACGGCGGGCCTCGCCAGTTCGGGCCTGGACACGCCCATTGCCCTCGCCAGCTCCTATGAGTTGGACACGGCAGTGAGCGTGGCCAGGCCCGGTTCTCAAGCCTGGACACGCCCGTCGCCCTCGCCAGCTCGGTTGAGTCGGACACGGCAGCGTGCCTCGCCAGGCCGAGAATAGGGCCTGGACACTCACGCTGCCCTCGCTGGCTCAATGACTGGACACGGCGGCGGGCCTCGCCAGACCTCGGGACCTGGACACGCCCGCCATCTTGACGTCTCCCGTGCGACCTATACTGACAATATCAAGGGGGCCTTTACTTTGGATGTCGGATTTCCGTCATCCAGCACAAACAGGATTTCAGCCGCGCAGCAGCAAGTCCGAGCGCCCGAGCCTCACCTGGTCTTCTATCTGAAGTCGACCGCGTGTAGAAGCAACAGGCGCTATGCCGAAGCAGGTCTTTCCAAGGCCCTTTGCTCGCACGCGAGAAGGAGTCTCGCGGCGATCACACAGATCCCGCCGGGTGCTGGGCAAAAAGCGCCTGCAGCCTCGTAGCATCACGGTGGCCGGAGCCGCGTAGTGTCGTAGCCTTGTCGCACGCCGGGACCCCCGTCGTGGCAAATGTTCCGCTAGTCTGAAATGACAGAATGTCTCCGCTCTCGCCTGGCCGTTGAATCTACCTCTATCGCTGCACCCGTGTGACTGCTTGGACGGATGGTTGCGTGTTTTGAGAAAACATACAAGGCGGCTCGGGAAGAGGGGACACGGCCGTGTCTGCTCGGACCCAGCCGTGTCCCAGCCGAGTGGATGCGACGTCGTTCTATGTTGCCCAAGTACGAGGCTGGGATACAGGGGGATTCCATCAGCATCGAGTAGAACTGCCTTGTACACGCTTGTTCGGCCCGGTAGGCAGAGGGAGCATGCCTTTCATCGACCCAGCGAGCAGCAGAGAGGTCGAGCAGTTCTCGATGAGGGCGCGAGGCGAGGCCTACAGCGTTGGGTAGCAGCACCCATCGAACACGAGAAGCGCCTTGGCCATGCTAAGATGGGCTTGCAGCCCTCCCAGCTTGACACTCGAGGAGCGAGTAGCAGTAGCGTCGGGGTGGCGGATGTGCCGCCTGGGCAATGTCATCGAACGTAGACCAGGATCCCGGCCCCGAAGACACTATCGCTGCCTCGGTGGCCCTGCTCGGCGACGGTGTGGCTGGGGCGGTGCGCACTGCGGATCCGTTGTGGACCTGCAATCTTGGCACTCACGTGCGATGCAGTACTCGTCCTGACCTGTCTCGTCCTCCTGGCGAGCGACGATGAAGGCCTCCGTCGTCGGGCCAGCGGGTAGATCCTCGCTGGTACCGTCGAGGCAAGACTGTGAGACGGCCACGAGCGGAAGAAGGCGTACTTCGAGCGTGCTTGGCTGCTTGCAACCCTCGATGTGATTGCCGATTACCAAGGAGAGTAGCTGCTAGCCTTACGCCTGTGAGGTGCTCCCTGAAACCTGGGATAATGCAGCCAGACCGAAGCTACGCCCAGCCTGCAGCGGCCGTTGCACATATGCGTGGGACCCATTGGCCTGCCATGTGGCAGGCGGCTACGCCGGCTGAACCGGCAGAGGGCGCGTGTGCATGCAGCCGTGCATTTGCCTGTGCGCGTCCTGCCCAGCCCCAGACTTCCTTCCAGAGCAGAGTAGTAGTAGTAGTCCTAGCCTGCTCGCCGCGCCTCTATCCCCTCCGGCGTCTGCAAGTAGCTGCCGACGATCAGCTTGCGGTGTACCCCTGTCCCTGCTTCCCACGCTGCCTCGAAGAAGCGTCCACATGGTTCGTAGGGGCGCGCGCAAACTGAACCCTCCCTCAGCGTCGTATGACTCGGAGCGGGCATGGTGCGAAGACGTGGCGTGGCTGTGCTGCCTCCTCGTCCTCGTTCGCACGACGATCGTGGCTTATCCTCTGCAGGAACGGCTGCAGCCAACGATGGGCGCAAGCTAGAGGCAAAGCCCGGCAAGCCTCTCCGCCATGTGAAAGGCAGCCTCTGCCAGGGTGTCGTGGACCAGCCAGGTGCGGGCGTGAGAATCACACGCAGCGTTGGGACGTCGCAGCCTCGAGGCGCAGCAGCATGGTTGCATTGCGCTCGGCCTTGCGGCTGCCAGTTTTAGAGTTGGGTTCAAGATGGGTGCATCGCCGCGAAGCCACCCAGTAGTGTGTGCAGATGCCTGTGCACTGAGCTTCACGTTACTGCTCCGGAGATCCAAAATCTGGCCAGGTCTGGATGCTGCTACAGCATTGCTCAGCCGGCTCTTGGACCCGGATGGGCATGGGTGTACGAGCAGCCACAAACGGTGTCTGCGTCCTAAGCATGTGGTCCACGATGCCACGGTATTTGCAGCTATGGCTTGCAGCTGAATTGCACAGCGGCTACTTTCGCCGTCGAGGACGGTGCTGACGTGGAAGCCAGCTCGTAGCTACCGTCCCCCTGGGAAGCTGAAGCAGAGCCAGAGGCATCCCGCCTAAGGCGCCTCATGGACAGCAATGGACAGCGACGTCTTGCACCGGGCCACTGCAGTGCAATCTCGTGCTCTCCACGTAGCAGAGAGCAGTCAGTGTACCGAGCTTGAGATCCCCTCTCTACGGCCTCGAGATGGGAACGGAAACGGGTTAAAAGGTGCGATTTTGACCTCCCCTCATCTTTCTTTCCATCATCCCTCATCTGCTCTTTCCTCTCGACGCCACAGCCCCCTCTTCTCTACTCACTCCTCCCTCTACCAAGCGTGCCTTATCCTCTCCTTCGTCCAGGCCGGTAAGCCTTGCACTTTCCCCTGGCCCCTTCCCCTGCCGCTTTTGCTTACCTCGGCGAGTGCTGACCTGCTCTTCTTCGCCGCCGCTGGTCCCCCCCTTCCGCTGCTCTGATCAACAGGTTCAGCCCTCCAGATCCCTGCGCTAGACGACACGAAACAATGGGACGAGCCAAGGAGGAACGCGCACGCCTTCGCCACATGAAAAAACTCCTCCGCCGCTACGACGTCGATATCATCCGAGACATGACGACCTCGACCTCCCGTATTAAAATCAGGTCGAAGCTCAAAACGAAAGAAAAACTGGCTCGGTCCGCCCGCCGAAGCGCTTCCGAGGCCGGTCCCAGCCACAGCGCCCCCAGGAACGCCGACAGGAACGCCGACAGGAACGCCGACACTGCCACACACTCAGCTGCCGACGATAACACTCGCGCGAACGCAAGCAGCACCACCGACACCAACCATGCGCCTGCGCCCGAGCGCTACCCGAACGCTGCGTCCGACTTCGCGAGGATCCTCGAGCTCGCTGCGCGCACCTCGGACACGGCCGCCTGCGTCGAGATCTTCCTGCGCACCTGCGCTATGGCCGTCCGGGCCTGGTCAAGCTGGACTTCGTCGCGCAAGGCCAAGAGGGCAGCCGCGGAGGCCGAGAAGAGCAAGAACGAGCGCACGGCCGAGTCTGATGGCCAGCGCGACGCCGCGGGATCTAGCAAGGAAGCCGAGCGCCCGACCGAGCAGCCCCAGGACGACGACGAGCGTACCGACGCAGCGCCCAAGCCCAGCAGCAGCGAGGCGGCCACCCAGGAGGCCGAGGCCAAGCCCAAAGACGCTGCCGAGACCGCCGCGTCTATCCCGGACGACCCCGGGGTCAAGAGCGAGCACGACGACGAGGACAGCGGTCCGGCGGATACCGAGGTGAGTTCGCTCACTAGCGCAGTTGTGAGGGAGGGGCGTTCTTTGATCGCCCCCCTGGAGAGGGTTCCTCTTGAGCGGCCGCCGGCCCCCCGCTTGGAGGTCTTCGGACACTCCAAGTGCGCTCGGCACGTCGAGCCAACCAGGTTCAGCAGAGCGGGTTTCTTTGCGATGACACGTGCACTGGTCATGCTAACAAAATAAACACTCTTTTCGGCTGGCTGTTTGGCTCGCTGATCCGCTTGACGGTACGTTTGTCCGTCGAGCAGCAGCAGCACCCCTCGCAGGCTTCTACGTACTCGGCCTCGGCCGTTGCCCTTGTCTCCAACATCGAGCCCGCCGCGGCCTAGATCCATCCATTGTAAGTCTCCTCGGCCTTGCCAAGGTGCGGCACCCCACCACGGCACAGCGCGCCTCACCACTCTCCGGGGCCAGATCACAGCCGTGTACCGCCTGTACTGACGTTTGCTTTGGACGTCGGGCCTCCGCCACGAAGATACCCACAGGCAATACGAGAACCCATCGGCCGGCAAGCTACCGGCTGCACCGACGACAAAGGACCACACGTCCCCCGTTTCGGCATCGCTCCAACAAGACGTTCGTCACACCCGGCGGTTCGCCCGGCCGGATGCGGGTACATGGGACCTGCGCGTCGCCGGCCGCCCTTTGGCCAGGGCCCACCTCGGGCAGCGTTCGGCGGGACGACTCGCAGTCACTGGGTCGTCGAGGCCCATTACCCTGATCCCCTAGTCTAGAGCACCGATCCCTTCGTATCTTGACCCAGCGAGCCGATCCGGAACATCTCGGGTGGCCTATCGAGCTCGGCCGCAGTCCCGTAGAAATTCAAGCTCTTCGTCGTCGGCTGCCGGAACCGGGCTGTGTGTAGTGCAGGGCAGCGACCGAGCTGGCCTCACAGCGTCTGCGCTCGGGCCTTTCTGCCTGCGCTGCAGTCAGCCTGGCGTAGCGGCATGCAGGCAGAGGGCGCGGGCGTCTGGACACGGTTTCTGCCTCTCTTTGGCTGACCCTCGTTCTTGCTCCTACCCACCGGCCCACCACCTCCGTAGCCGCACCGGTATTCGCCGTTGTCCGTCGCCGCCGCTCTCGCATGCTTCCCACTTCTGCCTCGGCCCCGTCGCCCTCATCAGATTACCGCCCGGCAGCCAATCCACCGCCCAGCCGCTCTCGCTCAACGGCCGTCTCGCGCTGGCAGCCTCGGGAGACGAACCGAGCCATCCGCATACCAGCCGTCGACACCCTGCTCAACAGCGTGCGCTCGAGATTGCCTGGCATCCTCGAAACTGGCCATACCACCCCCGCAACACCATCCCTGCATCGTTCAGCGTTCCCTTTTGCCTTGCCCCGGCCGCCAAGCTCAGCCGCCGCGCCGCTTTCCCGCCCACCGCCCTTCCAATCGACGGAAGCGTTGGAGAGCTCTCTCCTACGTCCCCGGCGGTGGACGGCGTCGACTCGCCCTTGCGCTCCCTCGTCTCGGCTTCCGCTCCCTTTTCCGCTCCCCTGTCCGCTCCCATGCCCGCTTCCTGCCCTGCTGTTATCGCATCAACCGCATCGGCGGCGGCCTCGACAAGACCCACAACATCAACGTGGCGAGCCGCTTCGCCACCGACCCTGCTGCTCCGCCCGAGATGAGTCCTGCTGACCCTCCGCTTGCTCTCCTTGCCTCTCTCTCTTCGCCCTTCAGCCTCGCCTCTACCTTCCCCTCCCTACACCACCGTAGCAGCAGGCCCAAACTTGTCAGCAACGGCCGTGGGTTCATTCCGTGAGCACTGTTACCTGCCTGCCGGCGCACCTGCTGTGCCATTAACCGCTGTCCCGACTGACGCCTACTGCTCCGTTCCTCTTTCCTCTCCAAATCCCCTGCTGCCAATGCTGCGGCCACTCTCGCAGTGCCCTGCATTTGCCCTTGTCCTCGCCATCAACCTGCCGACCCGCTCTGCTTCGCCTAGTCTCGCCGCGCCGTGCCACCTCGCCCTGCCACCTCTCCTTCCCACTTGTCTTGCCTTGCCGACTCGCCTACGTCCCGTCTTTGGTCCGATCCGCCATCTGTCCGAACGACGACTCAGGAGGGCTGCACCGGCTCTTCTCATCTTGGCGTGGTACCGGTATGAATGTCGCACTAACTACCGCCTTCGCCGCTCGATCCTTCTTGCCCTGCCCTTCCCTACCCTACGCGCACGCCGGGTTCAGCAGATGCACCTGTGCGTTCCGACGGCACGAACCGGCCGAAGCACACCTTCGGCTCGTCGGCCGGGGCATGAGATGATGACAGCGTGTGCTTAGGCGGTGTACAGTACGCTACAAGCAACGGCGGTCCGATCCCAGCAGCCCGTGTACAGGACAGAGCAGGAGCGTGCTGAAGCGTCCTCAAGAAGATAGTATCGCATGTCTGGCCATGAGCAGCGGTAGGGCGTAGACGCGACCAGGATGGGATGGGGCGAAGCGCCTGACTTTCGGGGCAGGATGATCCGAGTCGTCGCCTGGCCTGGCTTGGACTGGCCATGCTGCGAGACCCAAGGCGAGGCGAGGCAAGGTGCGACACGAGCCCACGGCATGGCAGGTCCACGCATGTATGGCTTCCGACGGTGCGACGACGATGTCGGGACCTCGGTCTCAGCCCCCACGATGCAGCCCTCGACGACCGCGCCAACCCCAGAGAGACAGGAGAGGAAGATGCGATGGGCAGGCTGGGCAGATCCGACCTTCTGCCAACTGGCATCCGTAGGGCAGCGCGGCGCGTCGGGCACGGTACGTGCGTACGCGTTCGTCGTCGAGCGGCTGGCCACGGCTGGCTGGCGGGCGCTCTGCGAGAGTGGACACGACTGCACCCGAGGAGCTCAGCGTTTGCACCTGCGGCGCTGAGCTTGCCGATCCCCGTTCTGGCCAACCGTTGAAGCTCTTCATCTTTAGCTCGCCATCTGCCTGGCTTCGCAGCCTTGTCGAGACCAATCCAAGCTTTGTTGACCTCCCGAACGATTGGCGCCAGCGCACGCCTCGGTGCGGCCGCATCGACGACGTGTACGACAGCGCAGCATGGATCACTCGTACAGCCGGGCGCCGCTTCGTGGTTCACGATCTGTCTGTGCGGGTGACGCCCAAGATCGATCGGTCTCAGCCATAGAAGAGCGGACAGACATGTAGTGTCGGCGCCATCGTCCTTCGGATTGACAACCTGCCCTCGCGGCTGCGCAACAAGATGTTGCACAGCCTCCTCGTTGGGCTACCCCTGGCTCCAGAGCGCCGCGTCATCTCCAGCACCTCATCGATCCGATAGTCGACGACCTACTCCTGCTCCACCGCGGCGTCTCAGTTCGACCTGGCGGCTGCGAAGTGGCTCGTGTCCTCCGCGCCGAGATCAACCTGTTCTGCGGTGACCGCCCTGCTCGCGGCAAGGTGTGCAGATTCCCCAGCCATGCCTCGGGCGGCTGTTTCTGCCCCTATTGTACGCTACGGCGCGATGAGATCAACGCCGCCGCCAAAGGCGCACCCCCGGAGTCCAGCGCAGCACCGACACCACAGCAAACAGGCCGAGGAGCGATCCAACAATCAGACCGCTGACCGATGCCAGGTCCAGCTTACCGGCGCCGACTACACGCCGCTGCATACGCTGCCTTACTGGTCGTTAGTGGAGCGAGCGCCGGTCGACGGGATGCATGCTGTCTTGCCCGGCATCATCAGACACCGAGCGAGCGTTCCTCGAGCGCCGAGACAGAGGCGAACATGGCTGCGGCACGGCAAGCGACGCCGTCGTCGAGGCATTCGCACGTAGCCCGCTCTTCACGATGAAGAAGGTGGACGCCACCACCTTCGCTTCTACTCTTGTCAGCTTCGCACCGCTTTGCCCTCCGGAACCAATCCTGTTCGACATTCGACGCCACGGAGGGCCAGCACGTTCTGCTCGACAGCATGGTAACATTCCATGCCTACGTCGACCTTTGCGACTCGGTCCTCAACTCAGCGGAGTCTCGAAGGGCAGCCAGACGAGCCGACATCGAGGACTCCATCCTGGCAAAGTCGCCCTGCAGCGTCGCGAGCGACGTCGGGTGGGCCCTCAGACGAGCGAGAAAGGGCATCATGGTCGGGCTGCCTGATGCAGAGCTGGATGAAGCCGTCCGTACTCGCGCTGCCTTAGCCGACCGCCGTCGACGCTGCTAGTCAACTGGACTTAAACGCTCGTGGCGAAGACCTTGAGCACTTGCTTGAACTCGCCGATGGTTCCCTCTGCAGTGCCCTGCAGGTTGATTTCGCTATCGGCTGACTTACTGGACGACGTTGAGAGTGATCTGAACGCCGGCGGGCGCTTGACGCTAGTACCACGACCATCGACAGGAGCGCCGCTACCGGTACCAGCCGGCCGACCGCCGCCAGAAGGTGTACCGCACCCGGCAGGACGGCTGTTGGTAGGAGCGCCGTGGTCGTGCGCCTTCAAGCTGTGAATCGGCATGATCTTTGTCTCGTCGTTGTGTGTTTTGACCAGAACCGGAGGCAGGAGGCGCGGCACAGGCGGCTGCTCGAACACGAGGGCGGCCTCGGTCCAGCCGAGGCAGGGTGTGCTCGCCTCGGTAGCGCATCGGCCCGCTCGCTCGCCGTCCGAATTTCCAAACTGATGCCGAACTCACCAAGACGGCTCCGTCAGCCTCGGGACATCGCCCCGTTCCGCCGTTGGACCGGCCCGCTGCCGCGATCGCTGCTTGTTTGTTGGTCCTTTGCCGATGCTGACGATCCTCGAGCGCACGACGATCCTCGAGCGCATCTAGGCCTCACTGCGCTAACAACCACCTCGTCCGATGGTCCAGCAGCGCCACTTCCTGTAGCCAGAACTCGGGGTTGCTGAATCCCAGCTCAGTCGAAATGGTCTTTTCCTAGAAGTCATGCATAGAATACAATAGTACGTGAGATTGCTAGAGTGCGTGAGGGAAAGTTGCGATTGAAGAGACGGTCAAGTCATGTGTACATATGGGTATGGTGAGGGGAATCCGTGACGGGGACAGAGAGGCGTGACGGGGAACAGTGCTAGGGAACGGAACGAGGGAGAATAGGCGAAGCAGGGAAATGAGGGTCCGCTCCAAGGGGCCTCGGTGCCGTTGCTCTAAGGGGCGGCGGCAGCGGCGGCGGCGGCCGGGCGGTTGTCCTGTTGCTGCGGCGAAGGAAGAAAAGGGAGAAGGTATGTTTTTTGTCAGATGAGGGTGCACCGTCAGAGAGCTCTCTGATCGCGCTGTGCGCCCGTAGCAGCCGAAAAGACCGCTGGGGGAAGCTCGGACAGGATCCGAAGCTAAGGTCGTGCTGCCGAAAATCGGTCGGACCGCGCAACACGCCTTTCTCTGGTGAATCATAGGACTCACGGGTTCAGGGGCGGCGGCGGCGGCGGCGGCGGCGGCGGCGGTGCGGTTGTCCTGCTGCTGCTGCAAAGGGGAGAAGTGGAAGAGGGGGCCTTTTTGTCAGATGAGGGTGCACCGTCAGAGAGCTCTCTGATCGCGCTGTGCGCCCGTAGCAGCCGAAAGACCGCTGGGGGAAGCTCGGACAGGATCCGAAGGCTAAGGTCCTGCTGCCGGTAAACCGGTCAGACCGCGCAACACGCCTTTCTCTGGTTAATCGTAAGACTCACGGGTTCAGCGGCCGGGCGGTTGTCCATCTGCTGCTGCAGAGGGGGAAAAAGGAAAAGAGGATTGCTTTTTTTTGTCAGATGAGGGTGCACCGTCAGAGAGCTCTCTGATCGCGCTGTGCGCCCGTAGCAGCCGAAAGACCGCTGGGGGAAGCTCGGACAGGATCCGAAAGCTAAGGTCCTGCTGCCGGTAAAACCGGTCAGACCGCGCAACACGCCTTTCTCTGGCGAGTAGGAAAACTCACGGGTTCATCGAGCGCATTCTGGAACACGCCGTAGGCCTTGCAGGCAGCGCTGGCCATCTTGACGGCGATTTCCAGATAGCCGAGGGCGTCGCGTCGCGTCGAGATGAAGTCCATGAGGCTGACGAGGTCGGCGGTGCTCTTGGGCAGGCACTCGGCGGCCACCTTCTTGAGGGCGCGATAGAAGGTGGCTCGGCGCTTGGCCTCCTGCTCCTCGGCAGCGCGCTCGCGTTCAGCGGCGATCCTGCGAAGCTCGCGGAGCTGGGCCCTCTTCCTGCGCTCGCGCAGGCGCTGCTGGCGTCGGAAGCTCGGCATGGCGGCTGAAGGGGGGAGAGGGGGGAAGGCGAGGCGAAGAGGGTCAGCTAAGGGGGGAAGGGTACAGGGTAGACCGGAGGGGCGAAGCAAGCTTACTGAAACGAGGTAGCGGTAGTTGGAATGGGATGGGCTGTTGCTGGAGAGGCTGAGGAAGCTGTCGATGGGAGTTGAGGTGATGGTTTGAGAGAGAGGAGGAAAGGTTGCAAAAGTCTGTTATTTAAACATTTCCTGGCCCCTAGAGAGAGCAGCTCCTCGAAGCGTCAGAGAGGCCAAGCTGGAGGGAGAAGCAGGGGGGGGGAACACCCTGGCCAGCTACTCTGACTCTGACTGGCGCGCCTCTACAGCAAGAAAATTACGGGAGAGTCGAGATCAGTGGACCAGGGGCAAGTCTGCCGCGCGGGGGGGCCAAAAAAATTACGGGAGACCAGGCTGGATCAGCGGATCAGAGAGCGCGCGTGGACGCGTCCTCTCCATCCCGTAATTTTCTTCCCCGGCCCCTTGCCGGGGGGGAAGAGGTGCAGGGTTCAAGGGAGAGAAATCGCGTTCACCCCGCTGCATCAAGGGTCGACGTTGTCTGTGCTCCAAAGCAATTCGGGTCGACGTCAACCCGAACGTCGACCCGAATCCACACACCGCCGGTGTGCGCCAGAGCAATTCGCGTCGACGTCGACCCGAACGTCGACCCGAATCCACACACCGCCGCTGTGCCCCAGAGCAATTCGGGTCGACGTCGACCCTAATGTTTGCACAGGTCGCTCGACCATCCGTCCTCGGCCGCTGAAGGGGATGGCGCCGCGCCCTCTGTCTCTTCAACCGAGACTGTGATCCAGTGCAATTCGTTCTGAATTCGCACAGAGCCGCTCGACCACGAGTGCTCGGCCAGCAGGAGTCCACGCGACGTTGCCCCAAGCAGGTGTGAGACGGGTTCGGATGGGCTTCTCCTTTTTTGCCTACCTTCGGGAATCAGAGTCGTCGGGGGCTTTCCTGATTCGCGTCCCCCCGTCCCGCTCCCCCGATTCGGAAAAGCGGTCGAAATTTTTGGCCAAAATCGTCTTCCTTCCTGACCACCATCTTCTCGAGACTGGTCAGCGCTGCACGAGATGTATCACGCCATCAGCTCAAGCAAAAGTGACTGACCACCATAGCAGTCAAGCAGCCCCTACGTGATACCGCATCTCTGCTTGCCCGGCCCACAGTGTACCTGCCGCCCCCGCAGCAGTCGAGCTCGCCCGGTCTACAGAGTACTGTGCCCGTCCTGCCCGGCTCTTGATCCGCCTACCTAGGCCGCCAGAATGGATCTGATCCTGTCCACAGCGAGCATCTTGAGCAGCATCGAGGTCGACCGTGCCAGGCAGCATCATCGAGAGCATCACTAACAGGGCTGATAACGTCGCTCGGCCCCCCTGCTCCATCAACTCGTGGTCGTCGCGACCGCACAGGAGATTCTCATCAGCACCATCGCCTCGTTCGGACCAGCTCCGCCTGGCGAGGCCATTTCAGACGGCCCTTGACTCAGCGCCCTTGGCCTCGCGTTGTGGATGGAGCGAGGCTTCCCGCTGTGGGTGAGCAATGTCGGAGGCGGCACCGTGGCTGTTCGGGGGCAGGCTTAGCAGAGGAGTGGGACCGGACGAGCGGCAAAGTGGGCTATCATACGATCTGGCCTACTGATACGAGCACTAGAGACATAGTCCCGGGCCTCTGGAGCAGCCTGGGCAAGAACGGGGCGATGGACGGAGAGGAGAGAAGGAGACGGTGGCGGCGCTACCAGAAGGGCATGCCCGCCGGCGGTGATCCACAACTCCAAAGGCCCGAGCTGCCTCTGCGTCGCGGTCTGCACCGCAAATGAACTGAGGAGCGGTAATGCCGAGGCCTTGTCCGTGCGACGGCGCCCTGAGAAGCGGCAGCCGATGCTGCCGGTACCATCGAGGCGCTGTCCGAGCAGGGCAGGTGGATTACGACGAGGACGACCGCGACGATGGCGTTGCAGACGGAGCGGACGGCCAACAGCGGCAGAGTAGCAAACCTCGCTCGGGGTCCCGACGGTCGTTTGCCCAGCGGCCGGCGCTCACACGTAGACTGTACGGTTACTCGCCTGCTCTAGGCCCGCGATGGGTGCAACATGGGACCACCCTCCACCTGACCCGCAACGCCCAGAGACCACCAGCTTCGTGCTTCTACAGCCACGCAACGCCTGATGTGCAACGATCCAGACGAGAAGACATTCGCAGAGGGAGCAAGGTACATTGCATTCCATGGTGCTGCGAGACGGCGGTGCACTCTCCTCGCTCACTCGGCAATCGGCCTACTGCTGTGCGATGCTCTTGCCCGTCCAGCCGTCGTAGTAGGCCATGGCAGCAGCGGCACCAAGCTTGGGAGCGTCGGGCGAGTAGGCCAGGCGGAGGAAGCTGTCGGCGCTGTCAGCATCGCCCACGATGCTGGTGTGGTAGCCGCTGCCGCTGTTGCCGATCGGGAAGTCGTCGGGGCCGGTGCCGGCGGGCGCCGGGCCCTGGTCCTTGCCAAGATAGTCGACGAAGTGGTACAGTCCGGCCGAGTTGACCGAGAACTGGAAGCGCTGGTGGTTTGACAGGTCGTTGTCGATAAAGTGGCACGGCTTCGAGACGATGCGCTCGTCAGTGCCAGTGAGCGAGGTCGCAGAGAGGCAGTAGCCCGAGGCCTTGCGAGAGGCGATATACCTGTGGCGGCGCAGCGGAGACGTGCGGCGGACAGAGGACAAAGAGGTGCAGGGCATGTCAGTCGGCGAGGCGGCGGAGTCGCGCAGGTAATCGACGGCAGGGCGGCAGATGAGCGGCTCGAGGGACGCACCCGGACTTGACCTCGTTGCTAAACTCTCCGTTCGAGTTGATGAGGTCGTGGCAGGCGACAAAGTCAAACAGCTCGGGCTCTTTGCTCGGCTGCAGGTACTGGAAGCCGTCGGCGGTGCGATGTCCCTGGAAGGTGAGGTACGCCTTGGGGAGGTCCCGCGAGCCCAGGATGGTGTTGACGCCGTAGCCCAGAGGCGCGGTCGAGACGACCTTGCACGAGGCCGGGGCGGCTTGGACGCCAGCTGTGCCGTAGCAGAGGGCGGCGAGGGAGGCAACGACAAAGCCGGTGTTGAGGGCGAACATGTTGGGCGGCGTGCGATTGGGGAGCGGTGTCGAGCTGAGTGGGCAAGGTGGCAGCGAGTGTGCGATGCAGATTCGAGTGAGGGAGCGATGGCTAGTGGTGTGAGATTCAACGGATGACTGGAGGCAGCGGTGACCGGTATATGTACAAGTGCAAGTTCGCAGAGCGAGGGTTCCACTGCACCGACAGCGTACCGAGCTACTGGTCGAGGGGCGAACAGAGCGCCAAGGGACCAACGGAACAGCAGCGCAAAGACGAGCAGTCGAGGCTGTGACGGCGGGTCAGGATGGTCGGACGAAGAGCGGTGCGAAGCTGCTGCGGCCGTCGGCCCGAAGCAGGGTACGGCTGCTCGGTCCACGTTGCAACTCGCTCGCTGGCTCGTCTAACGGGACGGGGAGTTCCGAGGCCGCATAAGGGGAGGAAGGTGGTGGGAGTGGTGGAGCGACGACGGCGAGCTGCGAGCTGCGAGCTAGCGGGTCGTTGCCGGCGGCAGCGCCAATCCGGCACTGCGGCGCGGGGCGAGGGGCCAAACGGGGTCCGAGGGCGAAGAGAGAGAGAGCAAACGAGTACTAGCTAGTGGGCGAGCCAGCTGGAAGGCGGATGGCGGAGGGGCCGACGACGAGGCACGCCGCTCCATCCTCGCTCCGAAGCCGCCGCCGAGGCTGTGCCGCCGGCTGGACCCCCGCTCAGCTCCACCGGCTGGTCCGCCTTCCGCCCACCCTCGGCCGGCCTGCCCTCGATGCGCCCTCGATGCACGGTCGATCCGGAACTGAGCGCTCCGGGCCGAGGTGGCCCGCCATGCCGGGTGAGGCAGGCTAGGCCGGCCAAGACTCGGCCGACAGGCAGGGTCCGGTCGGTGCAACCCCGACGCCCCCGCCGGGTAAACTTTTCCTGGAAAATTTAAACGGAAGATTCCCCACTGAACTTTAGCCGAGGCGCTTAACGACCCACGAGTTCGTCCCCCTGCCTCCTTGGATCGGATCGATGCGGGCGGCGTGCCACCCACCCCTTTCGGCACGACCTGGGCCGCCGCTGCTCCCCCTGCCTCGCTCTCTCTTCCCGTGCCTCGCTCTCTCCGTTTAGAGTGCGGCGCCTCTGCCTCTGTGTGACACTGACAGCAGGATCCAGGTCGAGTCAGCTGGTACGGCACGTCCGACGGAACAGCTCGAGCACAATGTGCCCACGTCGGTCGCCTTCCTCGATAGATGGACAGGAGGCCCAGAAGAAGGCCGGGCGCTGACAGTCCTTCCCGAAGCGGCTTCCGAAGCCGCTGCGCCATTGCCGTCGAGAAACGGGGGCGTTCCCGAGGTCTGTGCGCTACCGGCCCGGTTCCGCGGCCAGCCCGCGCACGCCTTTGGACCGGGTGTCCGGCTGCCGTTTTGCGCTCCGCTCTCCGCGTTTCGCGCCTAGCTCTCCGTGTCCCGCGCCCAGCTCGAGGTGAACGGACCGCCCGGGCTCCAGCGGCTTGCGCCTGCACCTGTAGCGGTGCCTTGATGAAGTGAACGACCGGCAGGGGTCGTGGCGTCAAGGAAGTCGCCTCACCTGCGTGCAGCTGTTCGACCAGGACGATGATGCGTCGACGGCGGCGGGATGCCACTGGGTTGGCTCGGCGGGCTCTCCGGCCAGCACCAGCGCGACGTGCGATGCGGCGGCGGCCCTAGACGAGCGGAGTAAAGCCTCGCTGCACCATCACGGCCAGGAAGCGAGACGGAACCGTGCTTCGGTATCTCGTTGATGTGGTTGCGGAGCTGTAGGTTGTCGCTGCGACTGCGGCTTTGGGACGTGGTGCATGCCCATCGGTCCCGTTCCCCTCGCGCCCATGGCCAAAGGCGTCGCGAGAGCAGGCCCTGCGTCAATGCCTGCTGGGGTCGCCGAGGGATGCTCATCATGAGGCCCCAGCATGCCGAGCGCGCTGACTGGTATGCTCGCGTGCCCGTAGCTGCTCCGCCCGACGTCGATAACTGGACCCGGGAGGGGGTAAAGGCTGCGGCAGCCCGCCTCAACGGCCCGGCGAAGGGTTGTCCCGGCGAAGGGTTGTCCCGGCGAAGGGTTGTCCCGGCAAAGGGTTGTCCCGGCGGCGCGCTGGAGATCTTCGAGCGAGCGGTGATTGTTCGCTCCGAAAGCGCCGGACGTCCGTCGACCCAGTGCGTTGATGTCACCCCCGCCGATTCAGGTGGCGTTGACCTCTGCGGGATGCGAGAAGCCTGCCCAAGGCGCCGTGAACAGGCGGCGAGGAGAGCGACATCCCTGGCTGTATGAAAGGCTGCCGGGACCGATGGACGCCTGCTTTGAGGAATCGAGACGCAGGAACTTTGCGCAGCGAATCGAGTGGGCGATGCCAACTCGCTCGGCGTCTCCGCAGAGGAGGTCTTTGCGCTGGCCGTGGATCAGTAGGACGGGCAGGCCCTGGTCGACGTGGGCAGAGCAAATGCTATCGCTGGTGTCGTGGGTGGTCTTGTCGGTGCGACGTGGCTCCCCCTGCTGCTGGCGAGGAGCAGGCCTGCAAGCTGACCAAGCGGACTGGATGGCGGCGACGTAGGCGAATGAGGGGCGCGGCGCTGCTCCATCAAGCCAGCATATGTCAGGTCGAGGAGAAATCAGGGAAAAGGACGGGCAGGGTCGATGGCGGAAGGGATGCGGAGCTCTGGCTGGCCAGCTGAGTGGTGCAGCATACGGTCGAAGACAAGGGCGGGACTGTTGGGCCTTGCGCCGGCGGACCCGCCCAAAACGGCCTGCCCCGAGGCAAAACCGCCGTCGCATCACCCCAGGGCGATGCCCTAAAGGTGCCTTGACAGGCAGGCCCGGCCAGGCTTCTCCCCACCAGCGCAAGCCGACCTGAGCGAACGGCCTGCCGAGGGGCACAACCGCCGTTGCCACTCCCCAGGACGACGTCCTAAAGGAGCTTTAACGGAAGGTCGGCGGCGCAACTGGTGAGGGTGGCAGGGATGATGGTGGTGCGGAAAGTGGAGGCGGGACCGCGGGCGCGCGCGCTTTTTGCTCATGAATTCATTTCTGTTTTTCGGGGGCGAGGCCCCGTCCCTCGACTGGCAGGGGAGAGGCCTGGCGCTTTCAACAACGCGCCGGCCCGCAGCCAGGGTCCGAGGCATCCAGATGGCCAGCACCAGCACCAGGTCCAGTCAAGCTCTAGCTCTCTCTTCGGGGAGAAGACCTGGCCACTTGATCACCAATCCGCCACCAGCAGCAACCATGATGACAAACGATACCGGGCTCTCTACGGCGTCCGCTCATTTGGCCTGCTCAACGTCGACTCCGGCGAGCCGAAAGGGGGACAGTGCGCGGGAAGAGACATTGATAGATGGGACGAGGCTGCAAGAGAGGGACAAGAACTGGAGGAGACCGAGGTCGAAGGGGCCTTGCCGGCCGCGTTGGTGAAAGAGTGGATGACCCAGTGTGGCGAGAGGGAGGCCAGCGGCGACGTCCTCGACCAGAAACGCAGAGAGTCGTGCCACCAGCGCGGCCGGTCCTGACCAAAGTCTGGCTCCATCGCGCGGTTTTTATACAACGACGGAAAGGCGAGGTCCAGCTGGGCGAGCCTGGGCGAGCCGCTCCATGGGGCGCACGGGTGTGGCGGACGTCGTAGCAGGCTTCCACGTCGGCCGGGTACGGATCGTCGCGGCTGCCCAGGGAGCGGAGGTGAGCCGCTTGGTTCGACGCGGGGTGAAAGGAAGACGGACTACAGGCCTGCCCATTGGCACTACTGTCCGGCGAGGCCCAGGTCGTTCAGGCGCCTGATGATCCCGCTGCTGATGCATCTCAGGCGAGAGCAGAGCGCGGCGAAGGTCTCTCGAAGTCTATGTGGCGTTTGTTGCTGGCGTCGCAGTGTGGCCAGTGGGGTAGGCGGGGGCTATCGGTTGCAGGCTGAGGTCGGCCAAGGGGTGTCTAGGAGACGAGTGCTTCGGAGCCGGCGCAAGAAACTGCTCTCGACGGTCACGGGATGCGCCAGGGCCCTGCAGTCGGAGCTCGCGCACGCGGGCCAACGAGTCGCGGCTGGCTCCAGGTCGCCCACGATAAACAGCCCCCTCGCCTCGTGCGACCAACGGGCAGCTCGAGGTTCAACGGTCAAGGGGCCAGCGCAGCGACCATGCCACCGGCTCACGCTCGTCCTTGGTCAGCAAAACACGTTGATCTTTTGCAAGCCGAATCCAGCAGGCCCACCGGAGTGGGTGACGTGGCGGCTGAAAATCCGGGGAGAGAGAGAGAGTGCAACGTTTCAGCTCGGGCGACGCGATTGAACACCCGAACGCGCTGCTCCGACCGAAACATCTGCCTGCCTCTGCTCCTCGCGTCTTGCCTGTCCGGCTGCTTAGGGGGCAGGGTGACGCGCCGGTCGCGCCAGCTTGTGTTCAGGCGCTAGGCTTGAGGAGGGACGCGAGAAATTACGGGAGAGTCCAGAGATCAGGGGATCAGCAGGGGTCTCCCGTAATTTTTTTGGGCGTGCTTCGCAGGCGTCGTTGGTTCCCAGCCTGCAGGTCTCCCGTGGTTCTTTTCGCAGCGCAGTCTGTGGGCGTTGGGCCTTGCTCGCCTGAACAGACAGGCCCCAGCTGGAACGAGCCCAGGGGCACGAGCCCAGCAGGCTGGGCGAAAACAGGCAAGGGTGGAAGCCCAGAGGAGGCTGTTCCTCTCGAGAGACTTTCCTCTGAGCGAGCGCCCGATGTCCTCGCACTGCCTGTCCAGACCAGTATAAGATCCCCCCCTTCCAGTCTCCCCACAACCGTCTTCCCTTCCTCCATCGACCCCGCCAAGCGCTACATTTGTGAGTAAGGTTCCCCTGTGTTCTCGTCTTTCCCGCACCGTCTCGACTCTCGCCGTATGGTCCCCCAGCGCCGCACCATCCCGACTTTCGCCTCATGGACTCGCAGCGCCGCACCATCCCGACTTTCGCCTCATGGACTCCCAGCGCCGCACCATCCCGACTTTCGCCTCATGGACTCCCAGCGCCGCACCATCCCGACTTTCGCCTCATGGACTCCCAGCGCCGCACCGCCTCGATTCTCGCCACATGGACTCATCGTTGCATTGTCGAGGCGCTCGCCACCTGGTTCCACCGACGCACTGTCTCGATGCTCGCCACCTGGTTCCACCGACGCACTGTCTCGATGCTCGCCACCTGGTTCCACCGACGCACTGTCTCGATGCTCGCCACCTGGTTCCACCGACGCACTGTCTCGATGCTCGCCGCCTGGTCTCCACCACCGCATTGTCTCGACTCTCGCTGCTTGGTGACCACCGCCGCACTGCCTCGACGTTCGCCGCATGGCCTCCAGCTCCGCAGCTTCTCGACTCTCGCCGCATGGTACTCAGCGCCACACCGTCTCGACTCTCGCCACATGCACTCATCGTTGCATTGTCGGGACGATCGTCGCCTGTTGTCCATCGCTGCACTGTCTCGACTCTCGCTGCTTGGTGACCACCGCCGCACTGCCTCGACGTTCGCCGCATGGCCTCCAGCTCCGCAGCTTCTCGACTCTCGCCGCATGGTATTCAGCGCCACACCGTCTCGACTCTCGCCGCATGCACTCATCGTTGCATTGTCGTGACGATCGTCGCCTGTTGTCCATCGCTGCACTGTCTTGATGCTCGCTGTCTGGATCCCAGTCGCCGTGCCGCCCTGGCTCTCGCCGCGTGGTCCTCAGCACCGTATCCTAGCTTTTGCCCTGCCCCCCTTCTCCTGTCCATCTCCATCGCTGCATTGACCCAACCGCCACCTGGCTTTGCCACCAGCGCCGCATCAGTTCGACCAGCGTTCGCCTCTCATTTCAGCATGACGCTGACCTTCACCTTCTTTTCTTTTCTTTGGCCCACCGTTGCCAGCCAATGCCTCTCTCCCCACTCTGGACACCTGTCTCCTCCCCGGGCCCCGTCCCCGCTACTCCTGGCCAGGTGGAGGAAGCCATCCCAGCGCTCGACACATCAGCCGACCAGCCAATGCCCCTCTCCCCGCTCTGGACACCTTTCTCCTCCCCCGGTCCCATCCCGGCTACTCCTGGCCAGGTGGAGGAGACCATCCCAGCACTCAACACATCGGCCGACCAGGCAAGGATGGCTCAGGAAGCCTCGGGGGCCAGCGAAAACCATACGAACAGCAATGGGCAGGGCAGCCTCTTCTTCGGCGACCCGGACGACGACGACGAAGACGATCCGCACTACAGCCCCCTTGCAAACAGGAACCCTCAGCCAATCACGGATGCGGACCTCATCCGCAACCTCGTCAACACCGTCCACCGCCTCTGGGACGAGGTGGCGGACCTGCGCCGTCGCACCGACGGCCACCACTTCACCCTCATCGCCCACGAGCAGCACATCGGCATGCCTCGCCAGGCAGCTCCTCAATTTCTGGGCCTGGGCGACTTCGTGCCAATCTCCGCGGCCGAAGCGGGGGAGTTTTGCGAGCGCTTCAACACCGACAAGGCCTGCCGCGCTTGCGTCCGAGAGCACAAGTGCACCTTCTGCGGGGCGCGCCACAGGCGGACGCGCTGCCCCTTCGAACCCCGTGGTGAGTTAAGGGCTGGCCCTGTGCCACTGACTGTTCGGGCATCTTCGCTGACACCTTCTCCCTTGCTCTTCTTCACCCTGCCTTTCCGTGCGCTGGCGGTCCAGGACGTTGAGCTCCAGCATATTGCGCGAAACCCTTTCTTTGTTCGCGTCTTTCCCCTCCAGACAACGGCCTTCCTGATCGCGGTTTGACTCGTCCTGGTCGGCATGTACCCTGTTCTCCGTTCCAGTAGGTAGACCCCCATCAAATCCCACCAATTTCTATTCCCGCAGTTGGAGGCCGCACTTCTGCTCTTCGGTCTGCTGCACCGGCAAGCCGCGCGACGTTCAACGTTCGACCTCCGCCCTCGTTCGCAGTAGGAACAAAGCGTTGGCGCCGCCGAAGGCAAAGGACGTCCATCGTCGGCTTCGTGGCTGGATCATCGAGCACCTTGCGCGATCGCTGTCACGCTTCATCGCCGTCTTCACAAAGGCCGTGCTCTCGCTCGACGAAATCGACGCTGCTGAAAGATGCGAAAGATTTTGTCGCTGCCCTCGCCACAATCCCCCTGATCACGCCCAACTCACACTACATCAGCCACATCGGCGACCATAGCCACATCGGCGACCACATCCGCGCATTTGGCCCGCCACGATCCTTCTGGGCGTTTCCATCCGAGCAGGGCGATCGAACGCTCATATGGTAGGCGGTCGTATCGGCGTCGCGGAGAGGTCGAGCGCTCGCTGCTGCGGCTCTGACACGGCTGGAGCGTGCTCGAGGATCTCGTTTCGCGCCTGGCCATCGGAGAGGCTCGGGAGCTGGTCACGCGGACGCTCGGCATCGCTGATGCTGCGACTGAGCGATACACGCCGCTTGGCATCGACCTGGACCGCATCGAGCTTAGCAATCCGTACCACCTGAGCCAGGCGTTTTGCCTCGACCCCTCCCATGCCAATCGTGGGAGCCTGATCCGCCTTGCCACCCCAAATTTTCAGGAGTGTTTGCCCTGTTGCAAGCGGAGCGCGCGCTGGACGAGCCGGCCTACGTGGAGGACACCCTGATGGCATCAGAAGGCCTGACCCGTGTTGCAGGCTTGGTCAGCTGCCATGCCGGAGTGATCTGTTGAGGGCTCCACTTCTGCTCAGCGGCCTCTCGACGCAACGCCTTGACCGGGAACTTGTTCGCATTTGTCCGGCAGTCACCAGAAGCGGTTGCACAGGCAATGGAGATCCTCGGTGTGTCCTCGCATAGTTGGCTGAGGCAGCCCCGAGGCGTCATCCGGAGCGGATCCGATCGAAGAGGCGCGGGACAGAGGCCGCGTGTACGCCCACTTGCAGGCGCTTCATCAACCCTTTGTCTCCTCCCTTCCGACCACCACCACCCCCACCTCCACCCTCGCCACCCTCGCCACCCTCGCCACCCTCCTCGCCACCCTCACCACCTCGCCGCCCTGGCCGCCCTCGCCCGCCTCGCCGCCCTCGCCAGATCCTGATCCAGAGCCATTGCTGTCCATCGTAGCAGCAGCAGCTGCTGCATCACCGCCCTTGCTGCCCGTCGCTCCCTCGCCTCCACGCGCCTCGCACCTACATCGCCCGGGAAGCGCCCCCTGCAGGGGTGTGCCCCAGTCCTCCGGTCCTAGGCCGTGGTGAGTCGGCGTGTCGAGGCCGACCTTGGCTGCGATCTTGCGGTGCGCCTCTTCCCAGACCAAGCTGACCATCCACCTCTCGACCCTTTTCTTCGGCAGCGTGGCGTCCATGGCGTGACCCTCGTCTTCCAGGCCACGCGGCGCAAGGTGATTTCGATCAAGTTGGCATCATGTCGTAGTCGTCGCGCTTTGCATCCTAGCGGCGCACCAAGCTGGTGACCAGGCGCTCGGTGAGTTTCTCGCCGCGTTCCAGGGCTCCCAGTCGATGCGTAGCGGCAGATCGGCGGCTGTCGAGGTGGCCTCGCTCTGGTCTGTGCCCTGCACCATGCCGGAGATGTCGATCCAGCCGGCGTCAGCCCTCGGATGCTGCCCTGAGACGATGGGGTAGGGCGAGAAGGCCGCAGTGCTACCCAGGTGCATCTGCTCTCGAAGCTTGGCGCGGATGGCAGCTCTCACCTCGTTTTGCACCTCTTTCTCCTTCTCCGTTGATCCGGCAGCAGGCGTCAGCTCCTCCAGTCGAGCGTCAACGCCGGTATCGACACGGGCGTCGAGCTCCGCAGCGAGGCGGGCATTGACAAGGGTGCCGATTCGAGCATCGTCCGCTGCCCTGCTGCCTCCGCCTGCCTCAGTGCTAGGACTGGCGCCAGCTCGAGCAACAAGGCGTCTCTAAACGATCCTTGAGGCCAGCATTGCTTTTGCCCTCGATCACGGCCTCAAAGCGGGCGTCGATGCGGTCGCCACGGCCGCCCTCTTGGTTCGTGTCTGCAAGAATGGGGCGCCGTTGTTGCTGTCGCCGGTCTGAGAAGGCATATTGGTGAGTGATCGTCGTGATGAGAGTGAGGATGGTGCAGGGAGCAGCACCTCCATCGAAGCCCTCCCTACAAGGCGTCGCCTTCTCCGCCATGGGCCAAGCAGCTGCTCTGGCGGCGGCGCTGCTCCGTGGCGCCCATTGGCCCATCCGGCAGCAGCATCGGCTGACCCGCACCTCCTCCTTCTTGCCACTCACCGTATGGACCGATGTGCGCCATCACCCTGTCTCGCTTCCTAACAGGCAAGCTCCAGCCACCCACCTCCGATGCCGGGGCCAAGAACGCGCGCGTGGTTTAGCTTTCGGCTTGGGCAGCATCTCGGTGAGTTCTGGAGCGCCCTCGAAACCGTCCTTGCCAGCACCTTATCGGCGGCCTGGCAGCAGGCAATGAAGGTATAAGGGTACCCTCTGCTTCTCGCTGCTTGCCGCGCCCACCAAGGCCGCCTCCTTTCCTCGACTTCAAGCTATGCTGACCTCTCCTCCCCTTCTCCCTGTACCCTTGCCTCTCCGTCCTCTTCCCTTCCTCCTCGTCTCGCTGACAACAGCATGATCTCCTTGCTCCCAGGCAAGTCAGCCTCGATATGGTGGATCACCGCCGCCCAGCCCGACTCGCCTCGGTCCGCTGCCGCTCATACCAGCTTCTCCTGCTTTGCTCTGCCGGCTTTCAACATGACGGCAGGGCTCCTTTGCAGACCACCGCCGATGGCAAGGTTTCTGTGCCTATTAAACTCTCGCTGCCGCTGTTATTGCCTCTCAGGTGAGTGCGTTACACATCGCATCTGCGCGATGCCCGGTGACGACGCTGACCAAGCATCCCTTCCATCCACTGCATCTTTCGCTGCCGAACATCAGTCATGCTCCTCCCTTCTTCGCCCTGATGCGGGCTTTGTCCCTCGCAAGATCAAATGCAATTCAAGTAGACGACAAACATGCTGGAAGCGAGCGTCCGAGGTCTAAATTCGAGGGACGGCCAGGCAGAAAAGAGCGACAACGCAAGGAAGGGGTGGCGGTGGATCGGCCAAGAAGGAGCTGAAAGCGGTGCGGCCGAGTCGATGCTGGCAGCAAGCCCGCGAAGTCGATCTTGGACGCCTGGCCGCTAAGGCATGGCCAAGGTGGACATGCCTGACTCTTCGGCCAAGGTGCCGCTAACATCGATTTGGCCGATACCGCCAACAAGGATCTATTCACTGCTTTGACTCGTTCCATCGCACGCTCCTCGAGGCCGTCCTAAGCCTCACGCACCGCCATCCGCGACCTGGTAGCTGAGCTGAAGCTCGTTGGGCACCGGAAGCAGACCGACTCCGAGCAGGCTTGTTACGATCACAACGGCAGCTGCTGCAGCCGTCGAACCGCAACGTCACGCTGCGAGATCTGCTACGATGGACGCTCTTACCATAGCTGAGATAGGTGGTCAGCTGGCACTGCACCGCCTCGTACTGGAAGTTGTTGCGATCGGGCAGCATCCCGATGCCCAGGATTGGCCTGCATCGGGCTACTACCACCTCGCCCCTATCCTCCATTGTCATCCGATCAGCATTGCATCGCCCTGGAGGCCTAGCTAGTCCCCATGTCCCTGGCCCTGTCAGCCGCCTAGCAATGCACACCACCATCGGCACCACTTCACAGAAGTAACAGTTCGGCCAGCGCGATGCCAGGTGCTCGAGCGTCCACTGGCGGCAGCGTGATGCCAGGTGCTCGAGCGTCCACTGGCGGCAGGGACAGTCCTTGGGCAACATAGCGCCTTCGGTGATGGCCGCCACGTTGGCCTCGGCTTGCTGTGGACGAAACCCTTTGTGAACTTGACGTTTGCTGGCTGGCTGCAGGGCAGCCTGGGTCCCTGTTCCTAGTTCCGGGGCAGTGCATGCCCCCCGTTGCCAGCCCCACCCCCACCCCCAATCCAGCATCATCCCTTTGATACAAGCAAGCTTGTTGCTGCATAAACATCGGGTCTTGCGCTGCATATGGAACAGATTGATGAGAGAGCTCAAAGACAGATGCAAAGCCACTGTGAGATCAGTGGCAGTATGTTGCAGTGAAACAGGGCTTTGCAACTGCACAGACCACATGGATTTGTTCTCCGGGTTGCTGGTAATGAACTGGCCTGCGGCAGCAGAGGCCAGTCTAGAAGCAGAAAAGGCACTGCAGCTGTTTTGCTGTCAAAGGTTGCAACTTCTCATGCCTACTGTTGATCTTGACTGTGGTTGCAGAGATCTCCAAGATCCTGTTGGTGTCCTTGGTCATCCTAGGGTGATACTTGAGGGTGCTGTTGAAAGTGCTCATGGGTGTTTGGATGCAGCCTACAGCAGATGCAGGCTGATGCTATGGGGCTAGGCTGATGGCAGAGGCCTTTTGCTGCACCAAGCTTGCCCAAAGGAAGAAAAGGAGAGAGGTGGGACCCTCTAGACAAGATGCTTCAATGAGCATCATTGGCTTGCAAGCAGGGTCTAATGTATCAGCAGTCCCTCTCCTTGTTAGACAGTGCTGCTTGCAGGCATGCTTGGCAATATCATCAGTGACTGGGCAGCAAAACAGATGCCCTGGACTGCATTGTGTGTGCAGTGCACGAGCAAGGTGCTTCCTTGTTGCTGCCCTGTACAGCAGCAAGACTGAGATGACCAGAGGAAGCGCTGGCTGTCCAGCCCATTGAGCTCTAGCATCATGTGCAAAAGCAAATGCTTCTATCTTGCCACCAACCTCAGCCACCTGCCCTTCTGCCTCCTTTCTCTGCCAATGCTGCCATCCCATCACAATTCTGCAACAACAATGTCCAGGTTGACCTGTGGGTCTATCACCAGGCAAATATCTGGCCAGGAGCTTGGCAGACCAGCAGATGCTGCACCACCACCAGACCTCCGGTAGCTCGCTTCATCCTTGCAACCAGCTGTTGGACCAGCAGACGCTACATCACCACCAGACCTCCGGCAGATCGATGCGTCCACTCGACCAGCTGACACTGGACCTCCTACCAGGAGGCTCGATGCGTCCTCACCACCAGCCGGCGCTGAACCTCCTGTAGTTGGACCAGCAGATGCTGCACCACCATCAGAACTCCTGCAGGCACAATTGGCCAACTCTGCACCGCTTCAGCCTGCCAGCAGCTCGACAGCATGTTTGGCCACACATGTCTGTCAGCCTCACTTTGCCAGGAAGGTGGCATCTGACAACTTCTTTGTTTGCCTCTTACACTAACCCACCAACACTGCAAGAGAGGAAGGGCATGATGAAGCAACATCTTCTTGGCTGAGCAGGTGCATCAGGCAACATCTAGCACCAGAGCCATCAAAAGTGCTGTGAAGCCCTGGTGCTAGATGGGCTTGGTGAATGTGTGCATTTGGCCAACACCACCATCATCAGTCTCTTGGATCCCAAACAGACAAACAGGGCTGCTCAGAACCAGTAAGACCTCACCAGCTGCATCAGCCTGCTGTTGTTGGCAGCACAGCATGCACTATGCATGTACCCAGAGTGTGTCACCTCAGCCTCACCAGCATGCTTTTGGACAGCTTGGGCTGCCTCTTGGAGTCCAGCAGCTTGTTGCGCTGGTGTTTGAGATGTCATTGGCTTGGGAAGCAGTGGCAGATGAGCTGGACCTTGTTGTCAATGATGCTGGCTTTGCAGTTGGATGGTTCAAAGTCAACGTTTGTCAAAGCATCCGAGGTCAGTTTGACCTGCTCAAGCTGTCTAATGTGCCATCACAAGCATGCCTTCACTCAAACACTGTGTCTCAAGGACCCCCAGCTGGCCTGGTGTGGCACAAACAGACTGAGGATGGCAGACACAGACTGATTGCTCAGCTGCTCCTGCACCAAGCACCAGATCAGCTTGTAAGTCAGGTTGTTCATCAACTTGTGGCTCTAGCAACAGCACCAAAAGCTGCAAGCAGTGTCCATCATGGATTGATGATGTCTGCAGAGGCTGCCAGGGCTGGCTGATGCCCTGGCTGGCCCTGCAGATGCGACCAGGCCATCATTCTGGGTTAACCTCAGGATTTCAGGGGGGGCCATATTAGCAGAACACGGCCGCTGCCCGAGCGTAGATGCCAACGATGCTGAGAGCCCACGCACATAGCAAAACACACGATTGTATTACGTAATCGATGCTACAGCGGCGCTCGCACAGCTAGCTGCGTCGCGCGGCGGTCGATCGATTGGACGACCCGGTCTTGCGCTTCTTGGGGGTTCGGTAGGCCTCGGCGTGCCAGGCGGCCATGGTGCGCAGATCGCCGGTCTGGAACGTGCCGTTCTCCCTGCGGTCGTTGACAACGGATCGATAGAAGCACGAAATGGCCCACCTCTCTGCCTCGTCGACGCCGTTGTTGACGTTGATGGGAAGCGGGCGCGTCGAGTGCCGGACTGTGCGAGCGTCAAAGAAGACGGTGTCGACCGGTTCGAGGAGCACGCTGGCGTCGTAGTCGGGGAGCTCGAGCAGCGCCTGGGAGCCGAAGTTGAGCAGGATGGTGGCGGGAAGGTCGGACACATCCTTGTGAGCCGATTCAGAGAAGCCGTGGAAGGGCGAGCAGGTCGAGTAGAGCGGGTGGCACAAGAAATCGGCGTCCAGGATCTCGCTCTTCAGCCACTTGTAGAGCTCCTCGCGGTCCTTGTAAGCTTGCACATACGTCGGATGAAGCCCATCGATCTCGCATTCACCGTCGCTCCCGATTGCAGGGTCGGATGGCTTGGCGTCGACCAGATACTGAACGTACCACGTGAGGTAGTTGCGAAGCCACGCGAGGAAAGCCATGACGGCCATCTGCCCTTCCTTGTTGCCCCTCTGTAACGTCTCGGCCGTTTTGACGAGATCCCTTTGGCCCTGACCGTTCCAGATGCCGAAGTGGTAGTGCGGGAACGAGGAGGCTGTCCTGCTGCTCGGGACGAGATGGTCGCACCTGGCGTACTTGACGACCCGGTCGTAGAGGGCTCGGCCTTTCGCCGCCTCGGCTTCCATCTTCTTGTGCGCCCTGTACGACGGCGGTCTGAAGCGCTGCAGCAGAACATCTCCTTCTCGATTCAGGAGGGTGAGATTCCTTCTAAAAACGATGTTCGGAGTCCCGTCCTTGTACATGGTGCGGTCTTCGTCGTCGACCAGATTGTGCACCTCTTCCACGGCCGTCGGCTTGTCTGCCGCGGGTGTCGGCGGAGGGGGCGCTCCAACGACGGAGGCCTGAGCGTGGTTTGGTTCTGACGGCGAGACCCCGGCCGTGTCTGTCGACGACATCGGGAGAGGTGCGGTAGTTCCGGCGCCGTCCGCCTCGCCCGACGGCGAAGCACCGCGGTGTGCAGCGGGCTCGGCCTCTCTCGGGAACAGAGGCAAGGGAGGTGAGACGTTGCCATCCTCGTCCGAGAGCGGAGACGAGCGTACCGACATGAGTCCAGCGTCGTCTTCAGGCGAGGCACGACGAGGCGATGTAGCTTCGGGCTCGGGCGCGTTACGACGAGGGGAAGTAGCTTCGAGCTCGCCAAGGGACATGGGAGAGAGAGGTGCGACGTTGCCATCCTCGTCCGAGAGCGGAGACGAGCGTGCCGAGTTGTCCCTGCCCTCGTCGGAAGCCGTGGGTGAGGGGGGCCCAGCCTCGTCTCTGGCCGAAGAGGTATTGGATCCGGCAGCCGTGCTGCGGGTCGCGATTCGCGCACTCTGGCGCGTGCCCTTCGGCTGAGTGGTAGAGGAATCAGTGCTCGGTTTCTTCGGCTGTGGCTTGGGATTGTAGTCGAGCGTAACCACCTTGTGGCGGACGGCCAGGTGGTATGTGTGCAGCAGCCGGGCCTCGCGCTGATGCGATGTAAGCTTCATATGCTTTGGCATCTTGGCTGTCTTCGCGAGCAGTCAGGTAGCGCGAAGGGCGGGGTCGGTGGATCTGAGACAGACAGGGCAAGCCCCGAGTCGAGATGCAGCGAGAGAGCGTCGGCCCAGTCGAGCCTTGGCGTTCTGGCTGTGACAAGCGTCGCAGCTGTCGAGCGTCGGTCGGAACGGAGCGGAACCGGACGAGAGATTGCCGGAACCACGATGGAACAGCGGACGAAGCAGCGCAAGCGACGAAGGCGGCACTGTATTGCGTGAGTGCGTGCGGAAGGGCTGAAATCGACCACAAGGTGATGTCAATGGTGCGGGCGGTGCGGGTGGTGGTGGTAATGAGGCCAGGTTGCTGTGCGCCGATGCGGCGAAGGACCGCCCGCCCGCCCCCGGAGGTGCGAGGTCAGCAGTCCGCGTCCCGAAGCCCGCTCCAGCGGGGCCATTGCGGGCGTGATCTGACGCCCGCCCTGCCAAGGCTTCACTGTGAGCCACTCAACTGGCCCGCAAAACGCCCCGGCTTCGAACCTGAACGACAGCACCACATTTGTGGCCTTGTCTTGGCCCTCAATCGGGGCCAGCTTCGCGGCCTCAGTCTTGTCCCGATGTGAGAGGCCGCATTTGCGGCCTCAGTCTGGCCCGACTGTGAGAGGCCGCATTTGCGGCCTCGCTTCCACCCTTTTTAGAGAGGCCGCGTTTGTGGCCTCAATCCGACTGCGCTGCCAGAGGCCGCGTTTGCGGCCTTAGTTCTGACCTCGTTGAGAGGCCGCGTTTGCGGCCTCGGCTTTGCCCCGTTGAGAGGCCGCAAATGCGGCCTCAGTTTGGCCTCAGAACAGCGCTGCGCCGTCCCTGCTTTGGCTGCTCTGCAGCGCCGTGTTTCTGGCCTCGTACTGGCAGCGCCTCTTGCGCCGCTCTATTGGTCCAGCATCACAAAGAGTATCTCACACGTGCTCAAGCCGGTCTGTTTAGCACACGACCACCTCCTCTGGGGCCGTCTTCTGGCACCTGCCGAGCTTAGTACGTCTTTCCTCAACTTTCTTCTGCATCGGTCTGTCTGTTGCCGCCGAGCCTTCACGACGCCTGGTTCGAGCAAGCTGATGTTGGTGATGTGCAGCTGTGTCCGCTGCCTCTTCTCCAGCCGATCCGAAAGGGCTTAGCTGCGGGATATCAGAGTGGTCTGATGGTTCGAGAGCGAGCTCGAGATGTGGAACAGGTCGATGGTGCCCTGAGAGGCGATGGCGAGGCCGGCTCGACCCGACTCCGCCTCACAGCCACAAAGCAGTCAAAGAAGCTTGTTTCGCCATCCTCTGCGCAAGCAGCTTCACTGATCAGCGTCAACGGCAGGAGCTGCGTGAGATCAGCTCGGCGAGTCGGTGTCGGCGAGCAGCAGCGGCGCGCAGATAGCAAATCACACCTTCTCTCCGGATTGAGGGGTTCAAACGGCATCGCAGCATGACATTGTCCAAGATCGTCAAGTCGTTCGATCGGTCGATAGGTACATCAGGAAAGGGCGGCAGCACCGACTCGGCGCTCACTGCGGCTGGGCGTCAATGTTGCCAGTCCAGGCCTTGTTGAACGCCAGGTCAGCGACGGTGCCGGGGTTGGGGCTCTGAGGGTCGTAGCTGAGGCGCAGGAACGAGTCGGCCTCGCCCGGGTTGCCCTGGATCGTGTAGCGGTAGCCGCTTCCGCTCTTGCCAAAGGGGAAGCCGTAGGTGTCGGTGCCCGAGGGTGCGGGACCGGGCGTGGCCTTTCCGAGGAAGTCGATGACGTGGTAGTTGAAGAAGCTGTTCAAGCTGAACTGGAAGGACGAGTGCTTCGAGGGCGCGCCGTCGATGAAGTTGCAGGGCTTCGAAACGATCCGCTCGTCATTGCCGGTCAGCGAGGTGGCAGTCAGGCAATAGCCGGGCGCCTTGCGGGAGGCGATGTACCTGTGGACGGACGGAGGCGTAGCGAAAGGGGTAGGTAGGCCGGGTCGAGCGTCAGCCTCGTGTTCAGCCGCACCTCTGCGCGCTCGGAGAGCAGGACGGCCACTCACCCGCTCTGCACGAGCGAAGAGCCCTTGCCGTAGCCCTCGGGGATGGTCGTCTGGCAGCTGACAAAGTCGAAGAGTTCTGGCTCGTTGCTGGGCTGCAGGTACTGGAATCCGTCGGCGGTGCGGTGGCCCTGGAACGTGGCAAAGACGGCGGGGTACTTGTCGGTGTAGATCGTCACTCGGGTGCTGTCGACGTTGAAGCCGATGGGGGCGGTGCCGATGATCTGGCAGCCGGCGGGAGCGGCCGAGGCGAGCCCGGCATTGGAGACGAGCGCGCCGGCTGCAATGGCGGCGACGGCGAGGGTGGAGCTGACGAGAGATGCGGGCATTGTGGGCGATTGCAGCTGTGCAAAGGGTGGGATTAGGATGTCTGGAGAAGTTGTTGGTGGATGGGGGAAGACTTTGCCAATTCCGCTCGACCTGCCTGCTTATAACCCCCTCGCGCAGAGGTCTGGTCGCCCGATGTGGTCCCGGACGCCTGGCTCAGCAAGGCAAGCCCCAGCCGGCGGCGCTGAAGCGCCGAGGAGAGCCGTACAGAACAGCCGCACCGGCACGAGTCAGGTAGTGCCAGCAGCCACAGTACTGCGGGGTTGCAAGCGTGACCGGCGGCCTGGATTGCCTCGCACTGGATGGAGCTCCTTCGGTGAAGAGCCGCCCCGCCGCTTCGGTCCGAACCCAAGGAGTCGGACGGCCAGGACCGCCGGTTGAGCGGATGTGGCCATGTGAGACACGCTGATGCTTGCTGCTCGTGTGGCCAACGCCGGATCTCCGGATCTCCAAACCAAGCCGGGGCAGGTTCGGGCCGATGGTGCAAAGCGGGGTCGACTCCAGACGAGGAGAAGCCGGCGGAGGCTTTGGCAGTGGAGGTAGAAGCACGGGGGCTAAACTCCACTTCTCGGGCCGAAGCAGCTGCAGGAACCCTTCGGATGTCGGACGCACGGCGCAGATCCGCGGGCCGCATCCGACCACGTACAGATAGAGCCAGCGCTGGCCACGCGACGAGCCGCGGAGTGTCGGGTCAAGCCAGGCCGAGGCGAGCACCGCTTCTCGTTCTCCCCATCGTCCGCGAGCTGCCGTCGTAGGCCGGCCATGCATCCGTCGAGCTTCAGATCGCGACCGGCGTGCAAGCAGGTGCAGCGCAACGTCGGCGGACGACGTCGCAGCTCCGACGTCAGCCCGGCAACAGGCTGGCTGCGACTCGCCCGACTCCATGGGCCACTCCTTCGCCTCGTCCTCCCTGGCTTTTCTAGAGATCTACAGCCCGCACTCGAGCGGGACAGTACACAAAGGATGTTCGACTGGGACGAAAGGGGCCGCGGGGTCGAAGGAGAAGGGGGACGGGTGGATCGGAAACGGGCGACAGGAGGGGCGCAGGCAGGGAAACCTCTGCTCGCAATAATTTCGGAAGTCGGAGGCCAGAAATGTGGTCGAGTGGAGGTTGGCCGCTCAGAGGACGCCGGGCTCGCTCGCTCCCTGCCTGCTCCCCACCACCACCACCACCGCCCCCACCACCACCACCATTGACCCGAGCTCGACTTTTTGGGCGACACAGCAGCAGCAGCAGCACCAGGGAAGTCGGAGAAGAAGCAGGACAAGATGGCACCGCCACGCATATCCCTCAAGTTCCTCGGCACGTCGTCGATGCCGAATGCCACTCGCAACTACTCGAGGTGAGTCCGCCATCCCCTCGGATACGACGGGACGAGGGCTATCGCCTATGTATGCCCACTCATCACTCCACATTATATCGCCCTCTCTCCGTCGACGAGCGAGTAGTCTGCTGGTCAAGGTCGACAACCACACCGTCATGGTGTAAGTGCCCCCTTCCCTTGCCCTCCGACCTCGACTCAGGCTCGAGTAGGCGATGCGACCGCGCGCTGGCATACGCTCACGCTTACACTCACGCCCTGGCCCACGCTCTCCTCGTCGTCGTGTACGATTGCCTCGCCTCCTTCAAAGCGACTGCGGCGAATCGACGCAGCGTCAATTCCAGGCCCGTTACATCGGCGGAGACGAAAAGATGGCAAACCTAAAGACTATCCTCGTCACCCATCTCCATGCTGATCGTGAGTTGTGCCGCCGCCCCATCCCGCCCCTCCGGGCGACCATCATCCATACCACCTCGATTCGGCAAGATGCGAACGCCAACGAAGTGGCCGCTGATGCATGGCCCTGCGACGGCGGCGCATTGACCGCTCGTCCGACCACTCTCACCTGCAGACGTGCTCGGCATTGTGCCGCTCCTCATGTCCATGATGGGTCCCTCGGGCACCGCTGCCAGCGCCAGCGACGTGAGTACAGTCGCCGCTCGTCTGCCGCACTGATCTGTTGGCCTTCTGGTCGCTCACGATGTGCTCTCCGACCTCTTCGCTTGCCATTCTCATCATCATCACCTTCTTTCTCGACCTTGTGCAGGCTCCTAGGGTCGAGATCTTCGGTCCTCGCGGCCTGCGCGCCCTCATACGCACCACACTGACGCTGTGCTACTCCAAGCTGAGCGGAAAGTATGTCGTGCACGAGCTCACCTGGCCTCGGCCCGACACCCACACCAGCGCTAGCGGCGGCTCCATCCCGACATCCCTGCTCGACGAGCCAGATCGACCGATCCCCGCCCTCCCGCCGCACGAGAGCGAGTTGCCCGGCCGCGACATCCCGATGGAGCTGGGTCCAGCCGCCTGGACCCGCTTCACCAGCTTCAAGGCGCACGGCCAGTGCCCGCGGGTGCACATCAGCGCTGCGCCCATCACTCACCGCTGCCCGACGCTCGGGTACACGTTTGAAGAGGAGTGGGCCACGTCGCCGCTCGACGCCGCCGTCCCGGAGCTGCTCAAGGCCAACGCTCAGGCGCTCCTCGACGAGCGCAACATCCGCAACCCGCTCTCGCTCCTCCCACGCCTCACCCAGCAACGCGAGTCGATCCTCCTGCCGGACGGAACCATGCTCCACCCGCCGCCCCTCGATCTGCCCGGTCGCAAGGTCACCGTCCTGGGCGACACGTCGGACGCCACGGGCGGACTCCTCGACGGCCTCGCGGGAACCGAGGCAAAGGCACGCGGCATGGCGGCGCTTGCACGCGGCTCCGACGTGCTCGTGCACGAGTCTACCAACATCGCGCTGCCCGCTGCGCTTACAAGGGACGGCAAGGCCGAGTCAAGACCCCAGGCCATGGTCAAGGCGGCTGAACGCGGCCACTCTACGCCGCAGGGCGCCGGCGCGTTTGCGGCACTGGTACGTGCCGGCTGCCTCATCCTCAACCACTTTTCGGTGCGGTACCCGGCACCACCACACTACTTGCTTGGCAAGCAGATCGGCGGCCCCAACGACGATGGAGCATCGACGACCGCGAGCGGAACTGAGCGCAACGGCAGTGGTCCAGGAGGCGCGGGTCCCGGCGCGGCGAGCAAGCAGGGGCCGAGGCAGCTCGGCGAGCCCGAGCGGAGGAGCCTGGTGATGCGCGAGTTCGAGTCGCAGGCTGCCGAGAGCTGGCGTGCCGCCGCTGCTGCCGGCGAGGGCGGGAGCGGGGGCGCCATGACGACCGACGCCGATGTCCAGCCCGGCTTCGAGGTCAAGGCAGCGTACGACGGCTTCGTCTACGATGTCCCGCCCAGACCGAGGGTGGCGTCCCGCCACGTCCCCTTCTCGCGACCAGGAGAGACGTGGCACGCCGACCCGCCGCACCCTGCCGCCTTTTCGACGGCGAGCTACGCCAGGAGGAGCAGCAAGAAGGCTTCGGCCAGGGCGGTGGTCGCTACCACCCCTGCGGCAGCCAAGTACCAGAGCCGAGACGGAGACTGGGACCCTTCGCCGTACCTGCTCGACGATGTGACAAGACGCGAGGCGCACGCCGTCGTGCTGCTCAACTCGCCCATCGGCGACGTGCAGAAGCGGCATCTTGTGCGCATCTGGGAGACGGCCAAGTACCGCCTGTGCGCGGATGGGGCGGCGAATCGGCTGGTCGAGGCGTTCGGGTACGACTGCTTCGTCAAGGGCACGCGCGACCAGATGCCGCTGCCGCACGCCATTGTCGGCGACCTCGACTCGGTGCGGCCCGAGGTCAAGTCCTTCTTTGCAGAACAGGTGAGTGACCCGGACAATCGCTGGCGGTGCGCACTCGAGCGTCTGACCTGACCGTCCCGCCCCCTCCTCCATCTGCCTTCGCGCATGCAAACCTTCTTACCACGACCATGACAGGGCGTCGAGATCCTGCTGCGGCCATCGCAGTATGCGACCGATCTGCAAAAGTGCATCCAGGCCGTCGAGGACCACGAGGCAAGCGCAGCCGGGGACGGCGCGAGGAGCTCAGAGCTGGTGCTGCTCATCTTTGGCGGGCTCTCTGGCCGTTTCGACCAGAGCGTGCACACGCTGCACGTGCTGTGGCAGCTGGCACCGGGTGCTGCGGATCTGGGAGGCGTCGAGGACCCGAGCGAGACCGAGGCGGCGGCGAGCGACGGGCGCGGAGGCAAGCTGCGGAAGCGGCGGCGGACGTACGTGGTGGGCGACGGCAGCATGGCGTGGCTGCTGTCGCCGGGCAAACACCGGCTGCGGATGTCGAGGGCGGTGATGGGCAAGACATGCGGCCTCCTCCCCCTCGGCGTAGGCAACGCCGGTGCAAGAATCTCGACAAAAGGGCTCGAATGGGACCTCGAGGGCGAGCCGCCATCGACGCTGGGCGGCTTCCTGTCGACGTCCAACCACCTCGCCCACCCAGACGGCGAGGTCGAGGTCGAGACAGACCAACCCGTCTACTGGACCGTCGAGCTCAAGCAGCAGGCCGGCGTGCTGGAGGAGGAGGAATAGATTCAAGATTGCCAAGGGCGGGCGGGGCCGATACGAGGTGCTACGGTGGCATGGGACGGCGACGACGACGACGAGACTCGTCGCTCACCTCGACGACGAAGGTCGCGGATGCTTTCGGACGAAAGCGGCAAGCGGCAGCGGCGGCCAGCAGCGACCCTCGCTCGCCTCTGAGCAAGCCAGCCTGCCTGCCTGCCTGCCTGCTGGCGCTTGCTGGGGGGGCGCTGCCTGGGCCTGCGCATGGATCACCCACCTGGCTCTGCGGCCGCCCGCTGGTGGGTGTGCGTTTGCGTTTCGTTCCTTCTTTCCAGCGCACCGCACCTGCAAGCGAGGGGCAGCGCCCTGCCCGTGTGCAGGCAATTCAAAGTCCAGGCGAGCTGGAAATACAAAATGCACGCCAGGGGAGGGCGTTTGAATAATGCAGGCAACGGCATGGGCCAATTCAAAATTCCAAGCTGGAAGGAGCGAGCGGACGTGCACGGGCGCCCGGGCGTTGGCCCAGAGCAGGCAGGCTGCTTTCAGGTCGAGCCCAGGCGAGCTCAGGCCAGCCCCATGAGAGGGAGGCAGAGACACACACGCTCGCACCCACACGCACGCACGCACCCACGCACGCACGCCCTCTCTGACCAGAGCGCGAAGACGGCGAGGGCAGGCCAAGGGCAAGGGCAAGGGCAAGCAGGCCAGCAGGCGAGGCGTCGAGCGGGCGCCCTCTGGCTTGCCTCTGCGTGCCTCTGCTGGTCCGTCTCTGCCTGGCTGGCTGGCTGGCTCCCAGGCCACTTCGCTCGCCGCCAGAGCGCTGCGCTGCGCCGCGCCCAACACCGACCCCGCCTCCCTTCCTGCACCACCATCCCCACCGCCCGCACACCCACCTCTTGCCTCACCTCACCTTGCCTCCGTCTCCCCTCTCTTCGACCCGGTCACACCCTCGTCACCCAAATTGCACCGCCCCGCACACGGTACGACTGCTGTTGCGACAATCCAGCACATCCGTCTCGTCGCAGAGACCTCGTCCTTCTCCGACCCTCGCCCCACCCCGCCTCGTCTGTCCGCTCGACCGACAGCATCTCTCTCGCCGACCGCCGACCACCGACGACACCTCCGGCGAAGCCACACTCTTTAGCGCCCTTGCCCTCTCCCCCTCGCCCATCGCCCGTCATTCCGCCAACACACTCCAACATGGCTTCCCGAAGGCGTGCTGCCAAGAAGGGCGTCTCCTTCTGCCTCATGGTCGTCGGCGCCAGCGGTACCGGTGCGTCTTCAGCAATGGCTCAGCAACCGCTCCTCGGAGCTGATCGACCCCGTCTTCGCAGCACAGAGCGACTGACCCTCTCTGCTCTATACTATCCCTCCTTCCGCTGCCTCTCTGCTCTATACTCCTGGTTGCTGTCGTCCTTGATGCTGCTGCCGCTGCTGCTCCGTCCCGCTTCCCGACCAATAGGCAAGACCACGTTTGTCAACACCCTCTGCGAGTCCGAGGTCATTGGCCACAAGATCTCCGACAACCCCGAGACGGCCCACATCGAGGAGGGCATCCGGATCAAGCCCGTCCACGTCGGTGAGTTCCGCGCATGGCGCTTTGGCTTCACTAATCAGCTTCATGCTCAGCCCCTCCTCTGACCCTCTCTTCTGTCCGCCCTCTACCCCTCCGTAGAGCTCGACGAGGATGGCATGCGCATCGGCCTCACCATCGTCGACACGCCTGGGTTCGGCGACAACATCGACAACGAGTATGCGTGAGTCTCGGCTGCTGTCGCCGCTACTTCTTCGACCGCCCGCCAACATTCGGCCGCACAAGCAGCGTCCAGACCATCGACTGACACTTGCCACCGCCGTTTCCCCATTCACTCTCCCGTTTGCCACCTGCCAGCTTCTCCGAGATTGTCGGCTTCCTCGAGCGCCAGTACGACGACATTCTCGCCGAGGAGTCGCGCATCAAGCGTAACCCGCGTTTCCGCGACAACCGTGTCCACGCCTTGCTCTACTTTATCACGCCCACCGGCCACTCGCTGCGCGAGATTGACATTGAGCTTATGAGGAGGCTGAGCCCGAGGGTCAACGTCATCCCCGTCCTCGGCAAGGCCGACAGCATGACCAAGACCGAGAGGCAGGCGTTCAAGAAGAGGGTGAGTGGCGCAGGCGGCACCGGCGGCGGCGGCGGGCATGCATGCTCTGCAGCTGCTTGATCGGCGACAGCAGCACGAGGGCGTCGACTGACCCCACTCCCTGCCTCGTCTCATGCCCGATCCCCAACACTACTCTTGCGTCGCCCGCACCTCTGCAGATCATGGAGGACATCGAGCACTACGGCATCCCGGTCTACAACTTCCCCTACGACGTCGAGGAGGACGACGAGGAGACGATCGCCGACAACTCGGAGCTGCGCGCGCTGATGCCGTTCGCCATTGTGGGCTCCGAGGAGGAGGTGGTGGTCAACGGCGAGCCTGTGCGCGCCCGGCGATACCCGTGGGGCATCGTCGAGGTCGACAACCCGGCCCACTCGGACTTTGCGCGCCTGCGCAGCGCGCTGCTCAACACGCACCTGACCGACCTCAAGGAGATCACGCACGACTTCCTCTACGAAAACTACCGTACCGAGAAGCTTTCGAGGACGGTGCACAGCGACTACGCCGACACGTCGATCCCCGGCGAGGAGCTGGCCAACCAGAGCGTGCGGTTGAAGGAGGAGCAGCTGCGGAGGGAGGAGGACAAGCTGCGCGAGATCGAGCTCAAGGTGCAGCGCGAGATCCAGGAAAAGAGGCAGGAGCTGCTCGCAAAGGAGGAGAGCCTGCGAAACCTCGAGTCGCGACTGGCGGCCGCCTCGGCCAACGAGTAGGCCGCCAGGCCCTCGCGCCCCGATCACGAGGAGCGGCACCGGCAGCGCTGGCCGGCGACCAGTCAGGCAGACGAGCGGATGGACAGACGGGCTTGGTGTTCCACTGCCTCCGAGCGCGAGGCCTTTGCGCCGCTTCGCCGCTTACCAACCCGGACCAAGGCCCACGGAGGCCCGCGACGCATTGCCCCAGCCGCAGAAGGACCCCTCTTGTCGCTCCGTCGTGCGGCCGCTGCTCCTCTGAGTCGCCCCTTTTCAGGATGCCATCTTCTTTTGCGACGGAGGTCCGCTCGCCGCCTCCGTTTCTGTCCTGTTGTAGCCCCATCTTTGTCTCTCTTTCGATTGTCAACTGAATACCGATTCCGCTGGGCCATGCTGCTTCCGCCGTTCCGCCTGCATCGAGCATTGCGGACGGCGGACGGAATGGGACGAGATGGGTTCGACGGAGACGGCGGTTGAGCATCGGGACGCGGCCGGGCGGCCGTGCGGGACCAGGCCTAGCAGGCAAGCCAGCCTGTGGCTTGCTCCACATTAAGATTGCGCCGCCCTGGCCCTGGCCCGAGGCCCACGCTTTGTTTCAAGATTTTTTCGCTCCGCCGGACCGCTCGCGCCTTTGCTTCCGGGCCACCACCCCTCCTCGTCGTCTTGCCGCGGACACCGCCTGCACATACCCTACGTTCGACACTTTGATACCACAGCCGGCAGCTATTTCAACGCAGCGTCGGAAAGAGTCAAGATGGTCCGCAGGTGAGCCTCTCCGCCATGCAGCCGTGCACTGGCGCCTGCGCTCGCTCGTCTCGGCCCGTGGCAACTGACAGGTCCCAGGACCTCCTCCTCCTCACCACCACCACCACCATGACCATTCGCCCTCGCCACCGACAGCTACCCAAACATCGTCATCACCGGTACACCAGGGACGGGTAAATCGACGACGTCGTCGCTGCTCTGCTCGCTCTACGCGCCGTCGGACGGGACGCCGGCGGCGCTGCGGCAGATTGACGTGTCGGCGCTGGTCAAGTCCGAGGGCTTCTACACGCACTACGACCAGGAGTGGGATACGTACGAGGTCAACGAGGATGCCGTCCTCGACCACCTCGAGCCGCTCACGGGCAACCGTGCACCCGAACCGCTAAACGAGGCAGAGGAGCAGCAGCAGCAGCAACAAGAGGATGTAGAGGGAGAGGGAGAGGCACGCGGCGGCCTGGTGCTCGATTGGCACACTTGCGATCTCTACCCGGAACGATGGGTCGATCTCGTCGTCGTGCTCCGCTGCGACCATGCCGTTCTGTGGCAGAGGCTGGAGAAACGGTGAGTGTGCCCCCACGCCGCCCTCCTTCCGGGACCTAGTCCCACCGATCCGATCGATTCCCCGCTGGCTCGGTCCTTGCCGTCGCAGACCACCAGATAGCTAACACCGCGACCGCCTACCACTTCCGTCCCCTCCCGGCCTGCAGCGGCTACACGCTCAAGAAGATTCAGGAGAACAACGAGGCGGAAATCATGGGCGTCGTGCTCGACGATGCGCGCTCCTCGTACCCGGCCGAGGCCATCGTCGAGCTGCGCTCTCAGGAGAGCGGAGACGTCGAGGACAACGTCGAACGCATCATCCAGTGGATTCACGCCTGGCGCAAGGACCGCGGTCTCGAGTAGACGCTGCCTCCCGCGCGCGCGCGCGCCCACACACACACGCACACGCCCTGGCCCCTACACGCTTTCCCTCTTGGCCTGTCCCGACTCGAACGAAGCACCAGCAACAGCAGCAGCAGGACGTCATACTCGATATATCCCCCCGTCTAATCCGACAATCTTTAATTGCAGCACAGCAGCAGACGACGGACGGGACATGGCGAGAGGAGAGAGGGGTGGCGGAGCTGGGCTGGGCGGACCGAACGGATCAGCTGAAGCTGACGGCCTCCTTTGCGCCGTCGTCGACGACCAGCCTGAAGACGTCCGGGCGCGAATAGTGGCCCGTCGGGTCAAAGTCCATCTTGGCCTCGGTCAGCTGCGACCGGCGCACGACGGCCGTCAGGATGCCGCGCTCGTCCCACAGCGGGCCGGCCAGCGTCTCGCCCAGCGGTCCGGCGATGACGGATCCGCCGCGCGTGACGATCTCGTCGGGCTTGGCGCCTGCATCGACGGTCGTACAAAGGGGGAAGAGGACGAGTAGACAGGCAGGCGTACGTGAGCGCGGACATGACAAGAATAGGAGCGCAGGCGTGTCTGGCTGCTCCCGGAGACCTTGCGAGGCGGGAACACGCACCTTCGTAGGCCGGGTAGTCGTCGGGAAAGTCGGAACGCGTGTTGAACTGGTTGCAGCTCACGACAAAGCAGCGCCCCTCGGCGGCGATGTGCTTCATGCTGCTCGTCCACGTCTCGCGCGAATCTGCCGTGGGTGCGCAGTAGATTTCGACGCCCTTGGCGTACAATGCCATGCGGTGCAACGGCATGTAGTTCTGCCGCCGCCGTTTATCGGTCGAAGGGTCGGTTGTCGGGACGAGGATCAGCGGACTGTGGATCGCGAGGCGTGGCGAGCGACCGGATAGACTCACCTCCCAGCAGATGACGCAGCCCAGCCTGCCGGCGGGCGTATCGACGACGCGGACTCCAGCGCCGTCGCCAAAGCCCCACACCAGCCGCTCGGTCGCGGTCGGCGTCAGTTTGCGGTGCGCCGAGAGGAGGTCGCCCCGGGGCGAAATCGTCAGTGCCGTACCTGTGACGGCGGCGGTGGCGGCGAGAGGAGTCGCATCGTCAGATGCCAAGCTCGACCGACCGACCGACCCGGGCACAAACGACGCTGGCCAGGCCATTCTATCGAAGCAGCAACGGGCTGCCGTGTCCGCCGGTCTGTAGACTCACAGTAAAGCGTCCCGGAGCCGCCTGGGTTCTTGCTGCCGTACGTCTCGCGCTTGGGTCCCGTCTCTGGGCCGTCACAGCGCTCAATGACGCCGACGACGAGCGTGATGTTGTTGTCGCGCGCCGCGGCGCGGATGGCCGACATCTGTGCGCCCTCGACGTCCGAGACGGGGATCGATGAGGCGTGGTACCGCGCAAACCAAGACCGGCCCTCGGGCGTGCGCGAACCGATCTTGGCTCCAAACTGGCCAGCCAGATCGGAGGTGTGCCAGGACGACAGGGGGGAAGCAGGCAGAGGTGTCAGGACCGGCAGAAGGGAACCACCTCTGAACCGGAGGCGAAGGCGGGGTCAGGGGTGGGCACGGCACGAGACTTACGTCCAGCCCGCGCGGGTAGGCGCACAGGAAGGCTTCGGGGAAGACAACGACGACCTTTGCGTCCGGGTTGGGGCGGGAGAGGCTGTCGCGCGCCTTTTGCGCAGCCTGCCTGGTCAGCACTCCGAGCTTGGCCAGGCTGCCGGCCTGATCAAAGGCGACGGGACTGTCCTGCACCAGCGCCAGCACAATGTCCTCGTCGAGCGCAGCGGTGGCCGGGCTGGCCGCCGTGGCCGCGGCCGAACCGCTGCTGGGTTGGTTTGAAGTCGACATAGCGGGCAAAAGTGCCGTACACTGTGGTATGAAGGTCGAGATGCGGGCTGGAGAGTGAAGGCGTGGCCAATGCCGATGGAGGGAGGGAAGGAGGAGGCGGGATGGTAGGGTGCGGCCCTCGCCGAAACCTCGCCCCCTCCGGCCATTCGGCCCACGCCGATGGCCGAGCGCACCGACGCCCGCTTTCTTTCCCGAACCCAAGACGCCGTGCTTTTGCCCGGTCCCTGCGCACGTCCGTAGCTTCTCCTCCGCTCTCTCCAACAACACCACCTCCTCCACCACCCTCGCATTCCGTCCGCTCGCCACCGTACCCCGCTCTTCATCCGCTCACTCCGCACAAGGCCACTAGAGATGGCAGCAGCAGTGGTTGCCCGCGGTGTCGGGCAGCTGATCGACACCGCCATCGGCTCGTTCCGACGTGCGCCGTGGCCCGAGTCAGAGCTGGCCCGACGATGAACTGCTTGACGGCCGAGCCGGGACAGGATGCTTCATACCTCCACGAAACCAGGCGGACGGCGACTCCCTCTATTTCGGACTCGAGCCGGTCTCAAACTTGACTCGGCCCACCCGTCTCTTTGGAAGAGTCAGGCGCGCCTGCCGCGCTGCGATCTTCGTTGCACCCGGCCTCGAGGCACCTCCCTCCGTCTCTGTTGCTTGTCATCGGGCTTGATCCCAAAAAGGATCATGAGGCTCCTCTGCCGCGCACAGTAGGGCCGCTCGGCGCTCGGGGAGATAAATGGAGCGTCGAGGCTCGTCCTCTTCCCTGCTTGACTCGATTTCAGTCGCTCTCCGCACGGCGCTCGCAGCGATGCTAGACCCGGCCTGCCTCCTCAAGATCGCACTCGTGAGCCATTACGCCTTACTCTCCTTCGTTTCACAGAGCATGTTGGCGGAGCAAGGGCTGACGATCCTCACAAAGTCTCGTTCGACATGGCGTTGCAGTCGGCCGTCACCGCGGATCGAGGCGGGGGTGAGAGCGCTCAGTCGTGCCGCGTCGAGGGCCAGGGACCAGGCTGGGACATGGTCTGACCGTACTTCCGCCTGTCCTGCCGCTCCCGCTTCCTCTCCCGCTCTGGAAAAGGAACTCGGCCACGTTCGCAGCACGATGCCGTCTACGGGGCCAAACGCCTGCTCCGTTGCGTGGCGGCTGGCGGCAAGGCAGAGGACGGCGCCCCCGATGGCGCGCTCGAGACCTTCCTCAAGATGGTATCGCAGGCGATCAGCGATCCATACCGGGCCAGACAGGCCGAAGGTGAGCAGCGGCGAGACTTCCTGATTGGGTGCGGGACAATGACCGACGCCCGACTCATCTCTCGAACCGCCGCTCGCATTGCAGCGCCCAGCGACCATCGGCATCCCGGGCTCGATGCGTGTCAGGCTACCTTTATCGAGCAGACTCGCTGCTGGCTCATGCGGCCCTCGGCCCTTCCGCAGCTGCTCGAGCTCGACGCGGTCGCATCGGACATCCTCGCCCAAGCCTTCGACACCGCTGTCTTCGCGGCGGAGGAAGGTCCTTCTGTGCCCGCTGCGACGCCGCACGAGGTCACTATCCTCAGCGGGACGAGGATGCTGATCGAGGGCTATATTGGCATGCCGCGCGACGCCGCCACAGCCAAGGACGACGAAGGGTGGTGCTTGCAGACGGGCGCCGCCGTCCTCGACCAAGTCGCCTGCGTCCTTGCAAGCCTGCTCGAGCTGGCCAGCCCCAGCCAGATTGCATCAGGCAGTGACCCGCGCGAGCATGGCTTGGAAATGGTGCTCGGCCTGCTCGGCGCTGCGGCCATCGTACTGGACTCGAGCTGCGAGATGCTGTCACACCGCTCGGCCGCTGAGCTGCTCGATCAGTTCAGCTACGGCTGCTTGCCGCTCGCGCTCGACCTCGCGGTTGCGAGCAACCTCGCGCGTGGCTCGGAGGTGCTCGACGTGCTCCGCTGCACGATCGAGCGCATAATGCTGCGCGAGCTCGAGCTCGGCATGGCGCTGGCAAGCACGGTGATCGAAGCGATCGCGTCGCAGTTGTTCGCAGCGGATAACACCTCAAGCGACTGCCTCGAGGCTCCCGTAGAGGCCGATGACGCTCGGCGGAACGACCTCAGCGCAGACCGCGATGCGCGCCGCGAGGGCATCGATGGTGAAGCAAGGCGCCGGCTGCAGGGCCTGGTGGTGTCCGTCGTCGACGTCTTGGTCTGGGAGCTGCGCGAGATCGCCCTATGCGGCGAGGCGGCCCCTGCCAATGCCGCCTTGCTCCAAGAGACGCTCGAACAGGTCCTGTCGTCGTGGTCCTCTCCATGCGACGGCATCGGGCCATGCCGAGGCGTAGAGTGGCCGAGCCGCTCCTTGGGCGATGCCTTTCTCGACCTGGACGATGCGCTCGCGGCGCTGCGTGGGGCTTGAGAGCGATGCCGAGCGATGACCAGGAATATGCTGCGTTGTCGAGCCCGCAATGCTACGGCGTGAATGCGTCCGGTGATGTGCCCACAGCGGGGTCAGCCGTACATGTCCGGATCGTCTGGCCACCCCGCCTGCGCCATGCTCGAGGTCGGGAACGGACCAGACCCGAGAAGACGGCTGCCCGCACCCATCGTCTCATGCTCGACCTCGAAGCGGACGACATGGGCACCGGGCACCATGACCATGCCGACGTTGCGCTCGGTGTAGGTCGGAGCGGGATGCGGGGCTCCATTGGCGGCCGCCGGGTGATCGCCCCGTGGCAAAGGTGCCCTGTGCACCTCGTAGGTGTTGTTGAGGATGATGTTTACGCCGTTGTCGATGCACAGGAGCGTTCCGCGGAACGCGCGACCGTCGGGGATGTGGACGATGACGGTGCGGTCGATGAAGCGCTGGGTGATGAGCAGCGCAGCGTCGTCGGCCGACGAGGCGGACGTCGTCGTTGGGTCCATCGCCGGGCTCGAGGGGAGGGGGGCAGTCGCCGATATCGGGTCGAGACCCGGTTTGCTCCGGATGGGGTGGACGCGGTAGTGTGGCCGGAGTGGAGATGGTGGGTGGGTGTTGTGAAAGGTCGTGGGTCCCTCGCCCTTAGCTAAGGGGGCCGAGAGAAGAAGTCTTAGAGTGCGTGAAGCTCGAGGAAGATGGCGGCGGCGGAGGCCGGGCCAGGCCGCTCGAAAAGGCTCGCCAGGGTCCAGCGGTACGGCTGCTGGCTGCCTGCCGGCTGCTGGCTTACGTGGGCGAATTCGGTGCCGACGGGTGCCTTGCGCCCAGGGCCCGAGCGCGGCGCCCGCCGCTTGTGCTGGCTCGGCAAAAGAGGCAAGGTCAGGCCCACCTCCGGCAAAGCAACGCGAGCCTTTGCCGGTGGCCGCCCACAGCGAGAAGCCGGGCCCTCGGTGGCTGTCGGGCCACTCGCTCGACCGCCGTCAGCTGCTTCGTGCGGCCGCCAGCTAGGCCAGACTGGGCACGCCCGCCACCCGCACCTTGACCACACCTCTGGCCACCACCACCACCACCACCACCACCACCTCTACGACCTCTTCTGCGTCTGCATCATCTCACAAGCTCTAGACCTCTGCAACCAACCCCAGCCCTGTCCACCCGCACCGCAGCAGCATCATCGCCGCCATGACCTCGCCTCAGAAGATCAAGACCCCGCTCACTGAGCAGTTTGGCATCACCCACCCCATCATCCTCGCCGGCATGAACGTCGGTAGGTGTCGAGCCTTGATGTTATTCAGCATCCTCCTATTGCAGCTGGATCGGTCCCTAGGCGCTCGGTGGATCTCGTGCTGACACGCTGCGCTTCCTACCCCTTCGCTGTCGCTTTGCAGCCGCTGGACCCTCGCTCGCTGCTGCCGTCACCAACGGAGGCGGCCTTGGCGTCATTGGAGGTGTCGGATACACGCCCAAGTTCCTCAAGCAGCAGATTGAGGAGCTCAAGGCCGAGCTCAAGGACAAGAACGCTCCCTTTGGCGTCGACCTTCTCCTGCCCAAGGTCGGCGACGGCGCTCGCAAGACCAGTGAGTGGCGCCGCCCTGCGGTCGATGCTGGCTCATGCAACAGGCTGCTGACACTCGAGCCCTGCGTGCGTCTTTGCCACCCTTCCCTCTTTCCACCCGCAGACACCGACTACACCCAGGGCCAGCTGCCCCAGCTGATCGACATCATCATTGAGAGCGGCGCCAAGCTCTTTGTCTCGGCCGTCGGCGTGCCCCCCGTTGATGTCGTCAAGAAGCTGCACAACGCCGGCATCGTCGTCGCTGGCATCATTGGCCACCCCAAGCACGTGGGCAAGGTGCTCGACGCCGGCGTCGACATGATCATCTACCAGGGCGGCGAGGGCGGCGGCCACACGGGCGACGTCCCGCTTTCGGTTCTGGCCCCGACCGTCGTCGACCTGACGCGCGGCCGCAAGTCGCCGCTGACGGGCAAGCCCATCATCACGGTGGCTGCCGGCGGCATTTTCAACGGACGCGGCCTCGCTTCTGCGCTGTGCTACGGCAGCGACGGCGTGTGGGTGGGCACGCGCTTCGTTGCGTCGGTCGAGTCGGGCGCGCCCAAGGCGCACAAGGAGGCGGTGCTCAAGTCGACGCACGAGACCGACGTGCGGACCATCATCTTTACCGGTCGCCCGCTGCGCGTGTTTAAGACGCCGTACATCATGGAGTGGGAGTCGAAGCCCGACGAGATCAAGAAGCTGACGGACCAGGGCATCATCCCCGTCTACCACGACCTGGACAACGACGACGAGGAGGGCACCAAGGAGGCGGGCGCCAGCAAGCGCTTCCTGCTGGGCAAGTGCGCCTCGGTCATCAACGACATCAAGCCGGCGCGTGAGATTATCGACGACATGGTCAACGAGGCCTCGGCCGTGCTCCGCAACGGCAGCCAGCTCCTCGTCGGCCAGGGCGCCCGCCTCTGAGCGCGTCGTTGGCGTAGCGGATGGGCCCGCAGGCTAGCGAGCTCGACCCGACTCGGACTGCCACATCTCTCGTCGTGCGGCGGCGGACCTTGACCCTTTTTGTCAGAGCGAGAGCGGAAGAGCAATGAACCCGGCGGCGGAAAATGATGTCCTCTCGCTTCGTCCGTGGTGTCGTCGCGTGGGCTGCGGCTGCTGGTGGACCTTGGGGTCCGTCGACGATTCTCGAGGCCCCGCTGCGTTGCTACGACATGGCAGGCAGGCTGTCCCCGGGCTGAAGCTTGATCGGTCGCGGGGAGAGAGCACGCCCAGACTGACCTGTCCGGGCGGACGACTTGACATGGCCGGGCGATGATGGCGGCAAACAGGAGACGTAGCAGCAGAAACGGTGGGTTATGGTGGGAATCGAGACGAAGCCTGACGTATGAGCAAGCCAACATGCATTATTGTGGCTCCCGCCTTGAAGGTTTGCCTGGCCGTGCCTCTCCGACCTACGCCATCATAGCAGCTGCAGTAAATCACCCTACTCTACGACTCTGCTACATAGCAGTCAGCGGTTAGAAAGCATGCATCGAGAGGTGTTCGGTTGGACTGGGCAAGCGGGTCAGGCATGAGGGAAGCAGGCACATGAAGATGGAGGTCGTAGCCGCCAGAGGGCTTGCTTGACCTGGGAGCTGACATGGAGGGGAACAGCAAGGCCCACCAGGTGCCAAAAGGTGTGTCGTTTGTCGACCTTCTACATACCACCACCACCGGCTCGCCCTGCCGACTATCGCTCGCCTGCCAACCCGCCTGCCGTCCTGCTCCCTGCTGCCCGCTGCCTACCTCCTGATGCCTGCCGTCTGCTGCCCGCTGCCTCATTCATGTGGCCATCAGCCAATCCTGCTTCCCAGGTGGCCCGAGCCTTGATGGCTCACACCGCTTCGATCCCCCACAGCCGGCCCCCTCGTGCCCTTCTGGTGGGTTGCAGCTGTCCCTGCTGCCATGTCGCAGTCAGCCGTCCGACTTGCAGCTACGCTGACCTCTGCGTCTGTCTGCTGCCCTCTGCTGCCTCTGCGCGGACGTTGCCGCCATCGTCCGTGCCCTGCCTCCCACAAGGATGCAAAGCGCGCGACCATTGTTGTTAGCTACATAGCTCGCAATACAATTTTTCAAGCCTGATGCAGCGTAACTGGTGTGATCGGAGGGCAAGGGAAGTGCTAGGAGATGCTGAGGTTGCAAGAAGCGAGACGATGCGGCCCCCGGACAAGAGTCAGACGTGCTGGCAGGGAACAAGTCCTAGGACTTGTCGCAGGAGACGCTCGCGCCCCTCTCGCGGAAAGGGGGAAATCCGCTCAGGACCAGTCAAGATTCTGCCGCGATCCCTGCTCGCCCGTAGTTTCTCTGCTCTCCCGTTATTTCCCCTGCTCTCCCGTCATTTTCTGCTCTCCCGTAATTAGGTTTTTCACATGGGGGCCCTCTCCCGGTCTGACGCGCTTTGGGTCTGAAAGGCAGGCGTGAGCTTGGCTCAACGCGTCCAGCCAGGTTGCCGGCGGCTCAAGCGTGGCGAAGGGGAAGACATAAATACCAGCCGGGAGAGCCCGTCCTTCCATCCTGAACCACATTCAACCGCCGTTCTCCTTCGCCAACCAGAACCCGACCTTGGCCCAGATTGTAAGTTTCTTACTAGATGTCGGTGGACCCGGCTCTGATGCCGTGGAACCGCTCAACGAGGTTGGAAGGTCTGGCAGATGCTTGAAAGTGTCGCTCGAGGCACCGGGAGCAGTTGAGCGAGCTCGCTCCTCTCTCGGAAGTGGCGAGTCGCCGACCGGGGCACGTACCCCTTGACAACCTCGGGGCGTCAAACCTCTGCCGAAAGCTTTCGGCTTAGAGATGCGGGCCGATGCACTAACGAAAAACCCACCTGCTTTTGCACATTTGGCTTCTTCCAACTTCTACAGGATCGCAAGGGGCAGTCCACGCGCCGGCTCACCGCGTATGGCGGCGCCATGGTGAATAGGGGGATTTCTGACGCGACAACCCGGCCGACCACTCGGGCGAAAGCCTGCCTCAGACTTGCGCCTGGCCAGGCCGGTCGAGCAACCCTGCCGGCAGCGTCCAAACTTCGGAAGGCGGCCGACGCCGGCGCCTCTCGACAGCGGCGGGCACCGGCTTCGAAGCCAGAGAGTGGGGACATTGTCGGCCACCCGCTGGACTTCTGGGACGAATCGTAGGCATCCGGTGCACCTATCCAACAAGGCAACCGACGTGGGCTCCTTGTGCTTGTGCTGTCCCGTCGGGTGTGGTGTACCAGCTGATTCGGCCCTCTGCCTCCTACAAGGGCCTGGAGGCCGCACGGAAAGCCGGGCAAGCAAGGCTGGCGCCGGCAAGCTCGCGGCGCGAAGGTAGGCACGCCGCCCGCATCGATCGACGAAATTAAATTCGTGAAAGGCAGGGCAAAATGGAGCTCGTGGGGTGGCCTCGGCTTAAGTTGTGGGCCGGGGCCCCTCGAGGTTTCCCTTCGGAAAATGAGGAAATTTATCCGGAGGCCGGAGGTGCGCCAATTGGACCCGATTGATTGCGGCACAACCACCACCACCACCACCACCACCACCACCATCACCACCAGTACCATCGTCACCACCCTCCGGCTTCCCCCCTTCCTCTTCGAGGCTAGAGGCCAGCATCTCGCATGCCCCCTTTGGCCGATCCATCTATCCTGCCCTCCACCTTCTTGGTGCGGCCACCGTTGCGTATCTTGCCCTGATTCCGCCCGCTGTTGAGCTGATACGCAGCCTCGGCATGGTACCCCTCTAGCCACCATCGCTCGCCCGTGGGCGCCGACTCTGCTCGCCACCACCTCGTCACCGCCATGCGCGCATCGCCTCGCTCCTCTGTGGCCGCGTCACGCAGCGGCAACCCAAGCCTACCGTCCGGCATCGATACCCTCGCTCGCGTCGCAGCAGCACAGTGGCAGCACGGCCAACCTCGACCTCGACTTCAACCTCGCCTTCCTCCGTCCACCTCGACCACAGACACGCCCAGGTGCAGAAATGCCCGCCCCTGCACAGACACCAACACTCAATCGCACTCGGACTCTGAGGGCGAGCACGAGCAGGAGGACGGGCCGGCGCGCTCCACGCCCTCGCGCCATGACCGGCGCGCATCCAAAGCCTGTCAGGCCTGCCGAGCGCGAAAGACACGCTGCGACGCTCGCAGGCCCACCTGCTCCTACTGCGCAAGGCTCTCACGCACCTGCGTCTACGTCGAGGGCGACCTGCGCAAGCAGCGCCCTTCGAAGCGACGTCGCAAGGATCCACCACCGCCGCCGTCCCCTCAGACCGCTGACGAGACCAGCATCAACGGGCCCAGACGGGCCTCATCGGCAGCAGCGGGCCAGTCCGATGCTACGACGGCAGAAGACGTTGCATCTATGCCGCCGCTGCAAGGTCGAGCCTCGCCACCGTTGAGCGGACGTGCTGCAATGCCGCCGACGCCGCCACTGCCGCCACTGCCGACACCGTCGGCATCTTCTAGCCATCTACAGCAACAGCATGCCCCCGCGCAACAGCATCAACAGCAACGTCGACGACGGGACCAGATTCAGCACCAGGAGAACCAGAGCTTGCCCGGGCAGCCAGGCCAGCACCGGGCACCACCACCCCCGCCGCAGCCGCCAGACCCCAGCCAGGTCGACGCCACGACCCAGCTCTTTGCCCAGCCCGCCCCGCCTCTATCTTCCCACATTCTGCCCGACGAGCTCATCGAGGCGCTCTCGGGCAAAGTCGCTTGGTTCGACGAGCTCGAGCGCAACTCTAACACCTCGTCAGCAAACGAGCTCGGCGCTGCCGGCAGCAGCAACGCTCACGCCTCGCTGCAGCCGTCCTGGTCGAATGCGGCCGATGTCGCCGCCCTCGACCCCATGCTCGCAGATCTCCTACAGCCGTCCACCACGCCTCGCCGAGTCACGGGCAAGGAGAGGGTCATTCAGGTGCGTGCCGCCGTCTGCCTCCGCTGTTGCTGTCTCCGTCGCCATCGCCTGCTGCCGCGCCTCCGCCTCCTGACGGTGCCGCCGCTCTGCCCGCTCCACAGCTGCACTACTTCCGCTCGTTTGGTGGGGCCACGGCCGTCACTCAGGGCCTTAAGAAGATCAGCGTGCGCATCCGCGTGCCCGCCGAGCTCGAGTCGATGCTCCTCGAGGCCCAGAACCGAAGCACCCTCTTTGACCCCGCATCGAGCAGCCTAGACCCGCAATCGCTCGACCTGCATGCGCTCCTCGGCACTTCGAGGATGGTGCCAAGTCATCCGGCCACCGCCAGCGAGGCCTCGCCATCGCAGGGGTCCGGACTCTTTGCTAGCATGGCTTCAGGCCAAGGCGCAGCATGGACGCCGCCCGCGGCTACCGCGTTGCACGAGGACCTTCCAGACCCTCCGTTGCGGGACCTGCTACTCAAACGCTTCTTCCTGCATCTCGGCGACCATTTCCCGTTCATCAGCCAGGCCACGCTCGAACGGCAGTTGGCCGAGGGGAAGCGCGTCAACCCGGCGCTCGTCCACGCAATGTGCGCCCTGTCGGCCCGCTTCGCCCAGCCACACGAGCTAGATACAGCCTCGCCCGGAGCGGCGTCGACGCCAGCGGCGTCCGCACATCTTTCTCGACCCTCGTCCCTCGACGCCACCACTGGATCCTGCTCGAAGCCTCACTCGCGCGGTCTTCCCTTTGCCGAACGTGCCAAGTCGTATGTCATGTCGTCGATCACCTGCCCCTCGGTGACGACGGTGGCCACGCTCGTCCTGCTCGCCTGGCACGAGTTTGCCGTCAACGCCGAGGGCGGACTGTGGATGTTTGCCGGCATGGCCCTTCGCATGGCCATCGACCTCGGCCTCCATCGCCGCGTCAAGAAGCACTGGCTCGCGCCCAGCTCGCCGGCCGGCGCGGATGCGGGCGATCTGATCCAGCGGCAGCCGCTCTTCTGGTGCGTCTTTGCCCTCGACCGCCTCCTGTCGATCGGCACCGGCAGGCCCACTAGCCTTAAGGACTCGGAGATCAACCTCGAGTTTCCGCCGCTCACCGTGTCGCTTCCCGCCCCGACCGCCCCGACAGGGAGGCGCGCGGATCTGGACGGCGGCAGCGGCAGCGGCAGTGGGAACACGTCACGGCATCGCCCATCCGTCTTTGGCCACCTCACCCGGCTGATGCAAAAGGCCGGCACACTCGCCGAGATCGCCAACAACCTCGGCGACGAAGACGACCAGCGGCCGCTCGAGGAGCTCGACCGGCTCGAGGCGGCCATGATTGGCGACTACGATGCGCTGCCGCCGGAGCTGGTGCTGGGCGTCGAGCAGCTGCGCCAGTCGTCGGAGCCGCGCTGCCTCCTCTCGCTGCACCTGTGGTTTCACAACCTGCTCATCCTGCTCAACCGCCTGCCCCTCAGCCGGCTGCGCGCCAGTCCGGTGAGCGCCGACGAGAGCCGCGAGATCCTGCGCCATGCGTCGGCGCAGATCCGCAATGCCGTCCTCTATGCCGATGCCGTCGATCCGACGATCCACCTCGCATGCCCCTTTACCAATCAGGCCTTCTGCCTTGCTGGCGGTGTCGAGGTCGGCATGGCAGCCACGTTGCAGCAGCACAGACAGGCTGGCGGCGGCGGCAACGGGGCCGCCAGCGCATCCGCCCGCGCATCCGCCGCTGCCAGCCGCACCGCCCCGTCGTGGCGGAACGGCACGTCGACGCCCGCCATCGGCCCAGGAGCGCGGTCGCTGTTTGTGCAGGCCCATCTGGACGCGTACCAGCGGTGCGTCGATGCGCTGGACAGGTTGACGGAGCGCTGGCTCGGCGTGAGCTGGATCGCCAACGCACTCAAGGCGCGCAAGATGGAAGAAGCGGGCGGCGAGAATGGCGGTGTCGCGGGCGCGGGCGCGGGCGGCGAGACGATGCTGTCGCATTCGGAGCTGGTGAGTCGACCGATGCCTTTTGATTGGTATCGTAGGGCGGTGGTGCCGCGATGTGAGCGACGAGGGGCTGACTGAAGTTGGTTTGGTGGTGGCCTTGCCTTCCTCGCTGGTGCCTCGCCGCGGTGCAGAAAGTGCTACTCCGTCTCGCGGCGTCTACGGCATCTTCGACTGAGCAGCCCATCTCGATCATCGACGATCCGTCCAGCGCCGGCGCGTCCTCGTCCTCCGGCCAGGCGCAAGCACAGACCGCTCCTCGGGACGCAGCGGCGCCGTCGTGGGTCTCGTCGGCCACGACGCTATCCAACGCGGCGTTTGCGTGCTTCGGCCCCGCCGAGGCGCCGCCAACCTCTCTGCCGGCCGTCTCGACCAGCAGCAGCAGTGAAAGCAACACGTCGATCTCGGCATCTGCTCCGCAGCCGCCGCCTTCTGCGTCGGCGCTGCATCACATCTCGATCAGCGACATCAGCCACCCGGACGACCTGTCGCAGTTCCTGCCCTTCCTATCGCACCACGCCCTAACGTTCGCAGCATCCTCGACGACCGCGACACCGCGTTGAATTCGACGCCGAACTTCGAGTTGCCGGGCCCGGTCCGATCTGCTCTGTATGGCGCAGTCTACGTACACGCCCTTCTATCCCGCCCTACCCTCCACCGCGTTCGCTCCGCCTTGCCTCGCCCCGCCTAGTGACCTTTGGCGTAACCGAGCAGCAACTCCTCAAACTCGCCGACGCGCGGCAACCTGATCTGTCCACTCGGCTCATCAATCCGACCAGCGACGTAGGCGTCGATCTTGGCGGCGAGGTTGGACGGGTGGAAGCCAAAGTGGTCAAAGAGGTGGCGCTGCGGGCCCGAGAGGCCGTAGGTGTGCATCGACAGCGCGGCGCCGACGTAGCGCGGCCACGGCAGCGACGCCCACGCCTCGATGCCCACCGAGAGGTGGTGCGGCGCGATCGTGTCGTGCCGGTACGACGGTGGCTGCGCGTCGAAGCGCGACATGCACGGCATCGATACCACCTTGATGGCATATCGCCGTTGTCGGCCGGTGGCGGCAGATAACGATGAAGAGGCGAGCAGGTCGGCTGTCTCGATGGCTAAAGACACTTCGCTCCCCGTCGCTACCAGGGTGAGGTGCACCACCGGACCCGCCTCGTCGTCGTCGTCGTCGTCACTGGCCGCAGCGCCGCTCGAGGACGAGGGCGAAGAGGCGGAGTGGACGACGTAGCCTCCCCTTTTGACGCCCTCGCGGCTCGAGCCGGGCAGGAGGGGCAGGGCGTGTCGGCTAAGCGAGAGGATCGACGGCGTCGTCTCGGCCTCGAGGGCAAGGTACCACGAGCCTACCACCTCTTCGGCATCGGCGGGGCGGAGGAACTGCAGGTTCGGCAGGGCGCGGAACAGCGAGGCGAGACCGATGGGTTGGTGCGTCGGTCCGTCTTCGCCGATACCGATCGACTGCCAGAGTGGAGAGTGCAATGGAGAGGGAGGAGGGGGGGACAAAGGAAGAAGGGACACAGATATCGTCAGTCATCACGCCAGCCACAATACCTCTTACCCGGCAAGAGACCGTCGTGCACCGGGGTGGCTGGCACCATGACTACTCACGTCATGCGTGGCCACGCCAATGACGCGCAGCTTCTGCAGCGCCGACATGCGGATGGCGGGTGCGGCGTAGAGGAAGAACATGAAGAAGGTCGAGATGACGGGGACAAAGGCGTGCGGGGCGTAGGCGGCGAGGCCGTTGGCGACGGCGGCCATGGCGTGCTCGCGGATGCCATAGCGGATCTGGCGCCCGCCAAAGTCGCCGCCCTCGATCCGCCTCGATGGGTGCTGGAACTCGACCATGCCGCGCCAGCTGACGAATGTCGACTCGAGCAAGTCGGCACTGCCCACCATGAACTGCGGGAAGTGCGGCGCGATGGCCTCGACGACCAGGCCCGACGCCTTGCGCGTGGGGATCGACGAGGTGGGCAGGTCGGTCTTGGGCGGCAGCATCGTCGTCCAGCGCGCAGGCAGGCCGCCGATTAGGCCGTCGGACCCCTCTTTTGCTTCCTCCTCGGCGTCGTCAGCGACGGCAGCAGGACGGTTGCGCTGCTCAAACTCGGCCGCCAGGTCCGGGTAGGCGCGTCGGTATTCGGACATCATGCCGTCCCACTCGGCCTGGATCCGCTCGCCCTTTGCGCGCGCGCCGGCAAAGGCGTCGTAGACGTGCGGCGACAGCGTCATCTTTTGGTCCGGATCGCGGCCAAAGGCGCGCTTGAGGTGACGCACGCCGTCGTCGCCGAGCGCGGCGCCGTGGACGGGCCCCGTGTTCTGGCGCTCGGCGCCGAAGCCGATGACGGTTTCGATCTGGACGCACGTGGGCCGGCCGTTGCGCCGGTGCTTGGCGTCGTCAAGGGCGGCGACGATGGCGGCGACATCCGTGGAGCCGTTGCGCACCTCGATGACGTCCCAGCCCATGGAGCGCAGCTTGGCCGGCTGGTCCTCGGACGAGGTGGCGTCAATGGTGCCGTCGACGGTGATCTTGTTCATGTCGTAGATGAGGATGAGGTTGTCGAGCCCGAGGTGGCCGGCGAGCGAGAGGGCTGCGGGGCAGGGCAGATAGAGGGGCGGGGATGGCATGCTAGATCAGTGTCGGGCTAATTGCAGGCTGGCCGCTGCCGTCGTCGTCATCGCCTCGCGCCCCCCTCGCCACACCGGCTACCCGGCTGCTCACCTTCCTGACCGACGCCCTCTGCGATGCAGCCGTCGCCGGTAAAGCACCAGATGGTGTTGGAGACGACGTCGAAGCCGGGGCGGTTGTAGTGTGCTGCCATGTGCTTGGAAGCCATGGCGAGACCGACCGAGTTGGCGATGCCCTGGCCGAGGGGGCCCGTGGTGACCTCGATGCCGTTGTGCGGGTCGATTTCCGGGTGACCCGCGGCGAGGCTGCCTTGGAAGTTGGTGGAGTGGTAGCGCTGGAGCATATCCATGGTCCAGGCCCGGTAGCCGGTAAGATGGAGGTAGATGTACTGGAGGAGGCAGGCGTGGCCTGCGGAGAGGACGAAGCGGTCGCGGTTGGACCAGGTGGGGTGGGCGGGGTTGAAGCGCATGGCGGTGCCCCAGAGGGCCATTCCGATTGAGGCGGCGCCGATGGGCGTACCCGGATGGCCGCCCTTGTAGGCCTGGACCAGGTCGGCGGCCAGGCAGCGGATCTCAGCCAGGATCGACTCGTTGGCCTCGGCGCTGTTGGTGCGGATGGCTTCGCTGGCGGCGGCCGTTTCGGCGTTGCTCTTGTCGAGTGACGGCGAGGGGTGGACTTGCTTTGTGGCACCCGCTACTACCGCCACCGTCGTTGTCGGCGCGCCGCTGTCGAGGGTGGGTGCAGGAGCCATGTTGGCGGTGGCGGTGGCGATAGCAGTGGCGGTGGTGGAGGCAGTGGCGGTAGGGCGGGGCGTGTCAAGGGAGGCGGCAACCGAGGCTTATCTTGACCAGGTGGACCGAAGGGCGAGCGAGCGCTTGAGGGATGGGCGATGAGGTCGACCAGGGGCTCGGACGGTGGGGAGTGGTGCGACGGGTGAGCTGGTCGACCTTCTTAAGCGCTAGCGTGGCGCGCAGCAGAGGCAATGGCGGGGCTGCAAGAGATGCTATGGCGGTGCCGGCAACATCCGAGTCGGCGACGTACCCGGTGCGGTGCGGTGCGGTGCGGTGCGGTGCGGTGCGGTGCGGTGCGGTGCGGTGCGGTGCCAGGCCAGGCCAGGTCAGGCCAGGCCATGCCAGCCGGTAGGTTCCCGCCGGGGTCGAGCGTGAGTGGTATGGCATCGCATCGGCATGCTCCCGCGCCTCGTGTGGTTGCGGCGTAGAAAGGATGGAGGACGAGAGGAGCCAGCCAGCTGGTGCCAAGGCCGGCGCGTCCTGTTTGGCCAACTTCCGACGATGGGCGGGGCTTTTCCCGCACTCGCCTGCCTGCCCGCCGGTGTCTTTGCTCGCCATTTTCCGATGGCCGCTCGGCCTGGCAGGGACCCCCCCGCTTTTTGGGGGCCGAGGCTCGCTCGCCATGGGCTAGCCTGGACTCTTGCCACCACCCTCCTCACCACCACCGCCGCTGCCGCCTCTTCTTGCCTCCCTGCCGATAGCTTTGACCCCCGCCCCCTTTTGACCGGTCGGTATCATGCGCCCACCTTCCCCCATATCGCCCATCCCCGGTCTTCCGACCCACGCGGCGAGCGACCGACCTCGGCCAATTTACGGATCGACTCACCGAAAACCCCCTCCGTCCGGCTCAAACGTCAGGCGCTTTTCCGAACACCGCCCACGGTCATCCTGTCTCGACACCTCGGCCCTCAGTAGGCAGCAACTCTTCCACCGGCCACCGTGCTCCCCGACGCTCAGCATGCTCGTCCCATCATCGCTCAGAGCCGGGGCCGGGGCCTAAAAGCCAAGCAGAGTGCTCGGGGCCGTTCCGCCACCATCCTCGTCTCCACTACATCCTTCCAGCCATTCCATTACGCCTCTTCGCCATGGTACCCATGCCCACCAGCACCGACAGCACCCGCGCCGCCACCAGCGTACAGGACGCCGTCCTCGCAGCCACCCAGGGCCAGCGCTCCGCAGCCCCAAACAACCTCTTCACCCTCAAGGACACCACCAGCCTCGGTAGGTGCCACGGCCATGCCTTGACCGCCCGTAACAGCCGCCGCCCAGCTCTGACCATACTTTCTCGTCTCTGAGTCTGCCCGCATCTCATCTACACTGTCCCGCAGTCACTGGCGCCGCTCGCGGCATCGGCCTGACGCTCGCAGCAGCCCTGCTCGAGGCCGGCTCCCACGTCGCCTGCCTCGATCTCCTCGACGAGCCATCCGACGCGCCCGAGTGGCTCGCCTTCCGCGCACGCGCAAAGGAGCTCGGCCTAAATGCCTCCTACATCCAGGCCGACATCACCGATTCGGGAAACATCAACGCCGTCGTCGACCACGCCGCACGCACCGCAGCCGACGCCGCCCGCCCGCTCCGCACCGTGGTGCATGCGGCGGCGGTGCAGAAGCAGGGCCCGCTCATCGACTTTGATGCCGAATCCTTTGACTGGGTCATGCGCGTCAACGTGACGGGCTCCTTTATCGTCACCCAGGCGGCGGCGCGGGCGATGCGCGCCCACTCGCGCGGCGGCAGCATCGTCCTGATCGCCTCCATGTCGGGCCAGGTGGCCAACCGCGGCCTGTACGGCGCGGCGTACAACTCGTCCAAGGCGGCCGTGCACCAGCTCTGCCGCTCGGCCGCCGTCGAGCTGGCCGAGCACGGCATCCGCGTCAACACCATCTCGCCCGGCTACGTGGCCACCGACATGACCAGGCAGCTCCTCGCCGTCGAGACCACGCTCCTCGACCGCTGGACCGACGACAACCCCATGCGCAGGATCGGCGAGCCCAGCGAGTTCAAGGGCGCCGCCGTCTTTCTCGCCAGCGAGGCCAGCTCGTTTATGACGGGCGCAGACATGCGCATCGACGGTGGGGTGAGTGGTTGCGGAGCGCGAGAAGCTCGTACCGTTGCAAATTGCACCGGCCATGACGCTGACTGGCCTTACTCACCCTCCCTCGTTCTCTCCTTCTTGCTCCCCACAGCACTGCGCTTGGTAATTACGCTGCGACCATGCCGAAACCTCGACGTCCGTCCGTCGATGTCCTTGAGCGTCATTGTCACCGTACTTTCAGTCTTGCTGCTTCCGTGCTAGATGGCCTGATCGCCGCGGATATGAATGTGGATGTCGATGCGGTGATGCTGCTACTTTGCCGAGCAGGCCAAGGAGGAGGAGGAGGGAGGCTGGTCGGGGCAGCGGTGCCTAGAGGCGGGCGGGTGAAATTAGCCTAGAAATTCAGGGGAAAATGTCCAGGGGCCGTGCTGGGAGCGAGCTGGAGCTTGGCCTCGCCTGCCAAGCCGGGCGGTGCAAATCGGCGGGGAGGACGATCAACAACAATGAGGACGACACGCACAACGGGCACACAAATGGGTACATACATATCTTGGGCGTCTGCATCTGCGGCTGTAGGTACCGCCTGTACCTTCCCCGCACATTCGATCGCTCGGCATCTGCGACAATGCCACCAGTCAACCGACCGGGGGGCGGGGCAAGAAAGCCGATGCATCGTCATCCCCTCGGCCGGCCGCTCATCCTGCCAGGCCCCTGGCTCGCATGGAAGCGGTGCGGTGCGGTGCGGTGCGATAGAAGTGCGGCGGTATTGCAGCTCAGCTTCGGAGCCTTTTTTGCCGCCGACACCGTACTCCGACCGGGCAGACAGGGCTCGTCCAGCGGCTTGGTGAGTGGTTGAGCTGCTACCGTACCGCTGATTTTGGATGGTGAGCGACCAGAGACCCCCGGGCGAACCGTACGCTCAGGTGCCACGCTCGATGCTGCTTGGCGGGTCAGCATGTCCGACCAGATCCACCTGCGTCGGCAATGTCGAGGCGGTTCAAGAGAATGCCGATGCAGCCGTCCAGAGCGCTGCTGGTGCGGGGCCCCAAGCGAGGTTGCGGGCACAAGCGAACGCCATGGCGAGCAGCGAGCAGCGAGCCCCCGCCAACTTGGCCTCGCTCTCGACAGCCACCAACCATCTTCATCCTCGACCTCATCATCGCACGGCGGGCGGCTTTGCTCTGCACTACGGAGCCGCCTTGCCGCGCCGCACCGCATCGCACCGGCAATCTCTCCCCGCACGCTGATTCCCGACCGGCAGCGATGGCCACGAGCCGGCGCCGAGGTCGGGAGCTGACCAGACCCACCATGTCCCGCCTGCCTGTCTGACGGTGATCTGCAGCCTTGTGGGTCCCAACCTCGACCCCACCTGCCGCCCCACCATGCACCACCACCGTCATCATCCGCTGCCGCTTACCGGTACAGCAGCTGGGATGTGGGGCCGCGCTCGACCTCAGGTGTGCACAGGACCTGCCACCCCCCTGGCCGCATCGCGGTCATGGAGCCAGGCGATCCAGCGCTATAAGAAGAGCGGATCCCGCTGCTGGTCATCCTCCCCGACTTCGACTTCTCCTCAACCTCACCCTCGATCCTCACCCTCAGACTCGATCGGCTTGGCACCACGCTCCTGGACCCGCCGCTTCCCGATCCATCCTCGCCGCCATGAGGCTCCTCCTCTTGACCTCTCTCCTGTCACTGGCGCTGGCCGCGCTCGCCTCGCCCATCGCCCAACAGCAGCAGCAACCGGCCAAGGCCAGGGCCGCAGCGTCCGACAAGGTGGGCTACTTCTTTGTCCACTTCCACGACGACTACAAGTCGCCCGGCGACTACAGCACCTACCCGGCGGGCGAGCAGGTGTTTGGGCAGCTGTCGAACGGCAACAATGCCATCTCGTACACGGCGCTCAAGGGCGGCGCGCCCCTCCTCACCTCGACCGTGGGCACCAAGGGCGTGCGCGACATGTACCTCGTCTCGAAGCCCGACGAGTCGCAGCACTATATCATCGCCACCGACCTCAACCAGACGGCCGTCGGCGGGTTCGGCGGCAAGTTCCTCAGCCGCAGCCTCGTCATCTGGGACTCGGAGGGTCCCAGCCTGACCAAGTGGAAGGCGCCCCGCCTCGTCGAAGTCGTCCCGCCCGAGTTCCGCATGGCCTGGGCGCCCGAGGCCATGTGGATCGAGGAGCGCAAGAGCTTCATGGTCTACTGGTCCTCGAACAAGTACGCCGACGCTTCGGTGAGTGGTGCGGGCGGTCGATAGGGGGGAATGACCTGGAGTGGGGTCCAGCATGTGGGATCGCCGCAACTGACCTTCGCGCCTCGACCGACTTCGGCCCGCCCTTGCAGCACTCGGGCACGCCCGACTACGACAAGATCTACCGCGCATACACGACCGACTTCCGCAGCTTCACCCAGCCCGAGGTGTACATCGACCTGGGCGCCGGCACGGGCGTGATTGACCTGACGATGCACCCGACGGGCCAGGGCAACCAGTATGTGCGCTTCTTCAAGGACGAGAGCGTGTCAAAGTGCCGCGGCCAGGTGAGCAACAGCGGCATCGACGGCCAGTGGAACGACATCGGATCGGCAAAGGAGTACGTCGACAACAACAACCAGTCCGAAGGTGAGTGCGGTCGTCGTCTTCGGCGGCGGCGTGGCGTGGCGTGGCGTTGCGTTGCGTGGCGGGGTGCGGTCGACCTCGCTTGGGATACGATCGCGACTGACTCCCTGACTCCCTGCCTCGTCCTCGCCTTCGTCCTTATCGTCTTTGTGGGACTATCAGCCTGCCTGTTTTTCAAGGACAACCTGTCGGACAAGTGGTGGGTCTTCCTGGACCAGTACGGGCGCAACCCGCCGGGCTACTACCCGTACACGGCCGACAAGGGCATCACGCAGTACGGCTACACGGACCTGGGCTTCCCGCCGGGCATGCCCAAGCTGCTCAAGCACGGCGCCGTCAAGCCCGTCAACCAGGCCCAGTACGACGAGATCAAGGCCGCCTGGGGATGAGCGTCGCGGGGCTGGGTGCGATGCGGTCGTCGTTCTTTGTCGTGTTCGTCGTCTTCGGTCTGGAGACCTGGGGGCTGGTCGAGATCGGCGAGTGGGCACGTCGCAGATGTATGGACGAGCGCGTCGATCCAGCGCCCGAGAAACCGTTGCAATCACGAGTTGGTCGATGTATCTCGGATGTCGGCTCCGCTGCGAGCAAGCCGGGGCGGTACGGTGGAAGGCGGTGTTGGAGGACCACCAGCGGCAGAAGACGGGCGCGATGATGATTGGCAGTCGGAGAAGACGAGCGATGCCGTCGAGAGCGGAGGGAAGTCCGTCGATGCCCTCCGATCGACCGGCAGGGTTTTCGGAGCACAGAGAGGATCGCAGCATCGCCTTTCATCACGAGTGCAACGGAAATGAATCGAGCGAGAGAGAGCGGGAGGGCATCCCGAGCGGCGAGACGACCGAGAGAAGGAGCAAGGACCGCGGCGTCGGAACGATAGGGTATCGCCGGGCTCTGCGCCTCGCTTTCGGACTTAACGATCCGGCCCCCCTGCCTCGTTCCGCTGCGCAGGATTCCGCTCGTCGACCTCCTCGCAGCCCAGCCGTAGCCTGGCCTAGCCGTCGGTTCGGCCGAGGAGTGGAATCATAACGGTGTGGAAGGAAGCAGGGAATGGGTGCTGGATGTCGTACGGTGCACGGCGGTGGTGGTGGTCAGATGGCGGAGAGCGAGGAGGGGCAGCGGCGGATGGCCAGTGCGCCAGGCCAGGCCGGTGCATAGGCGTGGAGCCTGCAGCGTCTGTCTACCTGTGCGTGTTTCGACGCACGCAGGGTGCAAAAGTCGAGCAGCAGCGGACAAACGCACGCACGCAGCGGGGTCGGTCGGGCTGGGCTGCAACTTCGGGAAGCAGACGGCGCGGGCCTCTCAAGCAAGCAGGCAAGCAGGCAAGCAGGCAAGCAGGCAAGCAGGCAAGCAGGCAAGCGGGCAAGCGGGCAAGCAGGCAAGCAAGCAAGCAGGCAAGCAAGCAAGCAAGCAGGCAAGCAGGCAAGCAGGCAAGCAGACATACGGCTGGGCGCTGATTCAGGGCTCGCCTTAACTTCCGACTTGCCCCCCGGCTAGCCAGCTAGCCAGCCAGCGGCAAGCTAAGCCAGGGTCCTCGTCGAGGTTGCAGCCGGCCTGGCAGGCAGGCCTAGGCAAGCAGCAGGCAGGCCAGCCAGCGATGATTCACCACCACCTACGTCTTCCCCCCAGCCTAGCCTCTTCTTGGAGCCCCGCCTCTTAACAAGCAAGCTGCTCGCCACCCCATCGCCTGCTTAGACCCCTACCACCACCACCACCGCAGCAGCCTTCCCACCACTTCATAGACCCCCATCAACACCCGCCACCATGCCTCCCTCGTCTGCACCCTCGTCGCCCCCCGCTCACATCCTCGTCGTCGGCGCAACGGGCAAGCAGGGCTCCGCCGTCCTCGAAGCCCTCGAGCGCCACCCGGCCCTCCAGCAGCGCCCCTCGAAGCTCTTTGCCCTCACCCGCAACCCGGACTCGCCCCGCGCAAAGCCCCTCAAGGCGCGCGGCATCAAAGTCGTCCAGGGCGACATCTTCGACACCGACTCGCTCGTCACCGCCCTCCGCCACAATGCCATCACCGCCGCCTTCCTCGTCACCGACGCATTCGCAAAGGGCGGACCCGACGGCGAGAGGCAGCAGGGCATCGCCTTCATCGACGCCGCAAAGCGGGGCGGCGTAGAGTACATCGTCTTCTCCTCGGTCGGATGCGCCGACACGGCCACACAGGTGCCCCACTTTGCCTCCAAGAACGACATCGAGCACCACCTCCGCGACAGCGGCATCCCCTGGGCCATCCTCCGCCCCGCCGCCTTCATGGACAACTTCCCGCCCTCGGGCATCGGCCGCTTCCTCGCCTTTTCCCTCTTTGGCAGCCTCCTCGGCGGCCGCAGAAAGCTCCAGTACGTCGGCGTCTGCGACATTGGCAGGGTCGCCGCAGAGTGCCTCCTCAAGCCCAGCGAGTTCCAGGGCCAGACCATCGAGCTCTCGGGCGACGAACTCACCGTGCCCGACATCCAAAAGGCCTGGTACAGGGGCACGGGCACCTGGCCTTGGAAGATGTGGCTGCCCGGAAGCCTCCTGCTGCCCTTTATGCCGTACGACTTCAAGATGATGTTCAAGGTGAGTTGCATGCGGGCCCTTTCCCCTCTCCCTGGGCGTTATCCATCGCTCGAAGCCAGTGAGAGCAAGGTGCGGCCCGACCCTGAGCTAACGTCGGCTCGGTTCCCCTCAACAACTCCCTCGCTCGATGCTCCACCTCCCTGCAGTTCTTCATCAAGGACGGCTACCGCGCCAACATCAAGAACCTGCGCACCAGATTCCCCGGCCTCAAGGACTTCGAGACATGGTCGCGCGATGAGGTCGCCGCCAAGGCCAAGAAGCAGGACTGAGGGCGGCGACCCGACGTCACGGGCCAACCCGTCGTCACGGGCCAACACAACGTGCCGCGGCATCGAGTCTTCGATGCGATCACGCCTCGACCGGCCAGACAGCCTCAAGCCACCCGAAATCGCGCGCAGCATCTTCGCAGGCTTCCCCGATGATCCAATGGGCAGGCGGAGATGTCGCTGTCCCCTTCGTCGCCGAGCATATACCTGCTCTCAGCCCGGTACGGGCCCGTCGGGACCCGAACTCTGACACAGGGTCCGCGAATGAGGCGAATTGTCCTATCGGGCCTCGCCGTTCCTGGCGCTGCCCCCATAGCCGTACCCTTGCACGCCGACGGACACGATCGCCCCACTTCAGGGCTGATCTGGCTGTCTTAGCCACGAGAAAGGCGCTCCTCATGCTGTTGATCCCGACCTTTGCTGGATGTCTTCACGGCCACAGCCCCGCTCGGCCCCGTTCCGACCCAGCCGACGCCGTTTTGTGCCGCTGACTCCGCCTATCACCGGTCATATCGCGGTCACCGCAGCTCGGACTGCGACCTCTGCCTCATCGGATACGTTGACGGTGCTTGAGTGGCGATCCGACGCCGGCTGTATCATGCTTCGACAACATCACGCTGCTGCTGCCTCCGGTCCGGCCGATGTCGTCCAGCTTGCGGTGGGCAGACGCGCCACCGGTAAGAGACGCTGCCCTGCTGGCCTGCTGGGACTCCTTCGGCGGCTGCTACGGCTGCGGATTTCACCGTCTCTGCCCAGTCATCCAGCAATGGTGGATGAACTGCGCTCAGCTGGCTCAGCAGACACCACTCAGCAGAAGCCTGGCGCCGAGACCGCCTGCTTGTATCGGTTCAGGGCACCGACGCCGGCTACCTCGCCTTTTCCGCCAGAACTCCGCGCCGAGCGGCGCCGCTCTGGAGCCGTCCAGGCCCGCCGGTCCTGCACGTTCTCGTTGCCCCGCGGCCCACTCTCGACTCTTGCGGCGGCAGGCGATCGAAAGAGGAGAAATGGCCAGCAGAAGGTGCTTCGCTGACATGCTACCGAGCAGACGCCACGAGGCGGCGCCACAGTCGAGCCAGCGGCTATAGTGCGGCCCAGATTCGGCCCCCGGCGTGGGATGGCTGGTCCGGCGTCGATCGTCCACCTGTCTGTCCAGTCGTTCAGTCCGGGCGGTCATGGGGCCCCGCGCTGGCATCAACGGCCATGCAGACGCCTGCCAGGTCGGCACAGAGCAGCGCGCTGCGCGACGAAGGCCGTCGTTGCCAGCTGCGGACGACATCCCAAGACAGGCTGCGTTCGAAAAGGAGGTTCTGCCGACCTGGAGCGCTCTCGAGTCTCCCTCTAGCCGAGCGTGAGCGTGGGGGAGGAGCGAACTCGGGCGCTGTACGACAGCACAGCACAGCGCAGCGCAGCGAATGGAAGCCAGCCAACGGCGCTAGTCCAACGTGAAGCCCCTGGCCTGGGCAGGGTCTTGGAGTCGGTCACGTCAGGCGGTCCAGTCCAACACCGCCATCTTCCACCGCTCAATTCACCGACACCGGCGGCGTCAGCGGCGGCGGCGGCGACGGCGGAGGCCAGGTCGCCTGTCGGCGCGTGTGTACGTACGTACAACAAAGTCGCCGGCCGCATTCCGCGCTTTTTCCGCACTGCGACCATGCCAGGTCCTCTCGTTGGCCGCGCCAGGTCTCTCGAGCGCACGGACGCGAGAGCGCGAGCCCTGCAAAGGCCCCTCGACGACAGGCCACCACCGTCAGCCCCTCCCTCGCCCATGATGCCCAACGCTAGCCACACTACGCGCTAGCGCCGTGCTACTGATCAGGACCTGGTCACAGGGTCTGCGCGGGGCTCCACGACGATGCCATCTCGACTGTTGGGGCGCTGTCGTGCCGAGGGCCTGTGGCCCAACTCCCTGCTCCATCGCTCTGGCAGCTGGCTGGGCGACAGGGTTCTTCCCCGCTTCCTGTCGCAAACGGCCCCCCAATGTGTCGCGAGAGGGATACATAAGAGCAGCGGTGACAGCTCCCCTTGCTGTTCGCCGACGCCGCTACGGCACTGTTTCCCGACCTCGCCGCGATCTCGTCCTCCCTCGATTCTCCGACTTTCAGACATCACCGAAGCAAGAAGAGCATCGCAAGCATGACGCAACACGCCGACGTGGAGAAGGCCGCCGAGCCACTCGACCCTAGCAGCCGGCCTGGCTCCCCTACGAAGGAGGAGAAGACATCGCCTTCGACCGAGCTCGAGCTCGAGACCCGCGATGCGATGATCGCGCCTGCCCCATCGACGGCGGCCAAAGGGGGCCTTGCTGCGGGAGCCGATGGCCAGGCGAGCAACGTCCTTACCAGCAGCGACATCATCAACAACAACGACGACGACGACGGCGACGACGAACAAGCGGCAGGGCCACGGCCGTGGTACCGGCGCTTCTGGCAGAGCGAGGTGCCGCGCTCCTTTTACCGAGAGGCGCTGGCGCGGTACGGCGGCGAGGGCGGGCTGGACGCTGCCGACGACGCGCGCATCCGGCGGCGTCTGGACCTCATCATCCTGCCGCTGATCGCCGTGTGCTACGCGTGGTACTACATTGACAAGACGACGCTGTCGTACGCGGCCATCTTTGGGCTCAAGGCCGACCTGGCGCTGACGGGCGACATGTACGCGTGGCTCAGCAGCTGCTTCTACCTGGGCTGGCTCGTATGGGCCGTCCCGGCCAACCTGCTGCTGCAAAAGTCGCCCGTGGGCAAGTTCCTCGGCATCAACATTGTCCTGTGGGGCGCGTTCCTCATGGCCCAGGGCGGCGTGCGGTCGTTTGCGGCCCTCGTCGCGCTGCGCACCATTAGCGGCGCCGTCGAGTCCATCGCCGACCCGTGCTTCCTGGTCCTCATCGCCATGTTTTACCGCAACGACGAGCAGCCGCTGCGCATCGCCGCCTTTTACTTTGCCAATGGCGTCGGCTTCTCGGCCGGCGGGCTGATCGGGTACGGCATAGGCCAGATTGACGCTCCCATCGCGAGCTGGCGCCTCATCTTCCTCCTGGTGGGCGCGGCCTGCCTGCTCTGGGGCCTCGTCATCATCGCCTTCTGTCCAGACCATCCAGCCACGTTCGTCGGCCTCTGCCGCGACGACCGCCTGCGCGCCGTAGCCCGCGTCCGCGACAACCAGTCCGGGATCGCCACACGCCGCTTCAAACCCGACCAGGCGAGGGAGGCGGTGCTGGACCACCGCACCTTTCTCTACCTCGCCATTGCGTTTGTCAGCAACGCGCCCAACGGCATCCTCTCCAACTTTGGCACCCTCATCGTGCGCGGCCTCGACTTTTCCACGCTCAACACCACGTTGCTCCAGATCCCCTATGGCGCCATTGTCGTATTCTGGATCGGTAGCGCCGTTTGGCTCAACCAACGCCTACCAGGACAGACGCGGCTGCTCCTCTCGGCGGCTTACATGCTCCCGACCATCGCGGGCGCCCTCGGCCTCCTGTTCGCCCCGCAGTCGAGCCAGGTAGGCCGCCTGTGGTGCTACTACCTCACCTCGAGCTTCCAGGCGCCCTACGTCCTCTACCTCTCCATCATCACGTCGTCCGTCGGCGGCCACACCAAGCGCATCCTCACCATTTCGGCCAGCTTTATCGGATTCACCATTGGCAACATCGCCGGTCCCTTTTTCATGCACGACGACGAGGCGCCCCACTACCGCTCCGGCATCGTCGGCATCCTCGTCTGCAACGTCCTCGAGGCCACCTTTTTCCTCCTCCTCCGCGCCTCGCTCGTCCGCTCCAACCGCGAAAAGGAGGAGCAGCTGCGCCGGATGCGCGACGACGGCATCGACGTCGTCGTCCAGAGGGACCAGACGGCTCAAATGGACGTCACCGATCGCCAGAACCCTTACTTCCGCTACTCGTACTAGCGGGCGCCTCTCGAGACGGGCGGTCTGGCGTAGCGCAATGTGGGGCGCGCGCCCGCCTCTTGCCGGACCGTCCGGCGACTCTCTGTCATGTCGATCTGTACCTTGTCGCAGCACGGCATGAACCCCCTGACCGACGCTGGTCAGACGCAATGGCAAGGCGCGACGGCAGCGGGAGAGACGCAACGGCAGCGGAAGAGACGCAACGGCAGCGGAAGAGACGTGCACTTGCCCCTTGGCCGACCGCGCCGGCTCTCGCCCTCGCTGCCGCTGCCGCTGCCGTTCAGGGGTCTTGCGCGAGCAGCCAAAGGGGGCCAGGCGAGCTGCCCGAGCTGGAGGGCAGTTGAGGGCAGCTCTGCTCCCCCGCGACTGCTCTCGCGCGGCGTCGGGCTAGCTGTAGCCTGCGAGCTTTGGTCCTGAAGCACGAAGGCGACGAGCCGCCCGAGTCAAAGGGAAGTTCCATGCTAGAGCCCGGGTAGCTTGCCCTCTCTCTCCTGGGCTGCTCGCGCATGGCCGACGTTGTGTCCTGCCTGCCTCGTGATCGGTCCGGACGCCGGCAAAGAGGCAACTTGACTTGCGTCCCGTCACGCTCTGGACGCGCTGACGATGCCGGCCTGCTCGAGGAATTTGATCTCTTGATCCGTCAGCGCGCGTTCCGACCCAGGCGCAGCACCCCTGGGTCCGCGTCTCCTGGTGGCATGCTCCGAGATGCCGATTGACGCCTTGCTAGGCCGATCCATGGCATCGCGGAGCTGCGCCTTGAGGCCTAGTGGATCCCGGCCGACCCCTCCTCGTGGACCCGATCCGGGCGCCGATGGCACAGCGGAGTCGATCGATGCTTGGACGCTTTCGGCCTCGGCAGTCGATGCAAGGCGGAGGAGCGGCGACTTTTCCAGCAGGCCAGCGTAGATGCGCCGCCGTGCTCTGGCATGCCTGGCATAGTCCTTTGGTGTGCGGCTCCAGCCGTGCGTGCGGAGGGACTGCTTGCGCATGGCCTGTGGGCGCATGCCGGAGCTCAGTCGATCCGCCTCCGCCCTTGCATGGTCGAGGTAGGGCGGTGATGGCGCCTTGCGAGGCCCGGGGTCGACTCGAAGCGTTGACGATGCCGCATTCGCACCCGCGGTCGTGGTAGCCTGGCCGCTACGCAGCCGCCTTGGCAGCGGGCAGTCCAAGCTGGCCGCGCGCTCCTCGATCCCTCTGAAGCGCTCCGCTTGGCCGCCGCCCGGCACCTGCACGTCGATGGGCAGGATGACCTTTTTCAGCTGTGCGCCTGCCCACTTGCGCCAGGCGTTGGCCATCCTCGTTCTCCCCACGCGTTTGCCAAACTTGACCAGCACGGGGTCGTCGAGCGCCGGGAGGTAAGGCGGAGGGAGGCGTTTGAGGTGCTGGGGTCGTGCTGCTGCGCCGCGCATCGACTCCTGGGTGGTGAGGAGGTGGGCAAGGATGGGGTGGACGTCTTTGTGCCGTAGCCGGCGCGGGTAGCGCTGCTCCTCGGGTGCCGACGAGGGTTGTGGGCTGAGGAGGGCGAGGGCGTCGCGGCGGAGCTTGCCTCGGCGGGCGTAGGCAATGTCGATTGCGCGCTTTACGGCATGGGGCCAGCCGATGTTGGCGTCTGCGAGGTGGCGGAGGTGGATGCGTGCGCGCTTGATGCGTTTTTGGGTCGTCGAGGGGGGCCATTGGAGGTCGAGGTCGTCGTCGAGCAGCGGGGGCTGGGCTGGTGGATGCGGCGCACGGCTGCGACTCGAGCTGGGACCGGGATCGCAAGGAGGAGAGCGAGGTAGAAGGGGCTCGAGGTTGCGGCGAGCGAGGTGGGCGTGGGAGCGGAGGAGGGTGTGGTCTGACCAGGTGTGGGAGAGGAGGCGTGCCTGGTGCAGGATGGATCGGTAGAGGGGCACCACCTGGACGGGCGCCGACATGGTCGTTTGTTGGGGGTGCAGCGCGCGGCAGCCGTGTGCAGTCGATTCGCCAAGTCGGCTGCGTTGGCAAGACGGCGGTGGTGGTGGTGGTGGTGGTGGTGGTGATGGGCGGTCAAGAAGAGGATGGTGGTGAGGGGGTCGGGCATGCGTCCAGACCGACAGCGCTGCCGGCCAAAGGGAAAAAAAGAGAGGCTTTTAGAACGCTTAAATGTGGAGTAGGCCGCCACCTGACCCTTTGCCCGAAATCCGCGTTTCGAATTCCTCGGCCGGCATCAGATGGCAGATGGCAGACGGCCTCGCCGCGCCCCGCAGAAACGAGGCCAACTACCGCACGCCTCGACCGACCACTTCCTTCTATCTGGCGCCGAGGCGGCGACGGCGTGGTCAAGCGGCAGGGCAGGGCCATGGTGCGCAATCGCATCGTCGCTCCTCGGCACCTTGCCGCTCTATACGCTCACCAATACGGTGACTACGGTCGGGCGTCCAATTGACCGGCCCTACGTCTCGCCCCATCGGAAGATGGTGGCTGCCATTCCACCAGTTTACCCGTCGGCCAAATCAGACGCCGTCGACGTCGGCGTGGGGGGCCAAGGGGCGAGGAGGGGGCCCCACACGATGGCCGCCGGCCCTTTGGCTCGCTGCCTCGCCCGTCTCCCTGCACATCCACCGCCCTGACCTCTGCTCGCCACCATTGCCCGCACCGGCGTTTGCCCCGGCTGTTTGTCGGTCGATCCATCGACGCAATCATGAATACCTGCAGCCGTGACGGCACCCCGGTCGCTCATCGTCGGAAAATGGCTACGCAATCGCCCCGCCCGCCTCCTCCTTCCTATCCACGACGTCGCTCCCCCTCTACTCCCGCGGGGCCCCACAGGCACCGCTCGTCCCCTGCCCTAGCGCATCCATGCTCCCCTGCCCCTGCCGCCGCCGCCGCCGCCGACGACGACGACGACAGCGAGGCACTCATGACCACGCACGATGCCGCCTGGCGCTCTGTCACGTTGACACCGCCTCGGCTCGCTCGCGTGCATCCCCTCCCCGGTGGCTCCTTCTCGACTCGAAGCTTATAAGCACCACCTCCCTCCGGCCCCATGGCGACTGCCCTAAGTTACCCCGCATCGAGCTCCCCACCGAGAGCCTCTTCCCCTCCAGCGCCACCGCTGCCGATCGCCTGCCACCCGCCTCGACCCCACCATGAAGCCCCTCTCTAGGCCCTACGGCGCCTTTATCGCGCGCGCCTCGCCCCGCACCCTCCTCAACGGCATCATGGCCGCCTGCGGAGCCGGCTTCTTGCTCTTCGGATACGACCAAGGCGTAATGAGCGGGCTCCTGGCCAGCCCGCCGTTTCAGGCCCAGTTCCCGCGCATGGCCGACGACGCCACGCTCCAGGGGCAGGTGGTGGCCCTCTACGAGATTGGGTGCTTTGCGGGTGCGCTGGCCACCTTTTGGCTGGGCGAGCGCCTGGGCCGCCGCAGGATGATCATCTACGGCATGCTTGTCCTCTCGCTCGGTGCCGTCATCCAGGCCTCGTCGTTCGACGTGCCCCAGCTGATTGTGGGCCGCATCGTCGCCGGCGTCGGCAATGGCTTCACCACGGCCACCATCCCCGTCTACCACTCCGAGACGTCCAAGGCCCACGACCGCGGCCGGGCGGTATGCATCGAGCTCGCCGTCAACATCGCCGGCGTGTGCACCAGCTACTGGATCGACTACGGCTTCAGCTTCATCCACGGCAGCAGCGTCCAGTGGCGCTTCCCGCTCGCCTTCCAGGTGTTTTTCGCCCTCGTCACCGTCGGCCTCATCTCGTTTATGCCCGAGTCGCCCAGGTGGCTGCTGCTCCAGGGCCGCGACGACGAGGCGCTCGACGTGCTCCGCATGCTCGACGTCTCGCAGCAGGTCGCCGAGGAGGTCGTGGGCAAGGGCGCCACCACACCCGACGCCGCCGCTCCAGACGCCCCCGCGCATGCGCTCGACTACCGCCACGAGTTTGACGTCATCAAGGCCACGATCGAAGAGGAGCGTGCCCTCTCCGCCGGCTCGCCGCCCTGGCGCGACATCTTCCGCAACAGCGGCAAGGAGCGCTACCTGCAGCGCGCCCTGCTGGGCATGGGCAGCCAGTTTGCCCAGCAGCTCTCGGGCATCAACCTGATCACCTACTACGCCCCCGTCATCTTCCAGCAGTCGGTCGGGTTCTCGCACAACCTCTCTCTCCTCATGTCGGGCTTCAACGGCCTCGCCTACTTTTTCAGCTCCCTCGTCCCCATCTTCCTCATCGAGCGCCTCGGACGACGCCCGCTCATGCTCTTTGGCGCCGCGGGCCAGATGGGTTGCATGGCCGTCCTGGCCGCCATGACGGTCTCGGTCGGGGACACGGCCAAGGGCATCGTGGCCACCGTCATGCTGTTTCTCTTCAACTTCTTCTTTTCCGTCGGCTGGCTCGCCATCCCCTGGCTCTACCCCGCCGAGATCAACCCGATGCGCACCCGCACCCAGGGCGCCGCCCTCGCCACGTGCTCCAACTGGATCTTTACCTACCTCGTCGTGTGCATCACGCCGCCGTCGGTGCAGAACATCGGATACAAGACCTACGTCGTGAGTGGGTCCTGCTCGGTCCGTCAGACAGAGAGACAGCGATAGCGCGACCGAGGACTGACAGCCGTCACCGCTTCGGCCAACCCTCTCTCCGCCGCCGCCGCCGCCGCCACGCCGCACTTCGCAGATGTTTGCCATCTTCAATGCATCCTTTATCGTTCTCACCTTCTTCTTTTACCCCGAGACGAAAGGTTTGACGCTGGAATCGGTCGACAAGCTGGTACGTATCCTGGGCATCCTGCGCCATGCCATGTCGGGAGAGCAGAGTCGCGCAAGAGATACTGACGTCGCCTGGTGCCCATCCCGCTTCAAACGTGGCGCAGTTCGAAGAGACGCAAGCATGGTCCATCGGGCCCGTCGACACGCGGCGGTACAACGTTGCCGCCGTCGCCGGCGGGTCGGGAAACACGCATACGCTCGCCGCCTCGCCGTTGCCGTCGTCTTCGTCGTCGTCGTTGGAGATGTGCGATGCCGAGGTCGGGCTGGAGAAAAAGGCAGGCTACGCCCTCGCGACCAAGACGGGCGTGAGCGACGTCGAGCCCGCTCAGAAGGCTTAACCCGACCCGAAGCCGGCTGTGCGTGCACAAGTGTCCACGACGATACGAGCTTAGAACCCCGTCGCGCCTCGTTTGTGGCGGTCGTAGAGACGCCCGCAATGATACCACTTTCCCCTGCGATGACCGGGGTACAGACCTCAAAAGCTGGATCTCGTCCGAGCTCGAGCTTCACCGCGGCCAAGAAGCACAAGAGGCGGGGGGAGGGGTAGGGTAGGCTAGGGTAGGGCAAAGAGGCCCAATGGATCGTGCCGCCGCTCCACCCGACCGAGATGGGCGTGCGCGTCCCCAGTCTCCGTGCCACGTACGGCGCCCTCGAACTCAGACTCGAACTTGGACTCTGGCTCTGGCTCTGGCTTTGCCACTCCGTCAGAGGGGCGTGAAAGGTGCGCTGGACGATAAATCCTACGTGCGTCGAGGACGTGGCTTGCAGCGCGATCAGGGACGGGACGCACCGCACGTCGATCCCTGGCCGGGCTGGGTCCCCTCCCCCCGCCAAGCGTACCAAGAGACAGGGTAAGTCTGCTTGCCAGCCTTGTGTTGAAGAGCAGCCTCGCCGTGCAGAAGTGCGGTGCGTAGGCCAAGGTCCCCCGCTCCCCCGCGGTGGGGGAGACCTCCCCTCCTGGGTAGCTGAGAGCACTCGGCATGCCGAGCGGTTGCTCGATTCGAGAAGCCTCCCTTTTCGGGGGCGGATCGGCGCGCTTTGCTAACAAAACAATACGAATGCTCCTGCCCCTTTGCTCCCCGCTCCCCCGCTCTCGCGACAGAAGGTCACGACTCGGACCTGCGGGACTATACACCGACGTCCGTCACGCGACGCAAAGCAGGCGCAAGGGCGGTCCGCCGCTTCCGCCCCGATCCTGGTTGCGGCGGTCGTCGTCGTCGCGGTAACGCAAGGATGCCGTCCCGAGTCGTCGCGCCGGTCGTGGTCCCGATCGTCGGTACCTGGTCCCTCTCGCATCCCCTGGTCCTCCCCGCGGGGCCTACGCCCGCGAGCCCAGCTGAACGTCGAGCTTGGCGTCCTCGTACTCCGACAGGCCACAACTCTCGTCGTCGCTGCTCAGGTCGGCCGGTCCGCGCACCCACACGTCCTTTTCCTCCTTTGCAATCTTGGCCGCGTGCGGTCGGCCAGCGAGGCCCCTCGTCATCGTCGTCGCCGTCGTCGTCTTCGTCTTCGTCTTGGTCTCTGGCGTGGCCGTCGCCGCTGCGCCTCGGAACAGGATGGCGCGTCCGGCCTCATCGACCGGGTTCGACGCCAGCTCCGCCACGCTCAGCGCCGTCCGTCGCTGCGGCACGAAGCGGAACTTGAGCGAGGGCCGTCCGGTGTCGTCGAGAAGGCGCACCGTGCTGTACCGCGGCGTCGGGGGCGGATGCGGCGCCGACAGCGACGACGAGGCCGAACGCGTCCTCGGCTGGTCGGACTCGGCAGACGAGAGCGATGACTCGTCGGAGGTGAGGTCGTCGGACGAGATGCTGTGGGTGCCCCAAAGAGAGTGCTTGATGTCCCTTGCGCGCTGCCGGCCCTTGTCGTCCTCTCGCAGCGGGTCCCCGCCGACATCCAGGTTCGGCCACCGTTCCTTTGGCGTCTCGTTGCTTGCTTGGGCCAGGCTGTAGCCTCGCGAGGCGCTTGTGACGTCGAGAGGCCCGTTTGCCTCGCTCTCGGCCTGCGCTGGGGTATCCACGAGCTGGTCCTGCCCGTCTGCGCTCGCGCCGTAGCTGCTCTCGTTTCGTGTGGGCTGTCGCCTTTGACTCTGCTTTCCGCCGGTGCCTGCGCTCGTGCTCGTGCTCGGCCCCGCTCGGCCGTCCTCTTGAGCCTGCTCGCCCGCGCCCTGAAGCTCCTGCTTGCCGACGACGGCCTGGATGTAGTCGCGCACGCTCTTGTAGCGCTGGTCGCCCTTGGCTCCGCGGACGATGTGCGAGAGCGAGAACATGCGCTTGCTGTTGGGGCCCGTCTCGACCAGCTGGCTGCCGTGGCCGCCCTTGCGCAGGCAGATGCTGCAGATCGGCAAGGCAGGAGAGGATGGGGTCGAGGTCAGGGGCCATGCGGGGCATGAGGATGTCAGAATGTGGTAACAGGAAGCAGGCGGGCAGCAAACGGGCGGAAGGCGACTGGAGGGCGGGCGACGGGCGATACTCACGAGCAGTTGCAGAAGCCCATGCAGCGTGGGCAGTGGAAGTCGGTGGCGCCGGCGTCGAACTCGAGGCCGTAGCGGATCTCGATGCAGCGCTTGCAAAAGTAGAGGGTGCAAGCGGAGTCGCCCCGAGTGCAGGTGCAGCGCATCTTGTCGTCGAGCGTCTTGCGGCGGCACTGGTGGCACGTGGTGCCGGGTGCGTTCCAGTCGATGACCTTCTTCGGCTTGGCCCCCACGTCCAGCTTCGGCTTCTTGCTCTTGGCGCCCTTGCGGCCGCGTCCCCCCGCTTTCGGCGCACCGCCTTCGTCGACGGCCTCGTCGTCGCCGTCGCCGTCTTCCTCCTCCTCCGGCTCGCTCCAGGGCTCCTCGACGATGGGGTCGGGTAGGTCCTCGAGGCGAAGGTACTCGTTCCTGTGCCGCTCGCGCATCTGCGATATCTCGACGTAGGCGACGGCGAACTTGGTGCCGGGCAGCGGATCGTCCTTGGTGGTGCCGTCGTCGGCCCAGCGGATCTTGCGCACGTACTTCTTGCGCTTCTTGGTCGCCGCGGGGGCGCCGCTGGCTGCGCCGTTCGCCTGGCTCGACTCGCCGGGATTCTGAGCGTGCTCAAGGGCGTGTTCGCCCTGGTCCTCGCCGACGTTCTGGCTAGCACTGCCGTCGTTGGCCGGATTGGGGCGTGTGCCATCAATGTCTGCGAGTCCGAGCTGGGCGAGCAGCGCCTCGTTCTGCCGAAGCCGGCGCTGGCGCTTCTGCTCGTAGGATTCGTTCGGATCGTCCGTCTCGCTGCCGGCGCCGTCTGCCTCGAGCAGCGCACGCAGCTCCTCGAGCATGGCATCATCGTCCGAGTCGCTCTCCTCGGCGGGCGGGGCGGCCGGCGGTGGCGACTCCTCCCTGGCCTCCTCGAGCTGCTTGGTGTCGTGCTCAGGCTCGGGTTCTTCGGCTGCGACGGCCGCCGGAGATGACGACACGACGATCACGTCGTTGCTCTGCTGGTCGTGCGCCCTCGTTGGACTGCCCGCTTTCGAGGACGTCGGTGGTTTGGGGGGATCGAGCAGCGCGATCTCCTTTTCGTCGTCCTCTTCGGCTTCGACCATCCTTCGACGCGCAGGTATGCCATTCGGTGCCAGGCGCAGCGAGGCGGCCGGCTCGGCTGGAGCCTGGGCAGCCGGCGTCTGCCGCGGTGGTGTGATGATCGTGTCGGGAACGTCGAGGTCCGTTGAAGGCGAACGGCGCTTCCGCGGCGTCGGAGCGGGCTTCTTCTTGCTTGGCTTCTTGCTCGGCGAGGACCGTTTCTGCGGAATGGCGCTCGGCTGGCCGTGCCTGTTGTGGAAGCGCATGGGCGTATGCCAGGACTGGCGATTGGACTGCTCGATGACCACCTCGACGATCGTGGCTGGCTCGCTGTTCCGAACGGGCGCAGACTTGCGCTTGACAGGCGCCTGCACCTTTCGACGCTTTCGCGGCGCCTTGTGGTGCCCATCGCTCTCGCTCTCGCTCTCGCTTTCGCTCTCGCTCTCGCTCTCGCTTTCGCTCTCGCTTTCGCTCTCGCTTTCGCTCTCGCTTTCGCTCTCGCTTTCGCTCTCGCTTTCGCTCTCGCTTTCGCTCTCGCTCTCGCTGTCGCTTTCGGTATGCGGCTCGTCCATCTCGCCATCGTCGTCGTCGTCGTCGTCGGCCGCGGAGTCGCACGCCGTCGGCCGCTGCGCGGGTCGGCTGCTGGGGCCCGGACAGTCGAGGTCGCTCGAGGAGATGTGCAGGAAGGGCGAGAAGCGTCGATGCGCTGGGCTCCTCGATGATTTTGGCGAGGGCTTGATGTAGACAAAGGGGCGTGCTACGTTGTCGTCGTCGTCGTCGTCATCGAGCTCCTCTTTCTCTTCCTTGACACGGCCGCGGCTCTGGGATCGCGTGAGGCGGCTGCGCTTGCGCTTGGGAGGTTGGTAAGCATCGTCAGAGTCGGATCCACGGCGCGCCGAGGTGGATGCATGCGACGACGGCCTGCTCCTCTTGTTGGCCATGGCGGCGACGGAAGCAGCAGCGGCCGCGCTACTGGCTGCGGGTACGTATGCGGGCGAGACCAAGAGGCGTCTGGCGGGGTGACGGCCGGGTCGTCGTTCATGCGAGGGTTCGCGGACGAGAGAGACGAGAGGCGAGCAGCATGCCGGTCCAGGCTCGTGGGGAGGACCAAGGGGAGCTGGTCGGCGGCGAGCTGCAATCTGACTTGCGTGGATCGAAGGATGGAGGGTGCGCTAGGCTCGAAGGGAAGCCCGAGCTGGCCGGGCTCGCCAGCTTGCCGCGGCGCCAGTGCGAGGGGCCAGAGGGCGGATCCTGTACTGTGCAATGCAGCGTGGGCGGCGGGCTCGGGAGGTTGTCTGGCCGAAGCCCCTTTGTCCAAAGCTGAATGGCGTTGAAAGGGACCGAAGCAAAGAGGTTTGGGGTTGGAGCCTCGGTCGCAACTACAAAGGGGCGATGGAGGTTGGGGACTGAAGATGAGGATGGATGCGGGTGGCAAGTCGTCGGTGGCGGTGCGTGGCGTCGGTCAAAAGGCAAGCCAAGTGGTGTGTGAATCGAGCGTCGAACAGGTGGTGGGAGAGGGAATAGGAGGGGCTACGTGCAGCGGGGTGGTGCTGTACTGGTCCAGACAGCTGACGGTGGCGCGTCGTCGCTGCTGGCGGGGGACGGAGCAGAGCCAGGCGGTGCGCAGGGGCGACCGGCGAGCGAGTGGTGAATATGGAGCGCGAGGGTGTGTGTGAAAGAGACAAGGGTGGATGGAGGACGGGAGGGAACAAGGTGAAAGGGTCGAGCGCGGTACTGTGCGGTGGGGTGCTGAGGCCAGGCCAAGCAAGCCAGGCAAGACAGGCTAGTCAAGCGGCCTGGCCGCGTGTGGAGCTCAGCGAGCCAAGCAGGTCCGTCCTCTAACTAGCCGCCCTGCCTGCACCACCCTGGCCTGGCCTGGCCTGGCCTGCCCGCCAGAAAACCACAATTTCGGATTTCGGGGCAGCCCAGGCCAGCCCTGGCCAGCCCTGGCCTCAGCCGCGTCGCGCTCTCCGCCCCGCGCCTGCCAGCGCCTGCCTCGCCTGCCAGGCCCCCAACCCCCCCTCCTGCTGGGGTCCAGCCTGCCTGCTCGCGCACCGCCGCACCCCGTCTCGCTGCCGTCGGTCCGCGCAAGGTCTTCATAAAGTAACATTGCTTTCGTAAAAAGGGGGATGCGGGCGAGGGTATAACTCTACAGGGATGGCTAGAGTGATTGTCCGTGCTGGTCGGGTGGTGACGTTGACCGGCGAGAGCGCCGACGACCGCGGGCTCATCTACCCACTGACGCCGTCGCGGTGGCACCTGCCGCGTCAGAACATGGTCGCAAATGCGTCGCCGGCGTCCTTGGTCGGCGCCGTCGGGTCGATTGGCTTGCCGTTGGCGCCCACACCCTGCAGAGTCCCACAAACGAGCGTATGGTGCAGTCAGTACCGAGCGCCTCTCCGCCTTGCTCTCTCTATCACTCTCTCTCTCTCCCCCTCTCCCTCTCTCTTTCTCTATGCGCGGCCACCCTGCAGTCCACTCACATTCTTGCCAAAGGTGAAACCGGCCCACAGCCCACGGCCGCCCACGCCCTTGCCGCCATCGTTGACCGCCTCGACGTTGCGCTGCTTCTCCTGCACCTCCTTGTACTTGGCCATGTCGTTGGGGTCGTCAAAGTTGTCAAAGTAGCCAGTGTCCTCGTCGTTTTCCAGCTGCGGGATGAATGGCGCGCTCATCTCGCGCAGCTTGGTCAGCTGCAGCGGCGAAAAGAAGCCATGCCCCTGCACCTGCGACAGAGAGCTGAACCTCCTCTCCGGCGTGTCAATCAGCCTGTTGACGGGTGAGGGTAAAGGCGGGAGCAGACGGACGAGGAGGGGTTTGCCAGGGCCGGCGCGGCGAGCGTCAGGATCGTCTCCGTGCGTCAGCAAACGGACCGCCGCCAGCTACTCACTTGGTCACGGCGTCCCACGCCACATCGCTCAGGTTGAACTGCAGGTCCTCGGGCTTTTCGTAGACGGGCCTCTGGAGCACCTTTTGCCAGTTCTTGAGGTTGGCCCACGTCTCGTCGGGCTGCGCGCCGCTAAACGGCGGGAAGCCGCACAGGAACTCAAACAGGATGCATCCCAGGCTCCAGTAGTCGACGCTGATCGTGTAGTCGCGCCCGCGCAGCACCTCGGGCGCCATGTAGTCGGGCGAGCCCACAATCGAGTCGGCGTGGTGCGCGTTCTGCGCCCGCATCATCTTGTACATCGAGCCCCGCTCCGCTGGCGTGCGGTAGATGAAGTCGGTGTCCTTGACCGCGTCGAGGCGCGACCGCAGCGACTCGATGCGTCCCGGGTTGAGCACGCCCGACGCCAGCCCAAAGTCGGTCAGCTTGATGTGGCCGACGGAGTCGACGAGGAAGTTCTGCGGTGTGACCAAGGAAACGGCCAACTTGTCAGCGAGTCGCGTCCGGGTGTCTGCCGGGGTCGCCCTTCCGGAAGGAAGGCCACGCTGCATACCTCTGGCTTGAGATCGCGATGAATGTATCCGAGCTTGTGCAGCTCGTTGACCGAAACGAGCATCTCGGCCATGTAGAACCGGGCGTGCTCCTCGCGCAGCACCCCACTGTTGTTGAGCAGCGTGCGGAAATCGCCTCCCGGGACGTACTCCTGTTGAGGCGCGGAGAGGCAGGGTGGCGAGGGTGGTGGAGCAGCAGAGAGGAAGCGAAGCGGATCTCGCAGCGTCAGCGTGCCTGCAGGTCGCTCCGTCGGCAGGTCGACCCTGCCCGCTGTCGCTACGCCGGCGACTCACCATGGCGAGGAAGACGTGCTCCTTGTCCTGGAATGCGTACAGAAGCCGCACCAGCCACTCGGTCTTGGTCGCGGTGAGGATATCACGCTCGGTCAGGACGTGGCGGACCTGAAGTCGACCGAGGCGGGGAACGATGCACAGGTGTCAGCCGACCACGTTCAGCCCTGCCCTACTGCCGATGGAATGAGTCCACTCGTCTTCTCACCTCGTCCATCTTGACGAGCACACGCTTGCGGAGGCGCTTGAGGGCACACACCTCGCCCGTGTCCCTCTTGCGCGCCAGGAAGACCTCGCCGTAGCCGCCCTGGCCGACCTGGGTGATGATGTGGAACTGGGCGAGCTGGAGGCGGGTGCGGCGTTTGCGCAGCAGGACACGCTCCCTGCCGAGGTACGAAGCCCGCTCCTTGGCATAGGCGGCGGCGGTGACGGAGGCGGCAGTGGTTTCGGAGGATCCCTCTGCGTCCTTCTGGCAGTCGGGGTGCAGGCCGCGCGCCTTTGTCGACTCCTGGAAGCGGGCGTACCTTGCCTTGCGGTCAGAGAGGTAGCGCAGCGAGTCAAAGTAGTGGTTGAGGAAGTCTGACAGGGTGCGGATGGTGCGGATAGGAACCGAGCGGTGCAGTCACAGGAGGAGCGGGTCAGTGCTTGGCGGGCGAGGGCGAGAGAGAGTCGGACAAAGAGGCTCGGAGTGGCGATTGCTTACAGAGCTGTGCGACGTTCGCCTTTCGCTGTACGCCTGGGCTGAGTGCGATCTCGTTTTCCCATGGCTGCAGCCCCTCTCCACGCCGCCAGCTCTTCCAGCTTCCCTTTACGTCGTCGTTGCGGGCGTCGAGGGTGCTGGCGGACTGGATGGCCGAGGGTCTTGGTGTCTCATGAGCGTGCTGCTGCTGCTGCTGCTGCTTTGCGGGTGTGGGTTTTGGGATGGAGTGCTGGTTCAGGGCGACGGGAAGCTGCGGCATGCTATTCTCCTTTTTGGACGTCGAGAGCGGACTGGGTACGGCTGGGGTGGTGGCGGTTGTGGTGTTTGTGCGCGAGTCGACGAGGACGCGGCTGATGGGGGCCGCACTCTGCGACATGGTGGCGGGCGTGGCGGAGTGGCGTGAAGGTGTGGGGTCGGGGAAGGCGGTGGGAAAGATGAAGGCTGGGAGAGGAGCTGCGGACGACGTTGTGTTGGTGGTAATGGTGGCAGGGCGAGGAGGGATGGGATGGAGAGAAGGTTAGGGTTGTGGGGTGCTGGTGCGAGTGTTTGTTGCGCTGTGCTAGGAATGTGGCGTGCAAGCCAGACGGCGAGGATCGAGGCGGATAGGGCGAGGAGTGGGGCGGGTCGAGGTGTCTGGATGGCAATGACGAGGGCAGCAGCGGCGGGCGAGGTGCAGCCAAGGCAGGCTGGCAGGCGGGCAGGTGGGCAGTCTGGAAGATGGCAGGTGCAAGCAGTCAACGGCCACGCCTGCCAAACACGCTCATTCTGCCCAGCCAAGCCAGCCCAGGCCCCAAAAAGTGGAGTGCCTCTGCCTGCAGGCCCACCGCGCCCGATAGATCAACACATCAACACCGACCTGCCCCTCCTGCCACGCCCCGCCTCGCTCGGCCTTTCCGCCTCCCTTTTGAGGCCGACAAGCACGCCCCAGGAGCGCCGCCTCGGCGTCCATCTCTCTTCTACAACGCCGGCCACTCTGCCTCGTCCGGTCAGAGCGAAGCCAGGCCAAGCCAGGCCAGGCCAAGCCGTCGGGTGGTGCGCCGAGGCCAGGCAGACCAAGCAGGCTGCCCCTCGCCGCCTGGCCGCGCTCGTGCATCGCGCCCCTCGCATCGACCCCTCGCTGCCTTCCACCGCCCGTCGTACTCGCAGGCGCAGCAAAGGTTCGCCTTGCATGCTCACACTGGGTGCCAGAGAGGGCGGCATCACACGGCCAATGGATCGCCTTGCCAGACCCCCCCATCCCGTGCAGGTCACGTGCCAGCAACGCGCTTCTATCCGGCCGAGAAAATCAGGCGGCAGCGGTCCGGAAAATGCCAAGGGCCAAGGCGAGGGCGAGAGCAACACGGACACCCGCGCCTCTCGCCGCCCGCCGCCCGCTGCCCGCTGCCCGCCCCCCATCCACCCAACCAACACCGGGCCAACCCTGCCACCTGCCGCCGCCAATTCCATCTCGACCGCGGTTACCACCATCATCGCCACCTCATCTCCGCCTCTATCCATCCGCACCTTCCACGGCACTATCTTGCGGCCTCGCACCGCCCCTGCACGCCTCGCCCACGATGGCCACCGTCACCCGCACGCCCCTCGTCTCGGCCACGACGACGACTCCACACCGCCTCCGCCCGCGCTCCACCCTCAACGGGCCCGACCTGATCCAGTCCCACTACGCCACCACCGATGACCACGACGGGTCAGGGCCTCTGCTCGACTTCTCCGACATGGTTGCCGCCGTCGCTCGCTTCCAGCGCAAGTTCAAGGCCTACACCGACCACGCCATCGCCACCATCAACGACGAAAAGGCCGACTTTGACGCGGGCCGCCTCCAGCACGCCAACCACCTCAGCACCCTCGACCGCGAGATCGAAGAGGCAAAGTCGGCGCAACGTCAGCTCTGGGACAGTGAGTGGCGGCGTCGTCCTCAGCGCCAGGCCAAGCTGCATCCCGCCCGTCTGGCCTCCTGGCTGACACCGTCTCCTCTTCACACCATCCTCACCCTGCCTCCCTCGCCATCATCGCAGCCGTCTCCCAGGAGCGAGAGGCCGACGCACAAGTACGATCGCGCATCCAGGCACTCACCTCGCAGCGCGCCTCGCTCTCGCAGCGCAGCGCCGAGCTCCAGGCCGAGATCAGCGAGGCAAAGGCCAAGCTCGAGGCCAAGAAGAAGGCCAAGCACGCCCAGCGCCAACGCTTCCGCGCCCAGGTCGACCAGAACGGGCCCGAACTCAAGCTGCTCGAGTCTCGCACCGGCTGCTCGATCCAGCCGACAAAGGTGGGCGACCAGCTCCGGTTCACCTTCCAGCTCGTCAATCCAGACGACTGGTCCGACGAGTGCTTCTTTGTCGTCGATGTCAGCAAGCCCCAATACGCAGGTGAGCACGACCACTCCGCGCGGTCGTCTGTCTGGCGCTCGGTGCAGCTCGACGACGAGGACGAGGGCGGAAGAGCCATCCACTCACCTTTCGTCGCTGACCGCCCACTCGCCGCCCGTCGACCCCCCTCCTCTCTGTTGCCGTGCACCGATCCCAGTCTCATCGCACCGCCCGCAGCTGGCTCCCGCCGTCTTCGAGCCGATGCTGGACGAGCTCAACTCGACGCGCAAGTTCTACACCTTCGTCAAGCAGATGCGCCACGCCCTCGCCGACGAGACCGAGCGGCGGCGCAAAGAGGCCCGCGAGGCCGCCAGGCGCGCCGCCGCCTAGCCGTTCGTCCTTCGACGCCGCTCGACCTCCTTGCTCGCTCGCCCGGCCCTGGACAGCATCCCTCCACCCCCTTCGATACCCCACTCGTCGTCGCCCCGGCATCGACGCCTTCCTCGCCAACCCCGTTGCCCCTCCCGCCGTGTAACCTCACCCGCCGCTGTACTTGTAACCTCCCGCCTCGTCTCGTCTCGTCTCGTATGATCTCAATCGGACACTCGCTCATCCGCGCCCAGTCTCGCACTCACCTGTGTTCATCCTCCTTCGCCGTCCACCGGGCCGCGCGACCGTGCCCGTCTTGCCTCGACTCGACTCGCATCGCCACGCCTCGCCTCGACAGAGTCACTCACCTCGTCCATCCAGCCAGGAGCGAGTTCGGCTGTGCAGTAGAAGGAGGCGAAACACAGACCAGAGTGGAAGAGAGGGCAGCGTGGAGATGATGGTGCGTCGCTGGAGCGAGCGAATAGGTGGATTGCTCAAGAGTCATAAACGACGGTCGCCGAGCGCGAAGAGACGGAGGGGAGCGGTACAACGAGACTGGGAGGGCAGTGGAACGCGGAGACGTTGTCGCGCGCTACCGCTGAGCGATCGCGGGCGCGGGGAGCCGGGCATCGATGCCGGCGTCTTGTGTCTTGAGCCGAGCCGAGTCGAGTCGAGCGGGGCGCGGAGTCGACGAGGTGAGGTCCTAGAGGTACCGCCGTCTTGTGCGTCGATCTTGGGCTGGCGTCGACGGTCGAGGATCTTGTGCCGGAGTCAGCGGTCGAGTGCCCTGAGTCGTCGTCTCGCGTTGGTCCTGAGGCCCTCGTAAACGACCTCGGACCTTGAGGCGTCGTCCGTTGGGCTTGAGCGAGCGTCCGCCATCGAGAGTCTTGCGTCGTCGTGAGCACCAAGTTCACCCGCCGTCGGCCGAGGCAGAGGCGTCGCCGTGGTCGTTGCGCCGTTGATGAACGATGTCGGTATCGAAGGCCAGAAACGAGCAGAGAGAAAACGAGGAAGAGGGGGGTCGATCAAGAGGCGGGTCAGTGAGGGTCGAGGCGGGTCCAGGCGAGGCGGGTCGGGGAGAGAGGGCGAGTGCAGTGAAAGGGGAACGAGGCAAGACGAAAGAAGCGGTGGTGGTTGTCCGAAACGCGTGGTGTCGAGACGGAGGCTGGGATCCATAGGCAGTGTGCCCTCGCTGGGGTCGGTGTCGGTGACGGCGGGCAGGCGAGCCCGACAAATGGTCCAGAACGCGAGTCCGCCGTCCAGCCGGGCGATCCGTAGGCAGCGAGCTCACGCTGGAGGCCAGATCCATCCCGACGCGCCGCGAGTCCGACAAGTGGCCAAGTCGAGATCGGAAGCGGCGGTCCATGGGCAGCGATCGAGCCCACGCTGGATCAGCCAAAGTCGAGATCGGAAGCGGCGGTCCATGGGCAGCGATCGAGCCCACGCTGGATCAGCCAAAGTCGAGATCGGAAGCGGCGGTCCATGGGCAGCGAACCAGCCCACGCTGGATCTGCCACAGTCGAGGTCGGGAGCGGCGGTCCTTTGGCAGCGAACCAGCCCACGCTGGATCTGCCACAGTCGAGGTCGAGGGTGGCGATCCAAGGGCAGCGGGCGGGTTCGTGCTGGAGCGTCGCGGCCGGGGTCGAGAGCGGCGATCCAAGGGCAGTGGGCTGGTTCACGCTGGAGCGTCGAGGCCGGGGTCGACTGTGGCGGTCCATAGGCAGCGGGCGGGTTCGCGCTGGAGCGTCGCGGCCGGGGTCGACTGTGGCTGTCCATAGGCAGC